ATAAACCCTTACGTTGCTATTTGTTGTGATATCATGACATAATAAGTGGTGGCAGGATACTATGACAACCATGTTGTATGTATATATTTATAAATCTGACAAGTTCAAAAAGGAAAAAGGCAACGATTTTTAGGATGGAATAATCCTGGAGAGTCAAGTTCTAAAAGTGTAAAACAAACATGCAAAGAGACATTCTTATATTTTTTTGTATTTTTATAATCTAACATAGTAAACAAGGCATAAATATATAATACAAAAATACAATCATAAAATACATTAGCAGAATATTAACAGAATTAAGATCACATTATATTACTTGCAGTTACATATGTATAAATAACATTTTAGATATAATACATATAATTCTGTTGAGGTATCACAAGTGATATTCCATGAAGCCTGAGGGGCTAGTGGAATATCATCTTGTGAAAATGTCACAAATTTTCACCGAAAATAGTATTAAATATTTGTTTTATTATTCACTGTTATATTCCTCACTCACATTAATGGGATAACAAACTATTGACGTCTAATTAATCATAACAATCCACTCCCGGGGATAAATAATATTGAAATTACACTGGGCTAAGTCCTGAATGGTGAATATCATGTCTTATTCCATAATAACATGTTTTCCCTGGGAAATAAACTGGGAATAAATCTGTCGCCCTCGGCAAATATGATATTTTCCTTGGTCAATATCATATTTTCCCTCGAAATAAAATTCATATTCCATCCCGACCATTAAGTAACCTCGTTATATTCAAAGGAAGTCATGTGAAGTTGCTTGTTACTTTTAAGTCACATGTACGACATGGACCAATCAGAGAGTGGGGAATGTGACAGTTATATAATAATTTTAGATATTTTCAAGATTTTCTCATTGAGCATGTTTGATTGACAAAACTGCACAACACTAAAATACAAGACATTTGCAAGATGTCACCATCTGCCATGCATGTGTTTCGTACACCAACTACCAAACGCCAAACACTGCCCACAAAAAAGTTGGAGACTATAACAATATATCGCCACATTGGATAAAACCTGTCTGATGGAACAAAATAACAAAATATGTTTACATTGACTTACAAAATAACCAAATATGTTTCCATTTACTTACATGTTAACAGACCCTCTCTATATGGAAACACTGTGAACAGGGAACAATGAACAATGTTTTAGGGGAAATTTTGAAAATTCACCTGTTCACAAGGAACATTGCTACTTGGTTGCACTGTGCATCCCATTGTTTTTCAATAGGTGTGAAATGTAACTGGATTAAGCCAATATCTGATTCTAAAAAGCTTTGTGTAATATGAATGAGATAAGGATAAGCTAATTACTAAGTAATATGAATGAGATAAGGATAAGCTAATTACTAAGTAATATGAATGAGATAAGGATAAGCTAATTACTAAGTAATATGAATGAGATAAGGATAAGCTAATTACTAAGTAATATGAATGAGATAAGGATAAGCTAATTACTAAGTAATATGAATGAGATAAGGATAAGCTAATTACTAAGTAATATGAATGAGATAAGGATAAGCTAATTATTAACAGTGGGCAGAATCACTGGTACTACCAAAATATTTTTCCTAGCCAGTTGTACTTATCTGGCAATTTGATTTTTGAGTCCAAAAACATGGACACTCTCTATATGGAACTTCTGTCTGAGTTGTTTTGGTCAGTCCACAGAGTGTTTCCTTGAATGAAAGATTTAATTTTTAAGATGTAATCAAACAAAGCTTTGACTAAACAATATCTAGAATAATGAAAGTTTAGATTTAACAAAGCTTTGGCTAAACAATATCTAGAATAATGAAAGTTTAGATTTAATTAAACAAAGTTTAATATCTAAACAAAACAATATCTAAAATCACGAAAGCTTTTTCTAGACAAGGTTAAAATGAAGAAAACTTCCTCTAGGTAATGCTTTAAATGAAATTTTTTTTAAGGCAACGTAGTATAGCAAGCATAATGTCTAAGGAATGTTCAAATAAACTAATGACAAGGTTCACAATATAAACATGTATAGAATGATCAATCCCTAACCCCTCTCTATTAATTATCTACCAGAGGGGACAACAAAAGGTTTCATACAAGATTCAAACGTGAATCCACTCAAGCATATTATGGCTCGACAATTGACTAGTATAAGCTTAACACATTACATTACAATGCAGCTACAAGCATTTAAATGTGATTACCTACTATGAACATGTAGTATTTACAATTTCTCATCTACATGTACTGATAATTGTTTATCATTATATTAAATATAATGTGTATCAGTATATTATATACTACAGGGCGAGCAAAAAAAGGTAACCCAAACAAGTGTTAATAACTCAGTCATCCAGCATGAGATTAAATCATATTTAGGACAATTGAACCTTGTTTGGGTTACCTTTTTGGCTAATCCTGAATATAACGTTATTTTGTTATTCATATAAAAACAGACCTGATACTTTATGAAAAATTCTAGCAATGTCCCTGTTATTGGAACATCAGATCTTTAAAAATAATGTCTGATGTTCCGCACATTACCCTGCTTTTGTGAAATTGTAATTTACAGTTTCATACATTTACAGAGTTTGGCAACTTTGCAATGATTATAAGTTGAGTAACATAAGTTCATGTCATGGATAACCTCGAAAAAGGATACAGTAAAACCTGTCTAAGTGGAACAGCTGTGGTACCTCTTAAAAGTGTTCCACTTGGGAGGTGTTCCACTTATAGAGGTTACGTTAACATTAAGCCAGGTGGTCTTGAGACTCTGAAAAGTGTTCTACTTGTAGAGGTGTTCCACTTTACAGGTTCCAATGTACTATGTGATTAAGGTAGAGGTGCGTTAATGAGGATGAGGATGTTCAAACAAAATAAATGCATTGTTTGATGGACAATAACATATTTAGAACGGAAATAACAGACAAAATGTCACCACCTGCTATTTGCAAGACTAAGACAAGATAATTCGAGAACTACACTTGTAAATGAAAAATATAGTTTGCCTGTATCTGTGTGTTCCGGTGACTCTAGTAAAATGCTAGTTTCAAAAATTTGGGTTTTCTTAAGAAAAAATATATTCTTTGGTATAATGCAGGGGTTTCACTAGAATTTCTCACAACAGGCTAAACAAATCAAAACAAAAAGTAACAAGGCATTAACATGACAAAATGTCACCACCTAAAACAATTTGGTCAATTTAAAGCAAGTTGGAAAATACCTTTTGACCTTAAGAAGGTTTGATTTGAACTTCTTAGAACATGTAGATGATTTTGAAAAATAAAATTCGTCAATTTGAAGCAAGTTGAAAAAATACCTCTTTGACTTTTTTTGACATTGAGAAGGTCATTGAAGGTCAAATGTCAAGTCAGATATGAACTTCTGAGAACATTTAGATGATTTTGAAAAAAAAATTAAGTAAATTTGAAGCAAGTTGAAAAAAGACCTTTTTGACCTTGAAAAGGTCATTGAAGGTCAAATGTCAAATCTAAAGTCAGATTTGAACTTCTGAGAACATGTAGATGATTTTGAAAAAAAAATTAGCCAATTTGAAGCAAGTTGAAAAAAGACCTTTTTGACCTTGAGAAGGTCATTGAAGGTCAAAGGTCAAATCTAAAGTCATATTTGAACTTCTGAGAACTTGTAAAGTCAAATTTGAACTTCTGAGAACTTGTAAAGTCAAATTTGAACTTCTGAAAAGATGTAGATGATTTTGAAAAAAAAATTTGGTCAATTTGAAGCAAGTTGAAAACAGACCTTTTTGACCTTTTTTGACCTTGAGAAGGTCATTGAAGGTCAAATGTCAAATCTAAAGTCAGATTTGAATTTCTGAGAACATGTAGATGATTTTGAAAAAAAAAATTAGTCAATTTGAAGCAAGTTGAAAAAAGACCTTTTGACCTTTTTTGACCTTGAGAAGGTCATTGAAGGTCAAATGTCAAATCTAAAGTCATATTTGAATTTCTGAGAACATGTAGATGATTTTGAAAAAAATTTTTAGTCAATTTGAAGCAAGATGAAAAAATACCTTTTTGACATTGAGAAGGTCATTGAAGGTCAAATGTCAAATCTAAAGTCAGATTTGAATTTCTGAGAACATGTAGATGATTTTGAAAAAAAAATTTAGTCAATTTGAAGCAAGTTGAAAAAAGACCTTTTTGACCTTTTTTGACTTTGAGAAGGTCATTGAAGGTCAAATGTCAAATCTTAAGTCAAATCTAAAGTCAGATTTGAATTCCTGAGAACACGTAGATGATTTTGAAAAAATTTTTTAGTCAATTTGAAGCAAGTTGAAAACAGACCTTTTTGACCTTGAGAAGGTCATTGAAGGTCAAATGTCAAATCTTAAGTCAAATCTTAAGTCAGATTTGAATTTCTGAGAACACGTAGATGATTTTGAAAAAAAAATTTAGTCAATTTGAAGCAAGTTGAAAACAGACCTTTTTGACCTTTTTTGACCTTGAGAAGGTCATTGAAGGTCAAATATCAAAACTAAAGTCAGATTTGAAGGTCAAATGTCAAATCTAAAGTCAGATTTGAATTTCTGAGAACATGTAGATGATTTTGAAAAAAAATTTAGTCAATGTGAAGCAAGTTGAAAAAATACCTTTTTGACCTTGAGAAGGTCATTGAAGGTCAAATGTCAAATCTAAAGTCAGATTTGAACTTCTGAGAACATGTAGATGATTTAGAAAAAAATTGAAGTCAGTCTAAACAGTATTTGTTAAGTTATAGGAAGTTGTAAGAAATTGTTACAGACGCCAACCGCCGGACGCCAACCTCCAACCGCCGGACACCAACCGCCGTCGCAAAAAAACGGAGACCATAACAATATGTCACCACTTTTGGTGGTGACATAAAAATTAATGGAAATCGTAAATTTAACATGAAAAAGTTGAAAAGTCCCTGAAAACAACAGGTGATTTTGTGAAAAAACTGGTGTAAATCGCCTGTTGCCTGCTGCTAATGAAACCCCTGTAATGTTACAAAACCAAGAGTCAACACTGTATCCTAATCGTCCTGTGTAAGCAATCGAATCTCCTCTGCTAGTACTTTGGTGATGTGCATTGCCTTGTTGGCCTCTTCACCTCCTATGAGTTCAAGAGCCACTGCTGCTGCATCACGTACACTGGAGATGTAATCATTCCTCCTGGAAATATCAGGTATATTTTTGTGTTCTTTATCTATTTAACATTGTTACAAAAACATTTACATTTTAGATTTTTATTCATGTAGCAGTACGCAGTACTTTCCAATAATGTTGCATAAAGTTAGACATTTCAAGTTTTGGGACCTCACATATTCGTTGCATATCTATCTAAATGTACATGTGTAATGCTAGAAATACAATCTAGTAAACATCAATGCCACTCAGGACACTACTCAAGTACTCAGTGACCTGAGAACTAAGTTGAGTGGATGCAGTGTTACTTGAGATTTTAAGAACATGCTTCCAACAAGCACTTGAAAATGAAAAAAATCAAATCAAACCAAATATTTGACAAAATATGGTCAGAATCTTGAAAATGAGAGTTTCTGCACATGTGAGATACTAAATTATCCCTGTGCCTGAGCTCAGACAAAGCTTCTTGCATGCTTTATGATGCTGTTACATTGAAATTGTGAGATCAATTTACGTCATTCACAAATTCAAGATATCCACAAATGTAATATCTTACTTTTATGGTTGTAATGACGAATCATGAGACATAAAGGAATAACTCACCATAACTGCACAAGTTTATTTACAGCCTTCTCAACTTTCATATGACCCAGTGCAATACAGCCGCTCTCTCGTACAAGTCTGTCCTTATCATTCAAACACTTCATTAAACATTTCACTATGTGTGGACTCTTTGGGCCTGTCTTAGCCAATGATATAGCAGCTACTGCTCGCACATTGTTGTCTTGGTCGGAAAGGAGATCCTTCAAGGCTTCAACAACTTGAGGGCTGTCAAATTTTCCTGATGAAGAAAGTTACCAGAATTTAAAGAGGAATTACTAGTATATTTAAAAAAAAACAGCTATGCATAGGGCTGTGCTCCATATTAGGTTAAGACAAACTTAGATAGATACCATAACATAGTGAGAAATCAGTCAAGGTACCGTAAGGATGTTTTATTCGATATTACAAGGATTATTTCTTAATTAAAGTTTGGAGCAACGGATTTGATGTCACATACCTAGATTCTCTATGGCTTCCACCCTTACGGAAGAGTCCATGTCAAAAACCTCACGTATCGTGTAGCTCTCGACTGCCTGGTCCATAACACGCGACCAGAATGTTTCCACTTTGCCGTTTATAGTACAGAAATCTAGAAAATATAAAATCACATCTTGATCACCAAGTAGCTGCATGTGGACTCCTTTTCAGATCACTTAAATCAAGTTTTGTTGTCTTGCATAGAGATGTCATGGATACTCAGAGTGCTAAATAATTCCATAATTGAATGTTCTGGACCGTTTTGTAAAAGTTTTTTTGTTGCTGACTTCTGTAGCAAATAATATGTACAATGGCTATTTTTCCAATGTACATGTTTTTTAAAATAACAATAAAGTACTCTACATTTACAGACCTAGCTGTGTTTATAGGTACATGCATATTTTATGCCATATCAAATGTCTTCCAAAGGGTAATAAAGACAGTTGCTCCACCCTTTTCAACCTCTTTCCGTATTCATTGTACAGGCCCCTAGCCAGGATTTGCCAAGGAGGGGTTCAGTTTTCAAAAATTTCCAGGGGGGTTCACATTTGACAATTTTGGCCCAAATATGGCTAAACTCACTCAAGAGAAGTGCTCAAAATGGTGAAAAACTGGATGATTTTGAAAGAATTTTTGGCCAGGGGGGGGGGGGGTTCAACCCTGCGAACCCCCCCCCCCCTGGCTACGGGCCTGTTGTACATATATGCTCCAATTATACCCACCTGTGTATTTTTCATATGTAACGATATGGTCTTCCACAGCATCCAACTCTCTCTGTATAATTCCCTTCAACCATTCCTGGAATTCCCCACTGTACAACATTGCAATCTCTTTGGAATATGTCTTGGTATAGGCATCTTCAAACCTGCAAAAGTAAATAAGAATGAGTCTTTCTACAATCCTATTTATTCAAATTACATTCAGACATTAAAGGGTCATATACTGTAGCAGGGGTTTCATTAGCAGGGGTTTCATTAGCAGCAGGCAACAGATGATTTTCACCGGTTGTTTTCACAAAATCGCCTGTTGTTTTTAGGGACTTTTCAACTTTTCCATGTTTAATTCATGATTTCTATTAATTTTGCCTGTTGCCGTCTAATTTTAGTAAATTGAACATCGTCTGTTGTGTATGTAGTAAAATGTCAAAAGCTGGCAAAAATCAAAAATTATCTGGTTTCATCCTATTTTAGAACCTGGGATTCAAGAGGTTAGGATATTGGTTTTTACTCTAATATGCAGAATGACATCAAACTTTCACAACAAAATTTCCATTGTATGCATTAAATAATTCTGAAATTTCAAAGCAGAATATGCAAGATTGACAGAGTTAGTCGACTTTTCTTCAGTCCTGTTTTTGGACACCTTATACATGTGATTATAGAACACTACATCACAAATTGACAAATTTAATTTTTAATCTAATACCCACTTTTTCCATTCAACCTCAGTAAGACCAAGAAAGTTGGCCTCCCAGAAGTCTTCCTCATGGCTCGGAACCTTTGGCGCGCTTGTATCAGATTTGGTTAGGTCGATCCCAGTCTTCTCACGACTCATGGAACGAGTGTAGAGGTTCTTTCTAGAGTTGCGCTTTTGTAACGCTGTAAAGCAGAAAACAAGTCGAAATTATATCATATGATTGTTGTCTGACAGTTATTATTATAGTTTACTGATTGATGTTATCCTTGTTTAATGATTGTTTTGTTTGTTTGTGTTATTCAATCAATTTAATTCAATACAATCATTAATAATGATTGTAAATACAATCTTTGAAATGGTCTTTTGTATGATTAAATAGAGAATCCCTGTCATTTACAATAGATCAATCCCATATTGAAGATATACAATCTTTGAGAATGTTATATTTCTTATCATCTAGTTATGTCAATAACAAAGAGAGATGTTCATACAGTAAAACCTGTATATCTAAACACCTCTCTTATCCAAACATCTCAAGATGAACACTTTTTTCTTGGTCCCAATTTTGTTAATTCCCATTGATTCACATATTAAATAAGAGACCTTGAAATGAAAACACCTGCTAATTGAAACACTTTTGGATGGCCCAGTGGTGTTTGGATAGACAGGCTTTATTGTACATTCTCAACAGTTCTCATGCAAAACTGGGGATACACTTCACTTGAATAGAAGGCATATGGGATAGAAACACATCCAAGTGCAATAGTTAGTTTTTCCTTGTTTATTTCTTGTTTCTGATTTTCCAATTAAAACAAAAAGAGAGGCTTACAATTATCACATTGCTTGTTCTGTCAATTAAGTCTTGGGTAACCAGCTAACCCTTTTGGTCAAAATGGAAAAATGGGCATGGGGCTTCAATATCATACAGGTATAAAATACTGAAGTTGGGATGTATGATGTAATCAAATTTCAGCACATGCAACAACATCATGCCTGTCACATTCAGTAGTAAACACTTCAGTAGTAAACGCTTCAGTAGTAAACGCTTCAGTCGAAAAGGCTTCAGTAGTAAACACTTCAGTAGTAAACAAATAAACACTTCAGTAGTAAAGACAGTATAATATAAGGTAAGTGGAGGTCATTTTGGAAGCTAGAAACATAAAATTCATATACATTATGTGTTACCTCACGTCTTTTTACATATTATTATTAAATGGCTGAAAAATGAAACACAATGCAATGTTTTTGAAGAGTTTTTTTTTCAATAGAAATACAAAGAATCTGAAGCTTTTCAAGCTCTTACAACAGCATAGGTTCAGTTATGGATACTGCCATATTCCTTGCAATGATCATCTGCTTCCTGAATTTAAGTGACCATCTGTTTGCTCTTTTAACAATAGACAACACATTCCTATAAACTTGAACCTACTGATCTCATAATCAATCTGAAGTACCATCGAAGTAATGTTTTACACATACAAGTGGCTATCAATAAGCTTTTATTTTTTTGTAAAAGTGACATTGCTATACATAACTTCAGTAAAGGGCATTGACTCTTACATATGACTTTAGTAAAGGACATTGACTCTTACACATGACTTTAGTAAATGACATAGACTCTTACACATGACTTCAGTAAAGGACATTGACTCTTAAACATGACTTTAGTAAAGGACATTGACTCTTACACATGACTTTAGTAAAGAACATTGACTCTTACACATGACTTCAGTAAAGGACATTGACTCTTACACATGACTTCAGTAAAGGACATTGACTCTTACACATGACTTCAGTAAAGGACATCGACTCTTACATGTGATTTCAGTAAAGGGCATTGACTCTTACACATGACTTTAGTAAAGGACATTGACTCTTACACATGACTTTAGTAAAGGACATTGACTCTTACAAATGACTTCAGTAAAGGACATTGACTCTTACACATGACTTCAGTAAAGGACATTGACTCTTACACATGACTTCAGTAAAGGACATTGACTCTTACACATGACTTCAGTAAAGGACATCGACTCTTACATGTGATTTCAGTAAAGGGCATTGACTCTTACACATGACTTTAGTAAAGGACATTGACTCTTACACATGACTTTAGTAAAGAACATTGACTCTTACAAATGACTTCAGTAAAGGACATTGACTCTTACACATGACTTCAGTAAAGGACACTGACTCTTACACATGACTTTAGTAAAGGACATTGACTCTTAAACATGACTTCAGTAAAGGACATTGACTCTTACACATGACTTCGATAAAGAACACTGACTCTTACAGATGACTTCAGTAAAGGACATTGACTTTCACACATGACTTTAGTAAAGGACATTGACTCTTACACATGACTTCAGTAAAGGACATTGACTCTTACACATGACTTTAGTAAAGGACATTGACTCTTACACATGACTTCAGTAAATGACATAGACTCTTACACATGACTTCGATAAAGAACACTGACTCTTACAGATGACTTCAGTAAAGGACATTGACTCTTACACATGACTTCAGTAAAGGACATTGACTCTTACACATGACTTCAGTAAAGGACATTGACTCTTACACATAACTTCAGTAAAGGACATCGACTCCTACACATCACTTCAGTAAATGACATTGACTTTTACACATGACTTCAATAAAGGACATTGACTCTTATACATGATTTCAGTAAAGGACAATGACTCTTACACATGACTTTAGTAAAGGACATTGACTCTTACACATGACTTTAGTAAAGGACAATGACTCTTACACATGACTTTAGTAAAGGACATGGACTCTTACACATGACTTCAGTAAAGGACAATGACTCTTACACATGACTTTAGTAAAGGACATTGACTCTTACACATGACTTTAGTAAAGGACATGGACTCTTAAACATAACTTTAGTAAAGGACATTGACTCTTACACATGACTTCAGTAAAGGACAATGGCTCTTACACATGACTTTAGTAAAGGACATGGACTCTTACACATGACTTAAGGAAAGGACATTGACTCTTACACATGACTTTAGTAAAGGACAATGACTCTTACACATGACTTTAGTAAAGGACATTGACTCTTACACATGACTTTAGTAAAGGACATTGACTCTTACACATGACTTTAGTAAAGGACATTGACTCTTACACATAACATAATAATCTCACTACATCTGGAGCATATTTTGAAACAACCATAACTCTATCAATATAAGACTATTAAAAAGATTATAAGATTATTAAAACTTTGGCAGAGGACCCCACATTGAATGAAGTCCATGTGTGCCAAATCTCAGAGCAATTAACCTTCATTTAAGAAAAATATTGAAGAAATGGAGGGTTGCATTTTTTGGGGTCACCCTGTACATGACTTTTTACACATGACTTTAGTAAAGGACATTGACTCTTACACATGACTTTAGTAAAGGACAATGACTCTTACACATGACTTTAGTAAAGGACATTGACTCTTACACATGACTTTAGTAAAGGACAATGACTCTTACACATGACTTTAGTAAAGGACATTGACTCTTACACATGAATTCAGTAAAGGACATTGACTCTTAAACATAACTTTAGTAAAGGACATTGACTCTTACACATGACTTTATGAAAGGACAATGACTCTTACACATGACTTTAGTAAAGGACATGGACTCTTACACATGACTTTAGGAAAGGACAATGACTCTTACACATGACTTTAGTAAAGGACATTGACTCTTACACATGACTTTAGTAAGGGACATTGACTCTTAAACATAACTTTAGTAAAGGACATTGACTCTTACACATGACTTTAGGAAAGGACATTGACTCTTACACATGACTTTAGTAAAGGACATTGACTCTTACACATGACTTTAGTAAGGGACATTGACTCTTAAACATAACTTTAGTAAAGGACATTGACTCTTACACATGACTTTAGGAAAGGACATTGACTCTTACACATGACTTTAGTAAAGGACATTGACTCTTACACATGACTTTAGTAAAGGACAATGACTCTTACACATGACTTCAGTAAAGGACAATGACTCTTACACATGACTTTAGGAAAGGACAATGACTCTTACACATGACTTTAGTAAAGGACATTGACTCTTACACATGACTTTAGTAAAGGACAATGACTCTTACACATGACTTTAGTAAAGGACAATGACTCGTACACATGACTTTAGTAAAGGACATTGACTCTTACACATGACTTTAGTAAAGGGCATTGACTCTTGCACATGAATTCAGTAAAGGACATTGACTCTTACACATGACTTCAGTAAATGACATTGACTCTTACACATGACTTTAGTAAAGGACAATGACTCTTACACATGACTTTAGTAAAGGACATTGACTCTTACACATGACTTTAGTAAAGGACAATGACTCTTACACATGACTTTAGTAAAGGACATTGACTCTTACACATGACTTTAGTAAAGGACAATGACTCTTACACATGACTTTAGTAAAGGACATTGACTCTTACACATGACTTTAGTAAAGGACAATGACTCTTACACATGAATTCAGTAAAGGACATTGACTCTTACACATGACTTTAGTAAAGGACATGGACTCTTACACATGACTTTAGTAAAGGACATGGACTCTTACACATGATTTTAGGAAAGGACATTGACTCTTACACATGACTTTAGTAAAGGACAATGACTCTTACACATGACTTAAGTAAAGAACAATGACTCTTACACATGACTTTAGTAAAGGACATTGACTCTTACACATGACTTTAGGAAAGGACATTGACTCTTACACATGACTTTAGTAAAGGACAATGACTCTTACACATGACTTTAGTAAAGGACATTGACTCTTACACATGACTTTAGTAAAGGACATTGACTCTTACACATGACTTTAGTAAAGGACATTGACTCTTACACATGACTTTAGTAAAGGACATTGACTCTTACACATGACTTTAGTAAAGGACAATGACTCTTAAACATAACTTTAGTAAAGGACATTGACTCTTACACATGACTTTAGGAAAGGACATTGACTCTTACACATGACTTTAGTAAAGGACATTGACTCTTACACATGACTTTAGTAAAGGACAATGACTCTTACACATGACTTTAGTAAAGGACATTGACTCTTACACATGACTTTAGTAAAGGACATGGACTCTTACACATGACTTTAGTAAAGGGCATTGACGCTTACCCATGACTTCAGTAAAGGACATTGACTCTTACACATAACATAATAATCTCACTACATCTGGAGCATATTTTGAAACAACCATAACTCTATCAATATAAGACTATTAAAAAGATTATAAGATTATTAAAACTTTGGCAGAGGACCCCACATTGAATGAAGTCCATGTGTGCCAAATCTCAGAGCAATAAACCTTCATTTAAGAAAAATATTGAAGAAATGGAGGGTTGCATTTTTTGGGGTCACCCTGTACATGACCTTTTACACATGACTTTAGTAAAGGACATTGACTCTTACACATGACTTTAGTAAAGGACAATGACTCTTACACATGACTTTAGTAAAGGACATTGACTCTTACACATGACTTTAGTAAAGGACAATGACTCTTACACATGACTTTAGTAAAGGACATTGACTCTTACACATGACTTTAGTAAAGGACAATGACTCTTACACATGAATTCAGTAAAGGACATTGACTCTTACACATGACTTTAGTAAAGGACAATGACTCTTACACATGACTTTAGTAAAGGACATTGACTCTTAAACATAACTTTAGTAAAGGACATTGACTCTTACACATGACTTTAGTAAAGGACATTGACTCTTACACATGAATTCAGTAAAGGACATTGACTCTTAAACATAACTTTAGTAAAGGACATTGACTCTTACACATGACTTTAGGAAAGGACAATGACTCTTACACATGACTTTAGTAAAGGACATGGACTCTTACACATGACTTTAGGAAAGGACAATGACTCTTACACATGACTTTAGTAAAGGACATTGACTCTTACACATGACTTTAGTAAGGGACATTGACTCTTAAACATAACTTTAGTAAAGGACATTGACTCTTACACATGACTTTAGTAAAGGACATTGACTCTTACACATGACTTTAGGAAAGGACATTGACTCTTACACATGACTTTAGTAAAGGACATTGACTCTTACACATGACTTTAGTAAGGGACATTGACTCTTAAACATAACTTTAGTAAAGGACATTGACTCTTACACATGACTTTAGGAAAGGACATTGACTCTTACACATGACTTTAGTAAAGGACATTGACTCTTACACATGACTTTAGTAAAGGACAATGACTCTTACACATGACTTCAGTAAAGGACAATGACTCTTACACATGACTTTAGGAAAGGACAATGACTCTTACACATGACTTTAGTAAAGGACATTGACTCTTACACATGACTTTAGTAAAGGACAATGACTCTTACACATGACTTTAGTAAAGGACAATGACTCTTACACATGACTTTAGTAAAGGACATTGACTCTTACACATGACTTTAGTAAAGGACAATGACTCTTACACATGACTTTAGGAAAGGACATTGACTCTTACACATGACTTTAGTAAAGGACAATGACTCTTACACATGACTTTAGGAAAGGACATTGACTCTTACACATGACTTTAGTAAAGGACATTGACTCTTACACATGACTTTAGTAAGGGACATTGACTCTTAAACATAACTTTAGTAAAGGACATTGACTCTTACACATGACTTTAGGAAAGGACATTGACTCTTACACATGACTTTAGTAAAGGACATTGACTCTTACACATGACTTTAGTAAAGGACAATGACTCTTACACATGACTTCAGTAAAGGACAATGACTCTTACACATGACTTTAGGAAAGGACAATGACTCTTACACATGACTTTAGTAAAGGACATTGACTCTTACACATGACTTTAGTAAAGGACAATGACTCTTACACATGACTTTAGTAAAGGACAATGACTCTTACACATGACTTTAGTAAAGGACATTGACTCTTACACGTGACTTTAGTAAAGGGCATTGACTCTTACACATGAATTCAGTAAAGGACATTGACTCTTACACATGACTTCAGTAAATGACATTGACTCTTACACATGACTTTAGTAAAGGACAATGACTCTTACACATGACTTTAGTAAAGGACATTGACTCTTACACATGACTTTAGTAAAGGACAATGACTCTTACACATGACTTTAGTAAAGGACATTGACTCTTACACATGACTTTAGTAAAGGACAATGACTCTTACACATGACTTTAGTAAAGGACATTGACTCTTACACATGACTTTAGTAAAGGACAATGACTCTTACACATGAATTCAGTAAAGGACATTGACTCTTACACATGACTTTAGTAAAGGACATGGACTCTTACACATGACTTTAGTAAAGGACATGGACTCTTACACATGACTTTAGGAAAGGACATTGACTCTTACACATGACTTTAGTAAAGGACAATGACTCTTACACATGACTTAAGTAAAGAACAATGACTCTTACACATGACTTTAGTAAAGGACATTGACTCTTACACATGACTTTAGGAAAGGACATTGACTCTTACACATGACTTTAGTAAAGGACAATGACTCTTACACATGACTTTAGTAAAGGACATTGACTCTTACACATGACTTTAGTAAAGGACATTGACTCTTACACATGACTTTAGTAAAGGACATTGACTCTTACACATGACTTTAGTAAAGGACATTGACTCTTACACATGACTTTAGTAAAGGACAATGACTCTTAAACATAACTTTAGTAAAGGACATTGACTCTTACACATGACTTTAGGAAAGGACATTGACTCTTACACATGACTTTAGTAAAGGACATTGACTCTTACACATGACTTTAGTAAAGGACAATGACTCTTACACATGACTTTAGTAAAGGACATTGACTCTTACACATGACTTTAGTAAAGGACATGGACTCTTACACATGACTTTAGTAAAGGGCATTGACGCTTACCCATGACTTCAGTAAAGGACATTGACTCTTACACATAACATAATAATCTCACTACATCTGGAGCATATTTTGAAACAACCATAACTCTATCAATATAAGACTATTAAAAAGATTATAAGATTATTAAAACTTTGGCAGAGGACCCCACATTGAATGAAGTCCATGTGTGCCAAATCTCAGAGCAATTAACCTCCATTTAAGAAAAATATTGAAGAAATGGAGGGTTGCATTTTTTGGGGTCACCCTGTACATGACTTTTTACTTATATACGGTAAAGGAAATTGAAACTTACACATGTCTACATAAATATAGAATATTGACTCTTTTAAACAAGAAATAGAAGGGATTGACATGCAAAATGTCACCGTGTTGCGTTTCTAACAGATGCTGAATACAAACCACCATACATCAATCACCAACTGCTGCCAGGAAAAGTTTTAGATTATAACAATATGTCACCACCTGTGGAGGTGACATAATAATCTCACCGAATATCTTGTTAATACATTTTAGTAAAGCACCCAATTTACAAAGAAAAACCATGCCATGTCGTACATTAACACCATAGTAACATCAGAACATCAATACAACATACTGGTAGTTATTAATGCAACACCTACGATTTAACATTGGGTATCTGTTGCACTCAATGTTGAGACTCCCTGGAACAGATGACAGATTCAATGCTACATGGTTTACTGTGCTTAATGTCAACTGCCAAAATGATAAATACTATTAACCTCTTGACTACAGTAACACGGCGTGATAAAAATTGTCAAACCAATATTAGAGCCACGACTAAATACTCATCACAGTACAACAGTAATTTTCATGAATATATAAGTTACCATCATCTTCATTTGCATCCTTATGATCATCATCATATTGTCCAGTTATATGAGGTGATACTATGCAGCAAAATGGAGGATACAAAATATTTGATTATTTGCAAAATGGAGGATACAAGATATTTGATTATTTGCAAAATGGAGGATACAAGATATTTGATTATTTGCAAAATGGAGGATACAAGATATTTGATTATTTGCAAAATGGAGGATACAAGATATTTGATTATTTGCAAAATGGAGGATACAAGATATTTGATTATTTGCAAAATGGAGGATACAAGATATTTGATTATTTGCAAAAAGACAGTTGATTCATCAATTGGTAAAGATGAGACAAAAATAAGTTTTTCTATTAGAATAGTTCTTGGAATAGCTCTATTTTCAGTTTTCACCCAGGGGATTTTTGGTGACACTGGGTTTAGCAATTAAGCTCTTTATATTAGGAAAATATAGTTATACAACACTAATGACAATTTATGCGCTCAGTGATTTCCCCAGTATTAAAGCAAGCGGGAATCCATTTGCACCCTCTTAATAATGAGAAAAATCATGAAAATAGGCATATTCAGACCAAATTTTTTGTGAAAATAAAATTTTGCACCCACTTGAGAAAAAATCCTGATACTGAAAAATTGACTTAGAGAAAAAAGTATAAGATTTTTAAAAAGGACAACCCTTTACCTGTGAAGATATTACCATATATATATATATAGATGTAAGATAAAACAAATATGAAAAAACCAAACCTACTTTTAGAAGCATCTGGAACTGCTTTTTCAGAAGAATCATCCTTCGACTTCTTCTCCTTCTCGGCTGTGATTTCACCATTAATTTCTGCTAGTTGTTTCTTTAATTTCTGCAACAACTTTGGGAATTGTTCATCAAAACTGTTCGAATCCAGTATTAATGTCCAATCAAACCTCACAAGTTGTAGCTTCCTGAAAATGAAAAAGAAGAATTTTGAAATATAAAATAATTGCGACAAAGAATCGAATCAAGGTAGAAAGCCCAAAACATTGACTTTCCAAATATTCCATTGTTATTGCATTTTTATACAGGTCAAATTTGGGACACATGTCATGAAAGATCAGGCGCTATTCACTGATCATTCTAACAGGAAAAAAAAATTAGACAAGATGTTAACATGCAAAATGTCACCACCACTAGTGAACAACTCGTAATATTCCCACTAGCTTGTGTGGCTTTATCACCTACGAAAGGTTTTATTTAATATTCGAACATGACTTTATTCACACCTTCTATAAACTGTAAACAAAGTCAACATTTCACCCGGGGTACATTTGCAGACAAAACCCCTGGTAATGCATGTAATGTGTGACGTCATAACGGCGGGCCGTGGTAATGGCAGACCATAGTGATCATTCAAAACATTTTGGTTTTCATGTTTCAATAGTAATATAGACCTCAGAGCAGGTGTAATATCGTCGAATACACCCCTTGGGGCTAGGCACAAAATCTTTCGAGCCCCTTACTCCCTTCGGTCGTTCGGGGTACACAAAACATTTGTGCCTAGCCCTGCAGGGTGTATTCGACAATATTACCTCTCCTCTTCGGTCTATGTTTCTTAATGAAACAATAACTTAGGGAGTTTCAAAAAGCAATTTAACTGAATTATCTCAACTTACATGCCAGTGTCCATTAGTGGAAACAGCTCATCTGGTGTTTGCAGACCTACTGGGAATATTGCTTTATTTGAGACATAGGCCAGGGCAAGTTCATCTTTGCAGTATTTAGATTCTACAGTCTTGGCACTAACTAGTGATATAAACAGCTGAAATACATAGAATAAATGCAATAATACTGGGAATATTGCTTTATTTGAGACATAGGCCAGGGCTAGTTCATCTTTGCAGTATTTAGATTCTACAGTCTTGATATAAACAGCTGAAATACATAGAATAAATGCAATAATACTGAGAATATGGCTTTATTTGAGACATAGGCCAGGGCTAGTTCATCTTTGCAGTATTTAGATTCAACAGTCTTGGCACCAACTAGTAATATAAACAGCTGAAATACATAAAATAAATGCTATAATACTGAGAATATGGCTTTATTTGAGACATAGGCCAGGGCTAGTTCATCTTTGCAGTATTTAGATTCAACAGTCTTGGCACTAACTAGTGATATAAACAGCTGAAATACATAAAATAAATACTATAATACTGGGAATATTGCTTTATTTGAAACATAGGCCAGGGCGAGCTCATCTTTGCAGTATTTAGATTCTAAGTCTTGGCACTAACTACATGTAGTGATATAAACAGCTGAAATACATAAAATAAATACTATAATACTGGGAATATCGCATTATTTGAGACATAGGCCAGGGTGAGCTCATCTTTGCAGTATTTAGATTCTACAGTCACGGCACTAACTAGTGATATAAACAGCTGAAATACAAAGAATAAATGCTATAATACTGAGAATACGGCTTCATTTGAGACATAGGCCAGGGCTAGTTCATCTTTACAGTATTTAGATTCTAAGTCTTGGCACTAGCTAGTGATACAAACAGCTGAAATTCATAGAATAAATGCAATAATACTGAGAATATGGCTTCATTTGAGACATAGGCCATGGCTAGTTCATCTTTGCAGTATTTAGATTCTAAGTCTTGGCACTAACTAGTGATATAACCAGCTGAAATACATAGAATAAATACTATAAAACTGGGATATGGCTTCATTTGAGACATAGGCCAGAACACTTTTAACCATCATGGCAGGCCTGGAGAACATTATAAGATTTTAGATCTACTGACTGTTAAAACTTTCTAAAATCATATGTGGCAATCATAGTTGGAAAAATAGTTAATGCTATATTTGGAGTTTCTCCAAGCAGGGTGTTCAAAACTTAAAAGTATACTTTCATCAAAAACCATAATTACTAAATTAATCTACCGTATTCTCTGTAATTACCGCCCACTCTCTAATAAGCGCCCACCCCGCTTCACAAAGTTCAAGAAACATCGAGGAATCATAATAATCCATAATGAATGAAGGAATTGTTCTTTATCGGCATTCAGAAATTTCAAAAGCTACTGCGCAGATGTTCTGCGCATGTCAAGGTCGTGAACTTTCTGGTTTCTTTTTAATGTTTCTCGACTTTTACACGACTTTTGCACGAATAATGATGATCTCTCATCAAATTAGAAATAATGTATAACTTTAGATCGATATCCAGCAGTCTCTAGTGGAAATATTGAAGGTTATCGGCGATAATGACAAAGTGGGCGTGCCGGAAATAAATTAGACATAGACGGGTCTTCAACCACTGTCAATATTGTCTAAGCGATCTTTACCGTATTCTCTCCAATAACAGCACTTGTCATATTATTATAAAAATATGTTGAAGAAAATGCATTCTTGTCAAGAAAAATTGCCATACATGAAATTCCTCGAGATTTCTGATTTCTTTCATACATGGGCGCTTATTAGAATGGTCTAAATAATGTATTTTCAATTTTCTAAACGCCCTGGGCGCTAATTACAGAGAATACGGTAAGTCAAATAAATGTACTGTAGACTTTGAATAGTTCTAATTTAATTTTATGTCTGATGCTAGTTCACATTCAATGAGTCAAATATTTGGAAACATATATCTTATTGTTTCTATGAAGTAGGATATTATTGGAATTTGAAGTGCACTTTACATCAGATTAACAGCTGAAACTGCCTCAGGGTTTATTCCTGAAAGGCGCTACATCAAATGTAGCAATGAATGTAGCTGATGACCTCACATTGAACTAAACAGCTGATCAGGAGTGGTCTACTGGCCTGCCTAAGGGCCATGGGTCGTACTGACAGTTTAGGGGAGGCATCAAAAGTTCGATGTCTGATCGGAAACTAAATAAATCTAGTTTTGACTCTGACCCCCCCCCCCCTCCCCCCAAAAACTAAATACCATGAAAGTTGATAGCTGACTTCCGGTTTGAGAATTTGAAAAATTATTGCTAAACACGATCTAGTTTTTGTTAATTCCTATCGTAATTTGCGGCTTTTAACAACTATTGATAGAATAGAATCCATTGGAATGATCTTGACGAAGAAAGCATCAGGTAAAATCTTTATTTTTAAACCATTCAAAGGCATTTTCAGTCGAAATTGCCAAAAATTTGAAATGTTGAAATTTGTCGGATAGTAAACTGAAATGGGTTTGAACCCCCTCCCCCCTAACTAGATTTATTTAGTTTTCTATTCGACATCGAACTTTTGATGCCTCCCCTTAAACATCTGGTCTTTTTGAATCATATGAAGTTATGAACTACCATTGTGTTGAAAGATTAGAAATATTGAATTGGTGATGCAACAAGTACAAGTTCAAGGATTTTCTCTTAAAATGATCTATAGTGATAATCTTAATTTCTCTTGTGGTCTTTAAATGTATAATATTCACCAAGTTTGAAGCAATTAATCATTCTGATTTCACCCAATTTAGCTCCTTCCATTCAGAGTTTGAACATATCATTCAAGTGATTGGTTCACTGATTAAATAGTCATTCAAAATAGTGTTCACAGGTTTTACTATAGCGCCTAATTGAAGCTATAAATCAAAGTATACAGGGTGTCCCTAAACTCTCTTCAATTCCAGTACAGTTTGTGTAAGTAAAAGGTACATGTATGTGTAAAGTGTGTAGAGATGTTATGGACACCCTGTATTTCATAGTGACGATTTTTCAACAAATAAAGTGGCAGTTCTCAACAATAAAAGTGACATTTATTTTGAGTTTATCCACTTTGCAGAAACATTTACTGTCAGGAACACAAAACATAAAATATACCTTTTTATTAAAATGCCCAGAAACTTTACAAAACATAAAGCTGTGGTCGTGAAAGAAAATTTCATAGATTAATCATGGAGGAATACCAATATCATAGTCTGGCACATGTTGAGGAATTTCAAATCAATAATTCTTTAGATAATTTGAGATGAATTGTCAGCTGGTCTCAACCTTCACAAACTTTAGCAGGAAGCCGGTAAGTGAAAACTCTATAATATATATATATATCTAATATTCATCATTAATTTACACAATTTATAATTTTATAATTGATTAGGAGACGTGATGGTGTTTAAAAACATATTTCATATTTCTAGTATAAAATATTCTACATTTCTTGAATATAAATAGACAGAATGAAAGGTCATAATAATATTTGTTTGTATATTTCAATTTTATATTTTTTAATCTAGTTGAAAAAATGCAATTTGGAAAGAGTTGACAATTTATTCACATTTTAAACTATTGAGATTTTTTTCTTAAAATCATTCAAAATATACCTTGAGTAGTTAAATTACAATTTTCACATTTTCAAGAATAAATGCAACCTTTTTTGCTTCCATTCCCTATGATTTATAACCTTACAAATCTATTAACTTTGAAGAATATTTCTTGAAAATCATGAAAGGTTTTTCTCTGGATTCTTATGGTTGTAGATTTAAGTACATCAGACTTTTGAAGAGCACAGATTGAAACATGAGGGGTGTTCTTATAGCTTCAATCTCTGTTGCCATGGTAACTGTAGTACTAGGTTGCATGAAATCACAATTAAAAGGTGAGCTTTGAAATATTTCATATATTACTAGCTGATATGATGTTCAAAAGTTGAATCTCTTCCAGCATTCTGTTACCATGGAAATTGTGTTCAAAAGTTGAATCTCTTCCAGCATTCTGTTTCCATGGAAATTGTGTTCAAAAGTTGAATCTCTTCCAGCATTCTGTTACCATGGAAATTGTGTCAAAAAGTTGAATCTCTTCCAGCATTCTGTTACCATGGAAATTGTGTCCAAAAGTTGAATCTCTTCCAGGATTCTGTTTCCATGGTTTCGAGTTTTCTGATTTTCTAAGCTATATTATTACAAACAAACTGTTTCCATGGTTTCCTGATTTTAAGCTATATTATTACAAACAAGATATTTTAGGATTATTAAGCACGAAAATTAGAGCTTTAAGCCCTGTTAATCTTATCAGGTGAATTGTGAATTTTTTTTGTCAGATTTATCAGGTTAGTTGCTTCTTTTCCAGATGTCCAGTATGACAAAGATTTGATCGACATTCTCTTTAAATACTTTGACAAGGCTGATCAGAATGGTGACAAGATCATAGATCGTGAAGAAATTAAAGCAATTTGGGCAGAGAATGGTGATGAAGAAAAGGCTCTTTTTGAAATCATTGATGAAAATGGTAATAACCTTGAATTAGTCCTGTTTCGATACTCTGTACATGTATACTAGTTTATTGATCGAAGGGTCTATATTACATGTATATGGTGATATTAATCAAAAACATAATACTAAATAAAAATAAAATCTTTTTTTTCAGGTGATGGAGTCATTGATGAGACTGAGCTTGCTGAAGCTGAGTTGAAGACAAACCTGAAAGATGCAGTCAATATGGTCAAGCAAGATATAGAGGAACTCAAGCAAGATGCACTCAAGCAATATGCAACCGAGCAAGAGGAAATTGAGGAAGAAGTCAATGAAATATTAGAGGAAGCAGGGTCTGGATCCGCATCAGATTAAATACACAACTGAAAATAACTGTCACCATGGCAACATTCTTTTGCCTAGCAATAGTGGGAACATTTGATTGATTTTGTTCTCTGTACTGTTGTTTTGTTTTGGTTTGCTTTGTTGATGATGTTATTTAAATAAATGCTTTCCCTTATCTTATATCAAGCCTATCTTTTAATCAAGAATTTTACTTTACTCAGGGCCATAGACAGCTTTTGCCAAGGGGGGGTCACTTCTAACAAATTCCAGGGGGTGTTCACATTTTACAATTTTGGCCCAAAATCACTTGAAAAGTGCGAAGAATGGTAAAGAAAAACTGCATGAATTAGAAAGAACTTTTGACCAGGGGGCGTTCGCTTCAACACCCCGAACCCCCCTAGCTATGGGCCTGCTGCTACATTATACTTATTGTCCACACTTGAACGAACCCAGTTAATCACACACAAATGACCCTAAGGCAAATCACACTTAATGAACCATGACTCATTGAGGTTGATCACACTTAAATGAACCATGAATATTCTTATTTCAAATTAGGTACCCACCATAAATAAAAATTAAAAATGCTTTCAAATATCATGTCATACAAAATGACTCGTTACTCATTTTGAGGAATCAGTTTAGTGATTCAAGGTGATCTATATGTTTTATACTGGCCAAATATAGTGAATTTTAAATTACAGTAAAACACTTTGTGAACACCTCTCTCTAATGAACACCTGTGTCTAGTTTACACTTTACACCCCTCATAAGTACATACATGTACAGTGTACATGTACACCACTAAAAACACTAAACCACTAAACACATCTGGAAATGATCACCTCTCTGTAGTTAACACCTACCTGCAGTACACACAATTTTGTGGCTCTATAGACATTCACTAAATACTTTACTGTACTAGCAAGCGCAAGTAATCCAACTTACCTTAGCATCAATAATGGCTTGTCCTATCTTACTAAGGAAATCTACACCAGCTTTCAGTCCTATAGTGTCCACCCAAACTGTTATTCCATTCTCTTCCAAACCAGCTAAAAATAAACATTTTACAGAGATGAGTATTTGTATTTTTATATAATAGATAACAAAGATTTCGCACAATGGGTTATACAGTAGATGAAACGTATCTGAGCTAAAGGCTACCAGCTTTCACTGAGTGTTGCTTCATCGTGAAAAGTCACAGCAAAAGTTTTATCTCTCAACATCGGAAATTATGGTAGTGTGTCTCAAAAATTGTGGTAGTGTGTCTCAAAAATTGTGATAATGTGCCGGCGTCTGTGATTGTAGCATAAAACTTTGGGGGTGAAAGAATATCACCAAGGAAGAATTTATATTCAAAAGTCTTGTGATAAGCTCAGAATAAATGGACATTACAAGTTTGAATAACGGCTTCCAATCCTGGTATATCACTTACTCTTTTTTCATTTATTTATTTTTATTCTTTATTCAATCAAACATGATGTAAATACACTTAAATATCACCTACTCTTGAGTCTGTGCATCATCTCTTTATCAGCATGACTGTAGCTTATCATAAGATCCTTGGGGCCAATACTATATTGCTGGCTGGCCAGACTCGTCTTTCTGGAGTCTGAAGACTTCTCAACATTATCGGCAGCAATTTCTGTAGTTTCCTAAAAATCATCATCATCATTATCATCAGTATTAAGACTAGTTGGATGAACAGTTTTTAATGGTCTCATCTGGTCATATATAATAAATCTGAGCTTTTAATAAATTAAAATTATACAAAATATGGTCGGTAGTGTTTCATGGAACTTTGAAACCAATAAAAATGGGACAAATGAAATCGTGGAATGTCCATGTAATAGTCAATTCCCTTCTTGTAAATAGGAGGAACTTCCTATTGAAGGTCATTACAAAGTTATGAATAATGTACAAATTGTACCTTCTCATCCTTTGCTTCCTGTGCCCTTGAAGAAGATGTTGAGCTCGTGGGTGATGCCTCGGCCTTCTTAGAATATTTCTTGTACATGATTTAGTATTATTTGTGATCAGTGTCTAACCACCATGCAAAAGCTGTATCATGTTACCATCTTTGTGCTTCAAGAACGTGAATCATAGACGAAATCTGAAAAGGACCTTAATTTTGATTGTTTGTGGGTCACAGAGGGGCCAATTGTGAGTTCAACTATGAAGTATGTTATAAAACTACCCTCTTGTATTACTATATTACATTTAATAGCCCGACCCTCACAACCTTTGCCCATTAAAGGGTAGGTACGAAATATTTCGAGGAAAATGATTGACATATATGGTATCTGCGTGAAAAGTCAAAACGGCGTTAGTTTTTTTGCTGTATTGGTGATAAAGTTTTTCTACGTAAATATTTTTGCTTGACAATAATCAGGTAAAATGTTGGGTGACATATTCTGTCACACAAACAAGAAAAAGCAGAAAACTCCTCGAGTCGAGGTATCCAAGTCAAAAAGTTTCCTGACCCTGTCTTACATCTGTTGATTATCCCTGTTTATAACTGATTCAAGAGCATTGCACTGAACGAACCTATAATTGTTATTTGTTTAGTTGTTGGTTGGGTAACATGTTTATGACGTCACAAATGATGAGAAGAATCTTTAAACCAATCAGTGACGTCTATATTAATTGTTTGTTTAGTTGTTGATGTGGCAATACGTGTTACGGGTGATTGCATCATATTCCAGTCACGCCATCTTATGACATTGCATAATTTTAGCTGATTTTGGCTTCATTTCACTTTATTTGAAAGATTTTAAAAATATAATAATACTCAGTCAGTATTTTTTTTTTAAACATTAATGTTTGAATTTGAGCTCAAAGTCTGAAAATTTGATCAACTGATTTAAATCACGGTTTAAAGAGGTGAAGAAGTGAATAATTACAGGAGCAAACGTGATCAATACGCTCCTACTTTGCGCTGCCTTCAGAGACCTCGAAAAGGACCTCGAAAAAACTGGCGTGACTTTAAATTTTCCAGCAAATGCGTGACAAATACACAATTTGAGGGACAGTTTGACGGCCTGTATTTTATTCAACATTGACCAATTCCTGTAGGTGATTGACTGAGAAGTCTGCCGTTCAAGACAATAGTTGTCAAAAGGCCAGATTGAATAAAAACACATATCAAATATTTGCCATTGTTATTACGCTTATTCCTGAGTGGAATAAAAGTAAATAGTAGATATAAATAAAAAGTTAAAAAGTTACCAATTAGATGACAGAGCTTTCATGTAATTTTCAAAATTGATTCGTAAATTTCCCCAAAACAATATTTGATGCTCTTTAATAATTAAAGCTAATAATTAAACAAATAAACAATTAAAACAATTGATTTTATAATTTACTGAAGCAACTGAATTAATGAAATATACAAAACAAAGAAGAACATTAAGATGTGAGAGTTAAAATTAAATACGAAGATTTTCACTGAATTATTTTTTATCTCTATCAAGATTGACCTACTTCTTGTTGTCATGTAAAATCCCGATACCAGCTATATATGGTGAGTAGACTCGTTTTCTAGACGACTAAACATCACTGAGACAATTTTGTAGACTTGTATGGATGCACTGTCACTTGGCAAGTTGTACAAACATACATGTAGATGTAAAAATTACTGGATATTTAGCTTAAAACTTTGCATGCAAAAGAAAAAGTTTTTGCCAAACTCGAACTGACTCTTTCCAAGGCCACTAATCTTTCGTCCAGAGATAAATCCCAACATGTTTTTTACTCTACCCGATGTGAGTCATGTCGCTGTATATCGGTTATGTCGATATCATAAATTTGAAATCAAATGTTCGCCATTTTTCCACGTCACAATTTGAATAGCGAGTTCTGGTCTTATTACCTCATCAAAAATTCCAAAACATGAAGTGATCAATGTATTAGTTCAAATCTTCTGGATCGCTAACTTAGAATTTACTGCCATGCAGTTACTAATGTCAGGCGTTAACAACATTTTGTCCAGTTTTCGAATATCGCCATTTTTCTTGGAGCCGTTTGTTTTAATTTTAGAGGAAATCCTGACGGAATCATGCAATATCTCATCAAGGAGCCCAGCCAGTTCCATTTCAATTAATGAAATATTAACATGACGGTTTTAAGAATCGTTCGTAACTTTATACGAAAGTTCTGTAATGCACATTTACCAAATTCTTAAAATTGACTTGCGAATCCATAACTTCACAAAAGTTCTGTTATAATGACCCCCAGGTGACTTAATTCTGTAATTAATTTAAACCATGTCTAATAATGAAGATAGTCATGCATGTTCAGAATTTTGATGTAATCTTCAATAGAGTCACATGTTAAAATATCTATCACTTCTTCCTCATATTGCTTAAAAAATTATTCATTGCACTCTTTTCTAAGTAGTATATGCCTTTTTATGTCCCCACCACATAGTTTGGGGCCATATTGTCGGCCTAGGCGCGTCCGTCTGTCTGTCCGTCCGTCCGTCTGTCCGTACGTCCGGGAGTTTTCTCCAAAACCGCTACAGATATCACCTTCAAATTTTCAGGGATAACTTATGAGTGCATACAGATGTGGATGAAAAAATTTTAACTTGATACCTACTTCCTGTCGGCCATTTTGAAGTCAAATGCTAAAATCCTTGTCTGCAAACTTTAAGAAAAACGGCTTCACAGTTGCTTTTAAAACTTTAACATCTTGTTCAGCTCACTTCATTCTAGATCTGATTTGGTTTTGGACCTGTTAGCTCAGTCATGTCAGCCATTTTGAATGTCTTAAGAAAAGTTAGCGCACGATAATACTTTGTATCATATTGAATGGTGTCTTTGAGTTTTCATACTTTAACTATTTAGTAGCTTTATAAATAATTTCAGATCTACTTTGTTGTAAAAGCCTATGTTATTGTTAACAGTAGTAATATGTGATAATTTTGTAAGAAGAAATCAGCAAAAACACATAATCACTTTTTTATTGTCGGCCATTTTGGATTTTTCCGTCCTAAAATCTTGTCTGTGAAGTCTTGTCTACGTGTTTTCAGGTGAACCGTTTGGTGGATCAATTTCAAATTTTCAGGGATGATTCTTAGTATAAAAATCTAGATCTGATTTGTTTTTTGGCATTCTGGGTAAATGTCAAGGCAGCCATTTTGGATTTTCCATCCTAAAATCTTGTCTGTAAAGTCTTGTCTATGCATTTCCAGGTGAACTGTTCTGTAGATCAATTTCAAATTTTTAGGGATGATTCTTAGTATGGAAATCTAGATCTGATTAGTTTTTTGGCATTCTGGATAAATGTCAAGGCAGCCATTTTGGATTTTACGTCTTAAAATCTTGCCTGTAAAGTCTTGTCTACGCGTTTTTAGGTGAACCGTTTGGTAGATCAATTTCAAATTTTCAGGGATGATTTTTAGTGTGAAAATCTACATCTGATTAGTTTTTTGGCATTCTGTGTAAATGTCGTGGCAGCCATTTTGGATTTTCTGTCCTAAAATCTTGTCTGTAAAGTCTTGTCTACGCGTTTTCAGGTGAACCATTTGGTAGATCAATGTCATATATTCAGGGATGATTCTTAGTATGAAAATCTAGGAACAGATTAGTTTTTTGACATTCTGGGTAAATGTCAAGGCAGCCATTTTGGATTTTCCATCCTAAAATCTTGTCTGTAAAGTCTTGTTTACATGTTTTCTAGTTAACTGTGTGACGGATCAATTAAAATTGTGTTGGTAAAGTCTTGTCTACTCATTTTCAGGATAACCATTTGATGGGATCACCCATTGGTGGGGACATTTTGCACACATTTGTGTTCTTGTAGTGTCCTTGTATTTATCATGATGTATTTTTGTAAATACCTTTTATAGATTGAGGATATTATAAATAATTCAATGCTAATTTAAAATTCACCCAAATTGCAAATAACCTTTATCTTCATCATAACTTGAGTCTGTGCCTTTAACTTTATCTTGACTTGAATCAGTATCTCTAACTTCACCTTTCTTGGATCTACCTTTAACTTCATCTTTACTTGAGTCTGTATCTTTAACTTCATCTTGCTTGAGTCTGTATCTTTAACTTCATCTTGCTTGAGTCTGTATCTTTAACTTCATCTTGCTTGAGTCTGTGTCTTTAACTTCATCTTGCTTGAGTCTGAATCTTTAACCTCATCTTGCTTGAGTCTGTGTCTTTAACTTCATCTTGCTTGAGTCTGTATCTTTAACCTCATCTTGCTTGAGTCTGAATCTTTAACCTCATCTTGCTTGAGTCTGAATCTTTAACTTCATCTTGCTTGAGTCTGTGTCTTTAACTTCATCTTGCTTGAGTCTGAATCTTTAACCTCATCTTGCTTGAGTCTGTATCTTTAACTTTACTTGATCTTTGCTGAATGATGTTCTATTATTATTAATTGATTTTTGCTTGGGCCTATACCTTTCACTTGATCTTGATGCAGTCGATTTTTAACATGCCAAATATATTAGGCTTGCATCAAACGACTTCTTTAGAACTGCTTTATAACTTAGGGGCTTAATGGAGAAAGGTTACCAGTGACCAGTCTTGATGAGACTATCATACATTGAAATTCTGAAAATTTACTTTTAAGTTGCATAAAACATCATAAAAATTACATGTTGATCCATATTAGGACTGTTGCATACTCAGTGATCTCCCCTCGTTGAAATATCTGAGGCGGGGCACCTCCATGTGTTTTATAAAAGTAAAATGCTCTCATTGCTATTAAATGCGCCTCCTAAAATGTTACAATAAATACAAAGAAATTTTTAAGTGTTGGACAAGAAATTACAAAATCATAAAATGTTGCACAAAAAAATACAAAGTGCTAAATTGTTGCACTAAAAAAATAACAAAATTCTCCATATTACTTATATATTCTTTAATATACTAAAGATGGCATCCATGTGCATTAACATCTAGTTTTGATATATTCTCCATCATCGTTGTCTTCCAAGGAATACAGTAAGAGCAACTGAAACATTGTGAATTAAGATTTTTCTGCATTGATTATGTTCAGTCATTAATGAAGATCAATTTCTAAAAATGTTTCTGTCTCTTAGATCTGTAGATGTCCCCTCAGTTGTATGTGATAATTTGGCAAACTTTCGTATTATCAAAATCTATACTTCATAATTTAGAAGGTTTTACTATGATAGTGTGGTTACTCTTTTCAATTAATGTGTTTTTAGATTAGACTACTTTAAAATAAAAAGATGGCGTAAAATTGTGACAGATCAGAGAATGATTTTGATAATTAATAATTAAGCGTTGTCCATGGGCTTTCAACAAAAAGCCCATGCTTTGACTGAAAATGAAAAAACTTGAGGTGTTAGTAATGATTTATTCTCAAGGAATCAGTGAATCCAGCATGGCTTACATGGTTTTATAGACAGTTTTTCAAGTGAAACTGTGAAATTTATGTCCCTAAGTAGTATAAAATCCACAAGTTCGCATCGCCTCTGTAAATTTGACTCACCTGGCTTTAACTTTAAGCGTGAGTGATGTAAATGGTGCAAGGCAAAATAGTAATGCCTGGGTCACATTTGATCTAAGGCAACTGTATGGAGGCTAGTCTTGCTTAAAATACCCTGTACCCCCCCCCCCCCTTTATCCTTCTCTCTAGGTGTATTGCAGGTAAAGAGAGTGAAGGTGACGGGGGGGTGGATACAGTCTTTGAGCAAGACTATATGGAGGCCATGTGTTACAAATTGAGTGAAAAATGCAGTTTAAAATATAGAGATAAGCAGTATGATGTATATTTTCTATTGATTTTGTGAAGTTGTAGCCACAACACAGCAAATGTGACTGGGGCTTAAAGGTGCAACAATTAGTGCAGGTTCAACGATCATTGACCAGTGTCAAAATATACTTAAGTATTTAAGTTTGGTATTTCATCAAGACTAACATATATTTTTAGTATCTACAAAGACACCCCCTGGATGAACATTATTTCAGCTGATATTCCTCTTGAAATGTGGTGGATCTCAAAATTCTATTAGTGTGACTCCCTTTAAAGAAGCTTTGAACTTAATTTACACTTCTTAATGCTGAAATTGATAGTTTATCCATACATTTTAAGAAAATAGGTATGTCAAAGAAAATGTTAAGCCAAATATTGACTTGATAGCTCAGAAAAAATAAACATTTTCCAATTTTCTCTCTACAGTCCTTGTTACCCCTTTAAATGCCATTTCCCTCTTGGCTTGAACACAGACGTTCTTCAATCAATGATTAGATATGTACTTAGAATGAATGCCTAAATATATAATGCCCTAAATACTTCAAAATTATTTTATTTCAAATTTTGATGAACATGGTAGAATTATGAAGAGCCAATATGGGGAATGTTGGCAAGAAATTAATATATCAATATTGAAGAGAGAGAGAGAGAGAGAGAGTGAGAAGAAGGCAAAATATAAATTGGCAATTTAGCGAGCGGATTTTGAAAATAACTTGCAAGGAAGGTGTATTGACAGATTACAGCATTAATGATCCTTTTAGGAACAAAGCAAATGGAAGTTTATTTAGATAGTTTGTGTATGTTCATATCGCTTTCCGAATCAATGAAAACTAAGGGTGAATCTCAAACAAACTAAGTTAGTATTACTATCCCCACCAAACTAGCAAATTATTATGAGCAAACTTGAGGTGTATCACAAACAAACCAGGGTTATATCACTCACAAACAAAGAGAGTATCACAAACTAGCAAATCATCATGAGCTAACTTGTGATGTATCACAAGCAAACTAGCGTTATATCACAAACAAACTTAGTATCACAAGCAAACTAGCAAATTATTATGAGTGAATCTCAAACAAATGAGGAAAGTATCACAAACAGACTCGGAAAGTTTAATATCATGCACAAACTAGAGATGTATATCACAAACAAACTAGGGTTATATTAAAAACAAATTAAGAAAGTATCACAAACAAGCTAGGATTATATCACAAACAAACCAGAGGTACATCACTAACAAACTAGGGTTATATTAAAAACAAGCTAGGGTTATATCACCAAGGCTTAAAGTTTTCCGGATTTTCCGGCTAGTTCCGGTACTTTCAGACCGAAATTTGACCCCCGTGAGATCAGTGCAAATCCGGGTTGATATCAGAGGGGGGTATGGGTTGATCTGAAGCCCAAATAAGTTGAAGACTTGAGGAAAAAATCGTTTAATTGCGGGCCCCAAAACAGCTGATCAGCTGATTCATGTGTGATTTGTTATTTAATAAATAGGTCAGGTTCATAAATTATGTTTATTTTGTCACTCGCCTTTCGCCCAGCGTTCGGATAGTTTCAGGTAAAATATTTTCACAGACTTTAAGCCTTGTATCACAAACAAATTAAGAAAGTATCACAAACAAGCTAGGGTTATATCACAAATAAACTAAGAGAGTATCACAAACAAACGAGGGTTATATCACAAACAAAATAAGAGAGTATCACAAAAAAGCTAAAGTTCTTTCACAAACAAACTAAGAGAGTATCACAAATAAACTAAGGTTATATCACAAACAAACCAAGAGAGTATCACAAACAAACTTAGGTTATATCACAGACAAACTAGGGTTATATCACAAACAAACTAAGAGATTATCACAAGCAAACTAGCAAATTATCATAAGCAATCTAGAGATTTATCACAACCATACATAAACAGAAGCTGAATGTAGAACAGTCACAACCACAAGTAAACTCGAGAAGTATCATGAACTATGAAGTGATAATAATAATCTAGTCGCAGATCTACAGTTTGATCAATTTTTGCTATATAATAAGTATTTTTGTATGGTGCTAGGATGTAAAGAGGATTTAAACCAAGATCAGTTCATATGATATTTCTAATTGCAATGCACATAATTAGACAATTGATTTTGCTGTTATATGCTCAGAGGCTTATATAAGCTGATGCAAGAACAGTTACTGTAACATACAGTGTCAGTTGATGATATCAATTGATGTCATGTGGTATAGTTCACAGCAAGGTTTTTTATAATCGCATTTTGCTCTGATCAAAGTGTCCATGAATTAGTTTTGCCATGAGAAATATTTGCATTGGTTAAGAAAGAAAAATTGAATTAAGATACTTAAGGGAGAAATGAACAAATACTTAGTTTGATATTCACATATAGTTAGGCGAGGTGTGTCAATCCAGTCAATCAGAACACTCTATTTCACGTAAGTGCATTCAGTAACCAATAACGAACTCAAGGTAACTAATTAAAGGGTTGTCGTCATGGTGATGACTGGACTCGAAAATCGAAATTGATATTTTGCCAGCTTGACCCTCGTAAAATATTTCATTGGAAATATTAGTGATTTCATATCTTTTAGATGATTTTATAGAAAATATTTTGCAATGTGTGAAAAGACCCAATGCATCATCCTTTCAGGCATTGTTTCCTAAAATTAACACTCGATGCAAGCATCTTATGCAAATTTTGGAAAGCAACACCTTCAAGGAATGGTCATTCCACATTGCACTGCATACAAGGCTTAAATCTTTAATCAGATTGGAGTTTCTTATCAATATTGTTTGAGAATGAAAGTGAATCCTGCTTGGATTGGTTTGAAGTGTTTCCATTTAGAGATGTCCACATTTAGTGAAAGGTCTTCAGATCGATGTTAACATTTAGAGGTGTTCCCATTAAAATATGTGCTTATTAAGAGGTGCGCAAATTTAGAGGTATGAATTAATAAAATCAGATATCCAATATATTGGAACTGACAGAAATAATGTATCATCTGAGAACTTCCACTGTATGCAGTTAAGACAATATAGTTCATGATAACACAGCTCAAATACTATAGATTTTTAAATCAGGATTATGCACAGAACATCCTTTAGGGACTGCGGGTACTACTCAAAAGGAACTTAAACATGATGAAATAGATGAAATTCACACATACGACAAGTTACAAGTTACGTATGGTTACCATGGCAACCTGACTTCAAGGAGCACCTTGATCAATTTTTTCAATTAGGACGTTTAATGAAATTGTCCCAGTATATGGCTTATTACATGTCATTGCATTACATACTAAGAATTATTAGAAACAGTACCAATAATGCAGAGTACGTATCTAAGATGTAAGTTGTGCAGTTTCTTCAACCAAGACATTTTATGAAATTTACACATCAATGGATTAAAAAGCTCAAACATTTAGGGATTAAGGCTGAAATATGTACATAGACAATTTTCAAGACATTTAATGAAATATTCACATCAATGGATTAAATCTCAAAGCTTAAAGCTGAAATATGTTCATGGACAATTTCCTCAATTCAGTGTATTGATGTGATAGACACATTAAAGGACCAAAGCTCAAACATTTAAGGATAAAAGCTCAAACATTAAAGGATAAAAGCAAAAACATTTAAGGATAAAAGCAAAAACATTTAAGGATAAAAGCTCAACATTAAAGGGTTGGTGCTGAACTATGTACATGTACAATGAAAGTTTAGGCTACATATACAATAAACGTATACATGTACAATGTGTGGCATGGTGATGGGGTGTGGTTCCTCATCAACTTATGGGACAAGTGTAGATCTTGCTACTGGGCGACACATTAGAATAAATGGTATGTTTATTAAAGTATGATTATTAAAGTGGTCATATGGCTTCTATTTGAAAGATAGTCAGATTTTAGAATTAATGGTATGATTATTAAAGTGGTCATGTAGCTTCTATTTTAAAGATTGTCATATTAGAATTAAAGCTATGGTTATTAAAGTGGTCATGTAGTGTCTGTTCGAAAGATTCTCATAGTGAGAATTAATGGTATGTTTATTAAAGTGGTCATATTACTTCTATTTGAAAGATAGTCAGATATTAGAATTAAATGATTATTAAAGTGGTCATATTGTTTCTATTTGAAAGATAGTCAGATATTAGAATTAATGGTATGTTTATTAAAGTGGTCACATTGCTTTTATTTGAAAGATAGTCGGATATTAGAATTAATGGTATGATTATTAAAGTGGGCATGTAGCTTCTATTTGAAAGATAGTCAGATATTAGAATTAATGGTATGATTATTAAAGTGGGCATGTAGCTTCTATTTGAAAGATAGTCAGATATTAGAATTAATGGTATGATTATTAAAGTGGGCATGTAGCTTCTATTTGAAAGATAGTCAGATATTAGAATTAATGGTATGATTATTAAAGTGGTCATGTAGTGTATGTTCGAAAGATTGTCATACTAGAATTAATATTAATGGTATGATTATTAAAGTGGTCATATACCTTCTATTTACCTTCTAGTCAGATATTAGAATTAATTTGACACATTCTCTCCTCTAAAGTGTAGTTGTAAAAGATACATCAGGAATCTTGATGTATGGTATTTCACATTTTAAACTGCTCATCCATTGTGGAAAAAAATTAAAGATAGGATGAGAATAAAGCAATTGCATTGATTAACATTTAAATGTTCATAATGACAGGTGAAACTGTAATGAATTAACTGATCAAATTGAGAGAGTTAATCAATAAGAGCTATAAACCACTAGTTGGTATAAATTAATCACCAATATCAACATTTTTCTGCTAGGTTCCTGGTTACCACTGATTCATATTTTTCATTTCACTGATAACATTTTAAGGTAGTTCTGCTAGGTTCTTGGTTACAACTGATTCATATTTTTCATTTCACTGATAACATCTGAAGGTGGTTCTGCTGGGTTCCCGGTTACAACTGATTCATATTTTCATTTCACTGATAACATTTTAAGGTAGTTTTGCTAGGTTCCTGGTTACAACTGATTCATATTTTTCATTTCACTGATAACATTTTAAGGTAGTTCTGCTAGGTTCTTGGTTACAACTGATTCATATTTTTCATTTCACTGATAACATCTTAAGGTGGTTCTGCTGGGTTCCTGGTTACAACTGATTCATATTTTTCATTTCACTGATAACATTTTAAGGTAGTTTTGCTAGGTTCCTGGTTACAACTGATTCATATTTTTCATTTCACTGATAACATCTTAAGGTAGTTCTGCTAGGTTCCCAGTTACAACTGATTCATATTTTTCATTTCATTGATAACATCTTAAGGTAGTTCTGCTAGGTTCCTGGTTACAACTGATTCATATTTTTCATTTCACTGATAACATCTTAAGGTAGTTCTGCTAGGTTCCCAGTTACAACTGATTCATATTTTTCATTTCATTGATAACATCTTAAGGTAGTTCTGCTAGGTTCCTGGTTACAACTGATTCATATTTTTCATTTCACTGATAACATCTTAAGGTAGTTCTGCTAGGTTCCCAGTTACAACTGATTCATATTTTTCATTTCATTGATAACATCTTAAGGTAGTTCTGCTAGGTTCCTGGTTACAACTGATTCATATTTTTCATTTCACTGATAACATCTTAAGGTAGTTCTGCTAGGTTCCCAGTTACAACTGATTCATATTTTTCATTTCATTGATAACATCTTAAGGTAGTTCTGCTAGGTTCCTGGTTACAACTGATTCATATTTTTCATTTCACTGATAACATCTTAAGGTAGTTCTGCTAGGTTCCTGGTTACAACTGATTCATATTTTTCATTTCACTGATAACATCTTAAGGTAGTTCTGCTAGGTTCCTGGTTACAACTGATTTATATTTTTCATTTCATTGATAACATCTTAAGGTAGTTCTGCTAGGTTCCCGGTTACAACTGATTCATATTTTTCATTTCACTGATAACATCTTAAGGTAGTTCTGCAGCTCTGCTAGGTTCCTGGTTACAACTGATTCATATTTTTCATTTCACTGATAACATTTTAAGGTAGTTTTGCTAGGTTCCTGGTTACAACTGATTCATATTTTTCATTTCATTGATGATATCTTAAGGTAGTTCTGCTAGGTTTCTGGTTACAACTGATTCATATTTTTCATTTCACTGATAACATCTTAAGGTAGTTCTGCTAGGTTCCTGGTTACAACTGATTCATATTTTTAATTTCACTGATAACATCTTAAGGTAGTTCTGCTAGGTTCCCGGTTACAACTGATTCATATTTTTAATTTCACTGATAACATCTTAAGGTAGTTCTGCTAGGTTCCCGGTTACAACTGATTCATATTTTTAATTTCACTGATAACATCTTAAGGTAGTTCTGCTAGGTTCCCGGTTACAACTGATTCATATTTTTCATTTCACTGATAACATCTTAAGGTTCCTGGTTACAACTGATTCTACCATAATTCTTAAATATCTGTACAAAAATGTTAGAAATATTACCTATATAATTTAATATTATTACCACATTGACAGGCCTGTTCTAGGGGTACCGTATAAGTTCTAGTTTAGAAGGCATTTATTTTACTATATTGACCTGAGGAATATGTGACAACATAGTTGCGGCACTGGCTGGCCATAATGGTAGGCCAATAATGGATATAACAGCCTGAAAAATGAGATATCGTTCAATGCATATAATATTCGTTCAGTGGTACTCAGTTCTTGCTATTTCAACCATGGGCATAAATGGTGGTAATAATACTAATAACGTCATTTCTGCGGGCAAAATAGTGAAATATTGCCCTTTGAAATGACGTTATTGTGCTATTGTTAATTATAGTCTTGAGAATTAAGGTTTATTATTAGGTTATCTAAATGTATCAGAGTAACAGGTACTCATGTTAATAGTCAATGAATGCAGGTATTAATTAAAAGGTGACAATATACAAATAGTGACTGCCATTGAGGGCAATAGTGTAAATTATTTCCCCGAGGCAATATCATCTGAAATGTACTATTCCTGAAGCCGCAATATTCCCGCTTCTTTTATTTGAGGGAATATAACTTTCGAAGAGAGATAGTAAATCTATTTTGGGACACGTGACTAGGTATTGACCAATCAGGATTAGTGTAACATATTGGGTATATAATAATACAGAATGGTTCATTATTATAGAGTTGTCTTGTAGAATTTGACTTATCGAATATTTATTTCTACCTTTGGTAGGGGAGGGTGTATTATGCACTTTTTCTTTTCACCTTTTTCTTGCCATGTTCTGTAACCATTTTTTTTATTTTCCTGTTGCCACTTGGGCATACATATTTTTAAGGTGGAATCACCCTTAGGTGTAGATATAAACTTTTTTTTAAATAATTGTCAAAAATATTTATTTTAATCAGAAGCATTTTCACATGTCTTAAATCTGGTAGACATTTTGTGTTGAAAGTGTTTTGTTCATTGCCTTTTATGTAACCTATCATGATGAACATCAAGTCTTTCATCATCTTTATCATCATTTTTATTGTACCTTGTTCTACGGAGATCCACGTGATTCAACATATTTAGAGATGGGTTTCCTTTACCTAGGTTACCCTGACCTTTTATTCAAATGGAAAATTCATTTTTAGCAACACATACTCGGCAGATTTATTTTTATTTCAACTTTAATAACAATACGTCACCACTTCTGGTGATGACATAAATATGTATTTCCTACAAATTATAGCCTATATTTCATTTCATAATTACAAGTTTAGGCATCCTTCCTGCGTGCCCTGTCTCTATTTATCATATTCTAAAAATATATTTTCCAGAATTATTCCTTTAATTAACGTTTGTATATCATACGAGGGGTGATCCAAAAGTCTTGGACGCCCTGCTCTAATTTTATCAGTTTTTGATAAAATTACTTTAAACTTTCCAATAATAAAGACCAACAACTTAACTACTTTGTGTATTAATTTCATGGAGAAATGATATATTTTAAGTAGTTTTCTAGATAATTTTTAATATAGGGACCCTGCCACCCGGAACGGTATTCGCACATGGCAACTTTCAGCCTTAAATGTTGCCGCTATTTCACTTGTTTCGCAAGTCTTGACCACTATCTTTCTTTGAATTTTGAATGTTAAACCATGTTAGTTTACTTCCTTTGTTACTAGGCAACCAATTAATTTTGTTTTAGTTATAATGTCACGTATGACAATGGCCGTATATGTCAAATTCTAAGAAAATGACATCAGACAAGCAACCCTCATTCTGGTATCATTTTTGCTGCAACATGGCTGCTGAAATGCAGAACATGAAAGAAATCAAAGTGGAACAAAGAATACTGCAAGATATTTTCACTATTATTAGACCTTGAGCAGCTACCATATGCACGATACAGTCTAGATATGGCTCCATGTGATTTTCTTCCTTTTCTCCAGAAAAAAGGAGGGTTGAAAGAATTTTTTTTATTACTCATTGTATGAGGTTTAGAGTGGCACTCCAGCAGCATTTGTATCACATAAGCAATGGCGGATTCATAAATGACTTCCATTCATTGGTAAAGCGGTATGAAAAATGAGTTAAAATTCGCGGAAAATATGTTGAAAAGTAGGTCTTAATATGTTAAGATGATGATGGCAGATGGCACTCAGACTGAAAATTGGAAATTCTCTCATATCATGACTAGTGTTAGGTTGTGCACCTGCACCTAAAGTATTTGCCATATTATAACAGTTGTGACGTGATTTGCTATATTTAAATACCGTTCCGGGTGGCAGGGACCCGGTATTAAAAAATATGTAGAAAAGTAGCTGAAATATATTATTTTCTGTTGAAACTTATACACAAAGTTGTTAAGATGTTGATCTTTACTCTCTGAAAGTTTCATGTAATTATATTAGAAAATAGCAAAGTTAGAGCAAGGCGTCCAAGACTTTTGGATCACCCCTCGTAGATAAGATTTACTGTACTTCTACTTAATTTGACGCCCGTCTTAATTTGGCGGATCCGCCAAATTGTTAAAGTTCATCAAATTAAGTACCCCGGTAATTTTAGTACCATGTAAATTAGTACCATTTGTTCATTGTAATATCGAAAGTCCAACATATTAAGTAGCCGCCAAATGTTCAAAACAGCAAATCCGCCAAAATAAGTAGTGCCAAATTAAGTAGAAGTACAGTATGTGATATCTGAAGTAAGAGAGGAAAACCATTTCTAACCCAGAAAATTCTTATTTGTTTTTATGTTAATTCAATTCACTGAAAGAACAATTCTCGGATTGGAGAACTAAGTTCATCAATCTAAATGAGCATTATCCCTGCTTCGGACAAATTTGATTTTTCTACATAATATAGATTTGAATGTCTTCTTTTGAATAGTCATAATTTAATTTGGGTAATATTTCTAGATTTTTCGCAAAAAAATATTAGCGCAGTACACTGATGAACTTTTTTCCCCAAATCGAGACTTGTATTTTATTGAATCGGTCTAATTGAGCGTTATCCCTGCTTCAGATCAATTTGTTATTTTTACATCTTGTAGATTTAAATGTCGTCTTTTGAATGTTCATAATTTAATTTGGGTAATATTTCTATATTTTTCATGAAAAAATTATTAGCCCAGAAGACTGTTCTCCAAACCGAGAATCGTCCTTTGTATCAGTGAGCCACAAACTTGTATTAATCCTCTATTTTTACAAAAATAAACTAATATCTCAAATCGCAACATGACACCATCTTTGAATATCGTAACACTTGTCACGACATGTCATCATTTTAGATTAAAAATAGAAGCTGTTATTTGCTTCATATGGTTTCTTACAACAAGATCTGGAGAAAATCTTGTAAATCAACATTGCGAGTAAAAAAGTAATATATCATTAATTGACAATTACACCGATTTTCTTCCACCACCCACAAATTATGTTGTCGACTTAATAACAGTTATTGTTATGACGATATGATTATGTTTTAATAACACAATTAATTGGAATGTACTTGAGCGATAACGCAACAATGATCATTAAATTCTTGGGAAAATTCGCTGTTATTAAGTGCATTATCTTCTTAAATCAACAAAAAGATTATATAAACGTACATCTCATTTTTGTAACCGTTTAATTTCAGTCTTACAGACATCTTGGATTCTAAAAGATGACTAGATTATGTAATGTTTAGCTTAAAATCAACTTTCTTAGCATAAGTAGCATTTGTCAATCAATTCAGAGATACGTTTCTATTGTGCCGATCTGAGCTGACTACGTTAATAATTGACATTGGTAGTCATGTGATAATCAGGATTTCTAAATTGTCTTAAAGGCTTTGTTTTAGCAACGATCGGAAAACATTCAGTATAATATTCAATTTCAAGTGACTTATTGTTCCTTCTGTAAATCCAATCCCTAATTTCCTGAGTCGGACGAGATCGCTTAATGCTATTCTGATATTTTGATTCATTACTTATTTTTGCTTTCAGTAATTGAGCCTACGAGTATTTGCGAAGGAAGCGATATAGGATCTACATTCTATCACAACTTCAATAAACCAGGCTCCAGCCATAATCAAAGCCAATCACAAGGTCATACTGTGTCACATGATCAACGTGGGTTAACACGAAAACAGGGGAGCGTATCACAAATCCCCGAAGAAAAATCAGATGTTACAAGTACTGATTCTGTACCCAATGCTCATAATTCTGAATCAGAGAAAAAACTCCATAAAACTGGTAGTGAAGAATTACTAGCCCAGTTGACAACCACCGTGGAATCCCCGCCCAGAGTGAAAAATAAAGTGGCGAAATATTCCAGTGGAAATGCTTTCTTACTCGACAAAGTCGTCCCATTATTGAACTCAGAAAGTGCTCTTAAAGAATCAGGCTCTATTCTGAAGGCAAATGAAAAGAATGGTGCTAAAAGTCCAAATCAAGGAGTCAATGGAATAGTATTAACTTTATAACAATTTCCCACGTTTTTGACACATTTTATCAGAACCTCAAAAGCTCGATATTTTATGTCTTGATTGGTGAATGGACCAACAAAGAATTTGGGTAAACTGAATTTGAGTGGTATATCGAACTGAATCCCAAAATGTTTGAATGTTGTGTGTTGTCATTGCTGAATCATTTGACTGAACTGTAGTGCACGTATTCCAAGATGGCTGCTGAAACTGATGTTATGGTAGCATATGAATCAGCGGATTTGGAGTTTGTCAAATGGTTAACTGGTAAGTTGATTGCAATTATTATAATTTTTTTATACAATGTGATAGTGCAATTTAGCATTTTGCAATATGATTACATATAGAACTAAGAAGGAAATAGATGCTATCAGTTTGTCATGATATTATAATAATTTAATAATCAAAAATCCATCATGATCATGCTATCGGTGTTCTCCACAGGACTTTTTCTAAAGTTGGTGACAAATTCTCATTTTCACAATTCAGACTAAAAATTGGTCAAAATATGTCATTTTTTATGATTTTTCTCATTTTAAGTGGGTGCAAATGAATTCTCAGGTGGGTACAAAAGCCTGGTTTTGAAATTATAGCTTTAATGCTGTGGAGATCACTGCTACTGTACCAATGGCAAGACTTTATCTGGACTTTACAGATAATTCTCAGTTCTAACCTATCTAATCAATTTATCGTTGTTTATATTTAATTGGTTGATTAATTGATCTGCTGTTAACAGTTCATTATATTGTAACAGCTAATTATGTTCTCATTCTGAGGACTATAATCAATTTCAGTGGTCTCCCCAGTATTAAAGTACTCTTTGCATTTGTTCAACTTCACTTCTCTCAAAAGAGAGCTTCATCTTCACTCTTTCAGTTTTCAATAAATCTCTTAATTCACCGAGCGTATCAGAGATCGTTGTCGAAATACGGATGATTTTCTATATATGGTCATTTTCTCTGACATGATTATTGTGCACACATTTAGCTCTTGTTCCTTCAAGCTTGCTGATTGGATGAGAAAAGGTTAGCGCGATAGGTATGAAACGAAATGATTTATGACCTGAGCTGTCATGGGCATCGGTTGTGTGGGCGGGGCTGCTAAACTGTAAAATAGTCTATACTAGGAAGAGGGTAGTTTATAACTAGACTCTGCATGCATTGTAGTATTAAAGCTAGTATGTACTGCAATCACTTGAGATTTTAATACTAGGCTTGCACACTTCTGAGAATCCATTTGCAATTGCACCCACTAGAATAGATTTTGTAAAAATACTAGCCATGGCTGTTCGATCATCCTCCGATCACAGGGCTTCAAAATCCAGAATATATTCTTTCTTTTTACCCCCTGCGATAAGCAGTTAGCCTTTCCCCGATTAAGAACTCGCAATCTGATTGGCTGTCACAAGTGTTGCGACACAAATCATGTATAAGTCATTGCGCATAATAAGATCACGTGATTCAGTTTAATCGGGCGCTTCCAAATTGGTTATAGCAGGGGGAAGAAGGAGGAACGGATTCTGGATACCTGCTTAGGAGGATGCTGTTTGATGGGATTCGCTACTCTTTGGCGTTGCTGTTGTCTAGTTCTCATTTTACAAGGACTGTAATCAATGTCACTTGAGATTTTAATACTAGGCTAGCACCCATCTGAGAATCCGTTTGCATCCCACATGGAAATGAGAGAAATCATGAAAATAGGCATAAAATTGTGAAACTAAATATTTTACACCCACTTGAGAAAAAAATCCTGGGGAGAATGCTGGGTTTATTAAGATTAAGAATTTGAACTGTCATATACTGTCATAGTGTGATTGACTCTGATTATCGTAGCAACAACACCGTTGGATAAAATTAATTAGTTGATTGTCCAGTCATGATCTAGATGAATAGCAATCTACTCTTTATCCTCATTAGTTGACTACCCAACCCTCTTACTATTTTAGATGATGTTATAATAAAATGTTACTTTACTCAAATGTAGCTTTAATGGCCTTCTATTGACATACAAGGGTTGATCCAAAAGTTCCGAACTGTTTGCTCTGTTAGTGGTTGTGGCCAAAAATGAACAATATTCATGAAGTATTAAGATTTTTAGAACAAATGGTTCGAAACTTTTGGATCAACCCACATATTTCCAATTAGAATAGAAAAAATTTTTTTTTTGATTTTTACGTCACCACCAGAAGTGGTGACATATAATTATAGTCTCCAACTTTTCTGTGGATGGCGTTCAGTGATTTGTGTTTGGCATTCAGCATTTGTTATTTGGTTGTCAGTGTTCGGCCTCTGTAACAAATGACAGGTGGTGGCACATTTTGCATGTTAATGCCTTGTCTTATTGCTTAAAGTCTTATTGGATGTAGACTAAATTAAAAAATGATTGTAGGGTATAGATACAGTCATGCTGAATTGCAAAGGGTTACAGTTCATGTAAGAAGTAGAAATAATTTCACCTGAAAATGAATGTAATATAATGCCATTAGATATATACTGTCTCACATGGTTAATACATACACATGGAGATGATCATTCTAAAATTGTACCCTATGAAAATTAAAAATACAGTAGAATCTGTAATGTGTAACACCGGCCTCTGAAAGTCAAACACCTCCAGTGATCTCCCCAGCATTAAAGTAAATGGGCGCAGCAACTACCTGAGATTTTGATAAAGGGCATTCATTTGCACCCACTTGAAAAATCATGAAACATGGGCATATTTTGCCAATTTTGGTCTACAAATTAGAATTTTGAACTGAGAATTAATTTGCACCCACTTGAAAAAGCATGACCAATTTTGCTCTTAATTTTGGAACAAAAATGAGAATTTTGAACCAACTTGAGAAAAAGTCCTGTGGAGATCACTGACCAGCATAACAACCATTAGTGGAACACTGTTTTAAGCACTAATGCCAATTATACCCATTAACTTAATCCAAAATAAACCTCTGTAAATGGAACATCTCTAAAGTGGAACAGTTTTAGAGGAACTGAATGTGTTCGATCCACCTGTACTATATCGCTTCAATTGAAAATTCGAAGTGATTTCAAGAGCGGAAAATGTAATGTCCTCTCTCTAAAATTGAAAGGAAGCCATTAGTTTTCTACCCTGTGCGCAGAGTCTATAGTTATAAAATCTTGAGAAGTGAAGTCAAACAAAAGTAAAGGGTATTAGTTTTCTTGCCATTCTTTACAATTTAGAGTGTCACATTTCTTCCTGTTCAGTTAATTGCGAGACATTCATCTCAATTTTCCGCAACGCATGTTTCAAAATGTGACTCCGTTGTGATGATATCAAGGAGGGGATGTCCCAAGGTGTGAGATTAGAAAGTGTTTCATCGCGAACCACTTGATTATTTCTTAGATATCATATTAGTCTCGCTGTTTTAATTAACAGATACAATAACTGTAATAACAGGGAGATTTAAGATTAAACTCTTGACTACCCAGAGTGATGAGACTTCTCATCACCTTGGAAATGACCTTGAAACTCAAAGTGATGAGAAAATCCGTCACAACATTTTTCACTGAAATTGCTCTAATTTTGACAATTTTCATCCAATTTACACAAAAAATGTTTTAACATGTGTAGAAATGATCTCTGCCATCTAATTTCACAAAATTGAGCATCACCTGTTGTATATGCATTTAGTAAAATGTCAAAGGCTGGCTGAAATGAAAAATTCTCTGGTTTCAACTCAATTTTAGAACCTGAGATTCAAGAGCTTAAAAAGAAACATTGAAAGTACATCTTGTATGACATATCCCAGCAGCAGAGGTGTCACGGATACCCGATTTTGTTCAGATCCGCGGAATTATGCCCTCGGAATGGAACACGGAACACAAATTGAGAATTTCGGTTCAGTTCCGGAACAAGAACATTTAACCCATGCCCAACTTTTGGCTCTTAACTCGCCACAAAACAGCATTTTTCTTTCAATATTTTGCACCAAAAGAGGTTCATTCTTTTCACTCCTTCTCATTGTAGAGTTTTGAAGAGCTTTTCGCTACCAAATAGACCTAGATAATCAACTTATTTTAATCTTATACAGGCACTCTGTTCCGAACCGTTCCGAATTTGTTCCGTTCCGAACTGTTCCGAACTGAACCATTCCGATTTTTTTTTGTTCTGTGACATCTCTACCCAGCAGGGGTCATTGATCATTTTGCCAGATGTGCTTTCCCATTATCCACTTCGAGGGACAGATGTGAGAAACTCAGAGAAACTCCCATGTGTCTGTGTTGAGATTTATCTGTAAAATCATAACTCTCTTCATATTTAGTTATCAATGGATCGATCCCCATCCTATTATAGAACACAGTCCTGTGTTTGTCTTTTGGCTCAAGATGGTATTTCTGATTATTTATTTTACCTCCTTTGAGATGCTGATATTGACGATCTCAATTCTTACATGATCATTACACTCAGTGATCTCCCCAGCATTAAAGCAAGTCGGTGCAGCACCCACCTGAGATTTTGAAAATAGGCTTACACCCACCTGAAAATCCATTTGCACCCATTTGAAAATGAGAAAAATCATGAAAAATTGGCATATTTTGACCAAAGTTTGTCTAAATTATGAAAATGAGAATTTTGCACCCACCTTAGAAAAAATCCTGGAGAGATCACTGCTACTGTAAAACCAGTATATCTGAACACCTCTCTAATCCGAACACCTCTTGATGTGAACACTTTTTCTTGGTTCCAATTTTCTTTACTCCCTTGACTCACAACCTTGAAATGTGAACACCTCCTCTTCTGAACACTTTTAGCAATTAAGCCCAGTAGTGTTAATATTAGACATGTTTTACTGTATTGACATTCTGTTACTTATTACATCTTTCTGTAGCATAATATAATTGCATGTCAGTAGGGACAAGAACTGCGATAGTGTGGTTTATGATGCGCATGTAATGGCCGCAGTGTCATAATCAATCGAAGTGGCTTGAGTTTTTTTCTCGTGATTTTTGAGCCCTTGTTAGTGTTATACAATGCGCCACATTTCTTGAGTCCCTATTCACCAGGTGTAGCCCAGACAGGGATAAAGGTTTTCATAATGTGTTTAAGAAAATACTTATACTTTCTGTGCTTAAATGTTTATACCCCAGGCCTGTTGCCAGGAGGGGTTCGAGGGTTCAAGCAAAGCCTCTCTGGCCAAATAATCTTTTTTCAAAATCATGTAATTTTTCATAAACAATTTTCAAGTGAATTTTGGCCAAGTTTGTTAGAATTTAACCCCCCCCCTGAAATTTTTAGAAACGGAACCTCCACCCTTACTGGCAAAAGTTGGTTACGGGCCTGTACCTGAATACAACCTCACACAGCGACACTTTATATACCTCAAATATATAACATACCTCATATTTTGCGGGAACTACATGTATATTTCATTCTAACAGACACCCTCCTATAATTGTATTGTTTCAGACAAGCTAGAGAAGGCAGGTCTGAGAGTATGGTACAAAGGCAACCCCAGTGATAAGTCAAAGCTGCAAGGAGGTGAAGCTGTCCTCAGCAGTAAGGTAAACCAGTGAATATGTCTTATGCATTCTCCTTGCATAGATAAAGGGGTTAATTAAGGTTACTGATTTTCTTATGCCTATTTTTATAGCTCTTATAATGTACTTCTCAAATCATAGGTAATCTTGATGATATAAAAATTATGGATTTATATACTAGTTGTTTATGAACAGATCAAATCTTAAAGGAATAGAATTGCTCATCTTAATGTCACGTCAAACTAAACATGCAATATTATTCATGAATTCTTTGGGGATTTTTTCAAAAAAGGGCATCTTTGTTTTAGCAATACATGTAGACAGAAATTGAAGACTACTACAGCTCTTTACGTATATCGCAAGAAGTCACAGAAAAGGTGCGACGTAATGTAATGGATCTTTATCATTTATGTCAAAATTGTTGGCTAACGACTGGTCATAATCATGAGAGAATTTTGCTCTATTTGACCTTCATCGCTTGGGTTGCTGAGAGTTTTGGAAAACGGCGGAAGACTTCTTGGGGACAATTCACCAAACTGTTCGAAGTCAGTAACACAAAGGCAAATGATAAGCAAAAAAGTATTCTCAAATACTTGGTTGAAATGGCAAGTAACATCCCGTGGATCGATATGAGTGACTTCAAACATGACAAAGATGTTCTAGCCCATTTAAATGACATTTTGAAATACAGAAATTTACTTGTAAATGAAATAACCATGGAGATGACTAAAATTAGGGATAACATTGATGAAAAGGATGTTGCAGAAGTGGATAACTTTAAAGATGGTGATCCAAATAAAGATAAGTTTCCACAAGTGGGCGATGGTATCAAAAATGAAAAGCAGATAAACAATAACACGACTCCTGACATGGAACAAAAATTTGAAACTGGGAGGTGCGTATCACATAAAAACAATGATGTTGCATATGATAGAAATGAGAAAAAATATTCCCGACGATTCAAACGAGAGCGTCGTGATTGGACAGTGCCCAAAGTAAAGTCTCATAAAAGAATTGCAGATGAATCAGATAATATTATTATAGAACACCCAGATCTCGATTGTGAAGATTTAACCGAGCATGATATTCCTGATGAAGATGTTGAGAAATATGTTAAATCTGAACATGAAGTTAAAAGATTGAAACTCTTCGATGCTCAGTCTGAATTTGATAATTGAGCGGTATATGTATAATTGTACATACCAGGTCCATAACCACTGACCTGTTAAAGAGAACACATTTTTTAATGATCAAGATATGTAAATGCAAAGTATTGATGAATAAAAAAATTGCAATCTGAGGTAGAAAAAAAAAAAAAAAAAAAAAAAATGTAGACAGAAATGTTGATGCATGAGTGAGTATAAAAAGACTTCATTAAAGGCTAACTCAAATATCAATGATTCATTTTACAGCAAAATTGATTAGGTTGCCTGGGGAGAGGAGAGATAAGAACCCAGAATTCATTAAAGAAACACTACACATGAAGTAGATGACATTTTTATGTCACCACGATAAATGATTGAAATATTGCTAAAGTCTCAAACTTTTTGTGGTCACTTTTGGTGGTTGGTGTTAGGTGGTCGGCATCTGTAACAAATGGCAGGTGGTGACATATTGCATGTTAATGCCTTGTGTAACTTTAATGTTCACTAAGGTTTTATGAGCAGTTGTGAATTTTTTAATATATTTTGGGCAAGTCCATTTCATTCGTTAATTGACCCGCTATTAGATGATCTTCTAAATTACAATCAGGATCAGTGATCAGGTGACTGCAACGGGAACAAACACAAATAATTGTTGATTTGTGCAGCCATTAATATTACTGTTGTAGTCCCTGAAGGTAAGTAATACAAGGGCTGCTTCTTCAAAAACTTGAATAAATATTATTATTGATGAAGTTTTTTGTTGAATGGAGAAAATGTCCTTTGGGGTTTCTGCCTCCTTTGAAGTATTATTGCTCATTGGAAGACAAAGCAGTCACATTTGAATTTATAATTTATTTTGTGTTTCATTGAATTCATTTATCAACAATCACATTAGTGTGGACTTTGATCGCGATCTCGCCCTTTTGTCTTTCACAATGAAACTATATCCGGCTATCAGGGATTTTGTAAAGGAAAAATACTATTTTAAAAGGCACGCAAAATACATATTATATATATCCACAGTCTATGTCATTTGACACAAATAGTAATTTCTGCCACCTGCTAAATCAGTAAATCACACATATTAATAATAATCACAGTATTAATTTTGGTCTCCATAGCGATTGTAAAATGAGAATAACCTGTTAGTACATAGATCAATTAGGATTTAATTTTGATGACCTGAAATATATATGTATTTATATTTCAATTTGAATGATGATTCGAAATAAAGATGACAGACACACATGGACATAATTAATGTGACAGACACATGGACATCATCAATGTGACAGACACACAATTTGACATGGACATGAACAATGTAAAAGAAACATTGAGATAATCAATGTGACATACTCATGGACATGATCAATGTAATAGACACACATGGACATGATCAATGTGACAGACACACATCGACATGATCAATGTGACAGGCACATGGACATTATCAATGTGACAGACACACAATTTGGCATGGACATGAACAATGTAAAAGAAACATTGAGATAATCAATGTGACATACTCATGGACATGATCAATGTAATAGACACACATGGACATGATCAATGTGACAGACACACATCGACATGATCAATGTGACAGGCACATGGACATTATCAATGTGACAGACACACAATTTGACATGGACATGAACAATGTAAAAGAAACATTGAGATAATCAATGTGACATACTCATGGACATGATCAATGTAATAGATGCACATGGATATGATCAATGTGACAGATACATAGGCATGATCAATGTTACATGGATTTGACAGACAAATGGGCATTCTGATCAAGTTGGCTGGCATATGAGTCTATTGATATGACAGACAGACCCAAGTTGTAATGCTCGTACTGAGTGAGGACTCCATTGTACATAAACCTAGCTTGTAGAGATGAGGGTTCTCCTGTTTACATCTCTAACAGGTCTTTCTCCAACCACTTTCCTAATGTTTCCTTGAGGTATTAACATTATGCAGGGCTCTCGCCAGGCTTTTAGACTGTGGCGCAGCACCACACTCTATTTAGCTCCCACCACACCCTAATTTCAAATCATGATTGTTTCCACAGTCTATGACTGAATATACAAAAATAGCATGTAATGTAATGTATACTGAGCAAATCATTCTCTTACTCCAGGTTGTTGTATTCGTTCTGAGTGAGGATTCTGCTGTAGATAAAGCATGCAGAGATGAAGTATCTCTTGCTTACATCTCAAACAGGACGGTGTTTCCAGTGGGGATGAAGTACTTCAGAAAAATCTCACCATATCTTGATGGAGGCCTGTAAGTTTTTGATTGATAGCATTTATTATCTCATAAGACTAAGTTGGGGGTGATATAGGGGATGGCTCCGTTTGTATGTATGTCAGGGCAATAACTCAAATACTGTTGGTCCAATATTGTTTTCACTTTCTTATGACACTTGTGACCAGTGAGTGGTTATTATGTCAACACCAGAAGTGGTGACATAATAACTGTGTTTGGCAGATGGTCTTTGTAACAAATAGCAGGTAGTGACATTTTGCATGTAATTGTCATGTAGAATATTGATATAAACTTCGTATCCATCTTCAAATTGACATTTTTGAACTAAGATGTAAGATATAGGATATTTTATTCTAGTTTTTTATTTCTTGCATATCTACAATTTATAATTGATGATTGATTTGTTTCACTATGCTATAAAAGAACCATTCAATGTCTGATACAAGTAGGTCACCGTGACCTGCATATATTTATCAAAAATCATTTTCTAAATGACTACAAATTAAATTTAGAGTATTGTTACAAAACTCCAATTTTGAGAACAATTCAAGATTCATCTACTTCAGTCAAACTAAAAATAACTTTTACCCTTCAGCACAGTTCAAGATTTTGATTGACAGGTCTATATTTGGAAGATGAAATTGATGGCCTGTGTTAAAACTCCAAGGTCAAGCTGATCTGGTCACTCACTAAGACAATTTAGAAACAGATTTTTTATAGAAATTGATCAATTCTTTCTTTATATTTCTTAGTCAAAACATATTTCGAGAAAAACCATTCTTGTGTATCTAATATCAGTTTAAGTAGGAGGTTTTAATCATGATTATTTTTGTCTGAAAAGGGGATTTTGCAATGTTTTGTAGGACTGTTTTGTCAAAGAATCTCTCAGAAAGCGCAATTCCCCAAACTTCACAAGTTCAGATTTTCATTTGAATTTTTATTTGATGTGGAATAATCAGTTTTAGCAGATGTTGATGGCATTAGTTCAATGTTTATGTAATAAAATAGGCGCTTTTGATGTATATCATAATTCAAAATGACACATTTCACTGGTCCAGTGGTCCAAGGATCTCAAGTATCTATTCTAATATTTTAGGTAAACTTTCAGATGCTATCCTTTAGCACAATTTTTTATGTCACCACCAAAAGTGGTTTTGTTGAATAATGTGCGAATACTTCAAAGCACACTAGAATGGTACACTTTGTTTTCAGAGGTGAGGCAATAGCCTTGCCTTCCTCATGCCTGGCTACGCATATGAATCAAGCCCCCCTCTCCCCGGCAAAATGTTTTTTCAAAATAATGCAGTTTTTCATCATTCTAAGCACTTTTTAAGTAATTTTGGCCATTTTGGACCAAAATTGAACTAAGTTACCCCCCCGGAATTTTTCAAAAAGTGAACCCCCCTTAGCAAATTCTGCCTTTTGGCCTGTGTATTGTGGTTCAGTAGTGAAATTGCTATTTTATTCAAAGTGAAAATGTTTGAAGAGTTTTTTTGGGTGGTGTAATTGAAAACATTTTCATTTTTATTTAAATGAATGAATGAATTTCGTTTTTGCACTTTAATCATCATGCCTCTATTATTATTGTTCCAGAAAGCTCATGTTGGCAAAGATAAACTGGTCTTTTTTCGTAAAGAAAGAAACATTTGAAGAAAACTTCACAACATTATTCAATGGAATCCAGCATGAAATTGCTAAATTCAACGAGAAAGTTGCATCAAAACCAGACACTACGGACGAAACGGGCGATATCGAAATCAAAGATGGAGAATTCCGACTGAGTGAACTATTAACCACTGGTAACGTTGAAGAAATGAAGGATTTAAAAAAAGACAATGAACAAAAGTGTGATTTTTGGGATCGACATTTTCAAGATAAAACTGAAGCTCCGTGGAGTGAATTCCGTGAACATTTTATCGAGGATTATGCAGAACGTATGCAGTTATTCTTCACTGACGAACAGACAAAATGGGTTATAAACCTAATATACAAAGACATATTTGAGCTGAGGAAGTGTTTAGACAGAAAACTATATGATAAATTCTGTGGTAAAAATGTCGAGAAGGACTCTGATTTATTTTACAACCGCTTAAAAGACTATGCGGTGGGGAGTTTCGCAATGAGGGAGGTGTTTAACATGGAGAGTAGCGTCAGGATGACGGCTATCAAAAACCTAGGTTTGTCATATGTCTTGTTTTTATGCCACCACCAAGAAGTTGTGACATATTATGTCACCATCAAGAAATGATGGAATATTGTGTCACCATCTAGAAGTGGTGACATATTGTGTCACCATCAAGAAAAAATTATGCGTTATTGTGTTACCATCTAGAAGTGGTGACATATTATGTCACCATCTAGAAGTGGTGATATATTGTGTCACCATCAAGAAGTGGTGACATATTGTGTCACCATCTAGAAGTGGTGACATATTGTGTCACCATCAAGACGTAGTGACATATTATCAGTTATACATAGCTTGGACATAGTGCTTTAGAATAAGCAAAAATAGGAAAACAGAGTAAACCTGTGAAGTCTAGATGTTAATTGAACCACCTTAAGTGGAACACCTTTTAAGTGGAACACTTAAAGAGGTACCAAATATGTTCCACCTACTCATGTATCTTTATGCTTGAGAAGTCCAATATGCAGATTTAAGAAATGATCAATTCTTGTTTTAGCATCGTACCAGACACCAGGTGTAATAGCTGCTCTATTAGAACTACTAGAGGACGCTGACCCAAACATCCGAGCTGTTGCAGCCCTTGGACTCGGAAAGTCAGGTATGATTGGATTAAAGCTGCATTTGACCTTGATACAGTTATGAATAAAAAACATCTTTGGAAAAAATAAGTCCTGAAAATAGGCTAAATTTTCTCCAATTCTGTGGTTCTATTTTTATGTCACCGTGCCACAAGTGTGGTGACATACTGTTATAGTCACCAAACTGGTGTTTGGCATCCGTAAAAAAATTCTTGCATTCTTGTGTTCAGTGGTGGGCATCTGTAACAAATTCGTACAACTTCCAATAACTTCCAATAATGAGTTTCAACACTTTCTGTCAATATCTGTTACCCTGGCAACAAATAAGTGGACATGTAACATTTTGTAACGCAATAATTTAAGATAATTTGATAAGCACTGAAAAACAAAAAAGTTTTAGAAAGTTTTTCAGCAAGTCTAATACATACATAATCTTTTTTCTTTTCTTTTTTTTCAGGACGTAAGAATCGTCGTGTGATAATATTAAAATTTGTCTCTTTTCAGGACGTAAGAATCGTCGTGTGATAGATCACATGATAAAGCTACTCTCAGATGAAGACAGACTAGTGAGGGAAAGCGCTTGTTTGTCACTTGGTAAGATGAAGACAGAGAAAGCAGTGCCTCATATCATAGACTTATGGTGAGTATTGTCATAGATTTATGGTAGGTAATGTCATAGACTTGTGCTGTATAATATCATAGAATTGTGGTGGGTAATATCACATGTGCTGTGCAATATCATAGAATTGGAGTGGGTAATATCACATGTGCTGTGCAATATCATAGACTTGTGACGGGTAATATCATAGACTCATGGTAGGTAATGTCATAGACTGAGACGTTTCCATTTTATCTCCACAAGCCTTAATTTTATCCCTACTGAAAAATTATGATATTTGAACACGTGAGCACAGTACCCATGATACTATTTTCAGTTTATTGTACATGTATCTTATGTGTGAAAATAAATAAGAGATTGAACCTTACTTAAATTATGTGGATTTATTTCCAGGCGTAATGATCCAATAAAGCATGTGCGTGAAGCGGCCCAGGTGGCGCTGTCTAAAGTTGGCGGAGGAGAGGCAGCACAGGCAATCAAGGTGACATCGGTTCTCTCCACAGAAATGGAAGCACTAAGAAACAGTAAAAGAAAGTGATAGAAGGAATTTTTAACTGCTATCGTATCCAGACATAAATAAGACAAGACGGTTGCCAAATCAATATACAGTAAAACCTTTCTAATCTGAACACCCCTGGGACTGGTCATGAATGTTTGGATTAGCAGGTGTTCACATTTCAAGGTTTTTTGTGCAAGTCAGTGTGGAAGACGCATGGACATGATCAATGTGACAGAACATTGGGATCAAGAAAAAGTGTTCACAATGAGAGGTATTCGGATAAGAGAGCTGTTTGGATTTACAGGTTTTCCTTGTATCTTCCAAATGTTTGAGGTATCGCTGAATGTTATTGGGGTCTTGTACCTTATCATGAGAGACATAAATATGATATGGATGTGATATTTGAAAGTTGTGCCATATCATATGGGATTGGGGAATTAAACTTCACATAGAAGAGGCCTTATATGTTCAAGATGAGGAAATAGCCCATAAATGACATGACCTATTAATTAAGTGACAGTGGCCTATTTATTAGGTGACAGTATCCTATTTATTAGTGGCAGTGGCTGTTTTATTAAGTGACCCGTTTATTAAGTGACAGTGGCTGTTTTATTAAGTGACCCGTTTATTTAGTGACAGTGGCCTGTTTATTAAGTGACAGTGGCTGATTTATTAAGTGACCTATTTATTAGGTGATAGTGGCCTATTTATTAGGTGACAATGGCCTACTTATTAAGTGGCCTGTTTATTTAGTGACAGTGGCCTATTTATTAGGTGACAGTGGCTTTTTTTTATTAAGTCGCCTGTTTATTTAGTGACAGTGGCTTATTTATTGAATGACAGTGGCCTATTTATTTAATGACAGTGACCTTTTTATTAAGTGACAGTTGCCTATTTATTAAGATACTTGGAAACGTATCTCCACTCATGTATTCATTTGACAACACTGTTGATTGTAGTTTTTAAGAGCTGGAGATCATTATCACCAACAAGTGGAAGTCACGATTAAAAATTAGGTGATTCAATCTTAGACTAAGTGAATTATATGACTATGACTACAATTTGAGATTTTTGGAGTTTTAGTTTAAAAAATGGCTACACCCATGAGTGTACATATATTGATGCTGGGTGACACTGACATCTATTATTGTTTGAAAGAAGAAATAGTACAAAAAGAGATGCCTGGGACAACATATTCCATCATATTTGTGTACCCAGAGAAGCATAGGCCTGGGAACATGTATAAAAAATCTGAGTCTAAGTCCCCTAAGAACAAATCTCTCCCTACTTACGACTCCAAGACTCTGATTGGTCAAACTTGGATTTTGCATTAATTATACATGTTCCTGGGCCTATGCAGAGAAGGTTAAAGGGGCAACAAAGACGAGAGAAGAATTGAGAGTAATTTTCAAAAACTCAAACTCAACATTTGTTGTCATGACTGTAAATTTCTGACTACTGTGTATTTATTTTTAAGCTTATATAACAGTATTACAGTAAAAGTTTCCAATAAATAAATATTTTATCAAATATCTTATTTAATATTTTGAGACAATAAAATTAGGATTGTAAGAGAAACATTGGCATTATTTTTTTCATTGATTATTTCCTGCATTCTACACTTTCTAGTCTTTGCTACCACTTTAATACAATGATGTAGATCGAAGCAACCCAATCATTTTTGCTTCATGTACAAATTATCTAGGGGTCCAACAATTGCTCGATATTAAACAAATACTGGATGATCAGGAGCTGGATATGGCAGAATACCTATTCGAGAAAAAATATTGGGCGAGGCGGGAGCCGAGCCCAATATTTTTTCGAGGATAGGTATTCTGGCCATATCCAGCTCCTGATCATCCAGTATTTGTTTTATTATGCACCTCCCAATCAAAGTTAAGTGGAGTACTTACTGGAGTACAGGCTTAAACTGTCGTTTAGTTGACATTATTTTGACATTTATTTATTTTTTCTTTCAAAACTCAGACGACTTCCGGCCAGTTTATTCGCTACAATGGACGAAAATATTTGCCCCGGGAATTTAATTTTTATTTATTCGAGACGTTCTTACAGAATTATATGTAACTTTTGAATGATAAGGGTAATTGTGATTGATTAAGTGCATTTTTTTCTTCTATTTTCCGCCAGTTTCAGATGTAAGTTTTAAGTAGTACTCTAGTTATTAAGAAATAAAACTCTGAATTGGGAATGTTGCAAAAACATTGAAAAAAATATCCGACCCTTTTTCTCGAAAGGGTCAGATATTAAAAAAATATCCGGCAGTTTTCAGAAAAGAGCAGAGTATTGCCAAATTACAAGCAACTAAGAACCAATCAGATTTGAGTATTTTAATGAGGTGCATAATAATGCTTAATATTGCCTGGGCAATATGTCACGAATTGAATGTACAGATATTCAGTCTTGACGTAGAAATTAATTGTATAATTTCTTGAATTTGAAAAACCATACCTTAAAACCTGTTAAAACCATGCTGTTTTATCCTTCTCCGTCAAAACTATTGGGCGATTTAATCGGGAATCTCTGCCAACTGAAAGACTGAACTATTTTGAATTCTTAATTTTCTTTGAAAATTTTTCATAAAATCTATTTACCCTATTTTATTTGCTTGTACCATTGGTATAGAACCGAGAGGTAAATACCATTGCTCATATCGATATTCAAAATACTGTATCGTGGGGCCCCTAAAAGTAACTATATGAATAGTGTTTTGGTTGCATTCGTAATCATGAGAAGCAGATGACAAAGTGCATTGCTGACAATCAATTCATCACATTTTAAGTGCTGTTTACCAGGAAAATTGTTCAATAATAGAATAATCCTTTATAACTAAATACAATACCAATAATTGTTTAAACTCATCCTACATAACTCATCAATATAACGTAATACACTCCGCAATCTAGATATAATGAGCTTTTCCTTGAACAGATATGTCACTATGAACTTATTCAATATTGCTCTTGTCACAGGTTTTTCATTATAGGATATGTCACCAGACCCGTAGCCAGGGGGAGTGGCGTTCGAGGCGTTCGGGCGACCCCCCATGGCCAAAATTTTTTTCAAAAGTAAGCTATTTTTCACAATTGTGTGCATTTTTCATGTGATTTTGGGCCAATTTGTCTCAATGAACTTCTCCAGGAATCATTCTGAAAAGTGATCCCCTTGGCAAAAGCTGACTACGGGCCTGTGTCACTGTAGCAAAGATTTGTCATCATGCGGTATATCATAGTAAGTTGTGTAATTATAGGATATATCAGAGTAAGATTTATAATTGTAAGATATGCTATTATATGAGCTTTGTAAATGAACATATCTAATTTTTGTAATGTATCCATGATTTCATTATATTAATGATGAACTGGGCTTTGCTAGAGTGTGCTACACAGCCAATTTCAAACAGTACCATAAGGTACTATTTTGGCTATGGTACTGTAGTATGTTACAATATAATAGTTACCATACAATAACATAGACTAAAACAGTACCGTATGGTTCCATGAACACTGTATGGCACTGCACTCAAACCATACCATAGAGTACAGGCCCGTAGCCAGAGGTGGAGCTGGGGGAGTGGAAGCTCCCCCCCCTGGCCAGAAATTCTTTCAAAATCATGCAGTTTTTCACCATCCTGAGAATTTTTCGCATGATTTTTAGCCAAAATTGTGAAAAAGCTCCCCCCCTGGAAAAAAGCTCCCCCTCCTGGTGAAAGCTGGCAACGGGCAAGCAGTACCCAGGCCTGTCAACTGTCCTGCAATTTGCGTATTTGTCACGCATTTGCTGAAGAATTTGAAGTCACGCCAGTTATTTTTGCGTGACAGAAAATGTCACGCAAATACGCATTTTACCTGGTAATTGTCGAGCAAATATATTTCTGTAGAAAGTTTTCTAAAAAAGATCGTCTACACAGCAAAAATACAAACGCTGGAAAAAAAATGTACGTATTTCCAAAATTTGGCAAGATGTAATAAAATTTAAACCAAGGTGTTCAAAATTTGGATCAAGGTGTTCAGATTTGGACCAAGGTGTCCACATTTTGAGAGGAGGTGTTCAACATTTCCAAGTCACTCATGTTAGGTGTTCCCAAGTTGACAGGCCTGAGTACCATACCGGTGGTACCGTTATTTCAAAGTGCATATTGTGGGTGTATGGATTGCCCTTTGTCTTCTCATTTGCTATGCAATATAATCATGTAATGTCATGTTATATTGTAGAAATAATAAAATATATTTTATCGCAAATCACATAGAAAATTATTTTTCCACGTATTATATATAGTCATCAAGTCTTACATTCAGTCTACAAGTGCTACAACACACATAGGGAAGGGAGAGGGTAAGGAAATAGCTAACTTGTAGTATAAACTTCTGAATTCATGATAATATGCTGTGATCACCCCAGCATTTTTTCTCAGGTTTGTGCAAAATTCTCAATTTCACAATTCGAACCAAAATTGGTCAAAATATGCCAATTTTCATGATTTTTCTCATTTTCAAGTAGGTGTAAGCCTATATTCAAAATCTCAGGTGTGTACTGCACCCACTTGCTTTAATGCTGGGGAGATCACTGATATGAAGCATTACAGTTCTTCTCTGTAATTATTGAAGCATGAAAAAAATCATCTTGAAAATGAATGCAAAATTTAGATGTTGAAAACATGACAAACACCCTTTAACTATATATGGAATAAACTGAACATCCTATGATTTACCCTTGCTATGATTTCATCCACTCACGGGTACTGAATCCTGATACATGTCATTCTGCACTCTTTTGCAATGTTTGATCCTGTAGATATCCATTTGTGGATAAAAGTCATATCCCCATGATAGATTATCGGATATCCTCTCTTTAATGATACATCTTGTAATAAATAAATGGAAAGTGGAATAACACTGATGTAAAGGCAGGAGGGGGGGGGGGGGGGTCAGGGGCTCTCCCAGGCCAAAGATCTTTTTTTTTCATCATCCCCCCTCTTGAAATTAATTTAATCTACTGTCTGTGTCTGAAAATGAAATTTAATTTACAAACTGGGAAATATTATTTGAAACAAAAGCTACCTTGTGTTTTAACAAAGTATAAGCACAACCAGACTGAACAAGTCCCGAAACACAATTAGACAATGACAGCTCCTGAGACACAACGTAACTATGACAGATTTGATGCACAGCCAGACTTAAAACAAGTCCCGAAACACAATTAGACAATGACAGCTCCCGGAACACAATGTAACTATGACAGATGACGCACAACCAGACTTTAAACAAGTTCCGAAACACAATTAGACAATGACAGCTCCCAGGACACAATGTAACTATGACAGATTTGTAGCACAACCAGACTTAAAACAAGTCCCGAAACACAATTAGACAATGACAGCTCCTGAAGCACAATGTAGCTATGACAGATTTGACGCACAACCAGACTTTGAACAAGTCCAAAACACAATTAGACAATGACAGCTCCTGGAACACAATGTAACTATAACAGATTTTTAGCACAACCAGACTTAAAACAAGTCCAGAAACACAATTAGACAATGACAGCTCCTGGGACACAATGTAATTATGACAGATTTGAAGCACAACCAGACTTTGAACAAGTCCTGAGACACAATTAGACAATGACAGCTCCTGGAACACAATAGAACTATGACAGATTTGGAGCACAATTAAACTGAATAAGTCCAAGTACACAATTAGATAATGAAAGCTCTTGAAACACAATGTAATTATGACACATTATGAGCACAATCAGATTGTGAACAAGTGCAGAAACACAATGAGACAATGACATCTCCTACATGTAGGAATACTTGTGGATCCATGACAGATTTGGAGCACAACCCAAAGACAACCAGACTGTGAACAAGTCCAGGAACACAAATAAGCTCCTGGAACACAATGGAACTAGATCTATGACAGATTTGAATCACAACCAGAATGTTAAAAAGTCTAGAAACACAATGAGACAATGGCAGCTCTAGCAACACAATTCCAGAATAATGATATATTTGAATCACAACCAAACTGTTAACAAGTCCCCATAGGCCAAAACACATTGAAAGTTCAAACCACATTGGCATCATAAGGGTGGGGGGAGGTGGGGGGGGGGGTGTTTGGGTGCAAAAGCACACCCTCTGAAATTGCCCAGAATTTTACGTGCCATATATTTTTCAGGATTAACGCAACCTCAGCACAACCCCATTTTCAAAAAATGGTCCGACTCCCCTGTATCTTGACAGCTCCTAAAACACAATGGAACAATGACATATTTAGAGCACAACCAGACCCACTGAACCAGACTACGAACAATTAGTCATGGTTGATTGGTTATAGTTGGTTATATCCTGACAAATAACTTAGCAATTTTGAAATTTTCGCGCCAAAAGTGACCTTTGAGAATAGTTTGTGAACCCTGAATAAGATATAGGTCATGATGCGCGCGCATCATGTAGAAAATACCAAACAAGAAACGTGCGAGCAGATTTAAGATACACCTCGATTAATCGCGAATTTATAGAGGTAAGCATATGTTAGCATTAGTTTAAAGACAATATTCTGCTGAAGCAGATATTTATATATATATATAGCCAAGATTTCCTGTAAATGAGGCGTCAATGTCCCAATTTACGAAGACGAAACTTGTTGAATTAGTTTTCCAACTTTCTTTTCCAACATCCAAGATGGCTGCCATATTATTTAGCGAGTCTGCAATTGGGCCATAATATTCTTGATTAATCCAACAAAGAGTCTTCTTTCTTAATTCAGCAGCGCCTAAGTTTGTTGATAAATTTCTATATTTGTGCAATGTCCACGTCCAAAGTTTATTCTGGGGTGTTCCCAAGGAGAGGCCACAAGCAAGCAATTTTTTCAGAAATAGACTAGACCGAAATTCAAATTGAAATAATTTGTACATCTACAGCATGATTATCCAGATTTGGCAGTCATGATGATGGAAAAGATAATTCATGGCCAGATAATACTTCAAATTTAGACCATTGCAAAATCGTAAAATCATGGGCGTAGCGCCCGGTACGCTGGGTACGCACAGGCGTACCAGATGGTTGCAAATTCGCTCCAAATAACCAAATTTCAAAATTTTCCTGGATGCTCGATTTTTGATTCATTCAACTCTTGTTCCCGTGGTGGTGGCATACTTCTTAGAAAAATAGCGCTACACCCATGAAAATGTATGGCCCATTACTGTAGATAATGTACACATCACAGGCCCCAGTATCCCCACACTGAAAGCAAAGCAAAGCAGATCTTCTTATTAGTTGTTCAGAACTCATTTTAAAGGGCTTTAGATCGTTCTAACCCGAATGCTAAAAGGTGGCGATACTGGTGCCTGTGGTACACATGACATTTTATCCCGTACCAGGACTATAGTCCTGAGAACATTTCAATCGTTTGCCTGTACGATTACAACATGGGAGAATTTTCTATGCTTCTTACACTTACTTCAATAGATTCCCTGGTATTTTAGCATTCTTTTTGTGTAGTTGAATTAGCCACAATTGTCTGTTTTCTGATATTCTTTTGAGATGTATTCAATCCCTGGGATTCAATCTTGATTTGATGTAGGGCAGTAAAGACACAAGTCTTAAGATTTTATAGATTTTACATTTTATTGATCTTTAATAAGTTATTACTATGTAAGCTTTAATTTTAAATATATCTTTTTTAGTAGATATGACTGGGAGGGCAAGGGGACGAGCAAGAGGGCGGGCCAGGGGGTCTGCTGCTGAACAAGCTCCAGTACGCAGGCCTGGAGAGTCAGAAGCACAGGTAAATAATTTAAAAAATAAAGTAATTGAAATCTTGAGTTATAAATACAAGTTCAGTGAATGAATTGATCTACTTTTTTCTCATTATGTGTAGTGTGTGATATGAGCTGGAATTGAAATTGGATCACAAAAATATATAATGGTGACAGATTTTATAAGGAATTATTTCTCATATTATATTAGTCTCTAGATCTGTTTTCATGTTAGTTGTTTCATGAGAAGCAAGCCACCAATATGAAAAATAATGAGCTGTGTTCTTTCTGTAGGCTGCCCAGCCACAAGCAGAAGCTCAACCAGCGGCTCCAGCCACCAGTGGGAGAGCAAGTTATCGTGGTGGAGGTAAAGGGGAGCCCCGGCCTGGCAATGGAGTGGCCCCACCTACACAGGATTTTGCACAGATGTCGATAGGGACAGGGGATGCGGCGCAAGCTCAGAGAAAACCACGCGTCATATACCAGGAGCCTAAAACTAGACCTGCTCATGTTACAGATAAGAAAGGTAGGTTAGATAAATTGTTGATGGTTCATTGCCCAGTTACTGCAGTACTGCTTGATATGTACTAGCTGTGCTCTTATATGTCACAGTGTGATCTTGTATAAATACACTTAAATAGGGCTCAAAAATTATCAATGAAACAGTTCAGTCCTTTGACATGTTATCAAATTCAGACTAAGTGGGAAAAGCTAAATTGAGTTTTGTTTTATCCCACAGCCTTAAATCATTAAGAAAGCCCTGAATTTAGTGTAGATTGCAAGGGCGTAGCCAGCTTTCAGTCAGGGGGGTGTGGTGACCCAAAATATTTGGTTTTCAGTCAGGGGGGGTGCGATTGTGGCAAAAACAAGCCAAAAAATTAAGATTTATCTGGAATTTAACAAAAATCAATGCGCAAGTTCCTTCAAAATTGAGCTAGAAACTTCAAATAAAAAGCAATTTAAACCTCTTCTTTTCTACTGGTTGTGGGGGTGGGGTTATGGAAGGGGGGTGCGGATCACACCCCCTGTCTAGTGGCTATACCTATGGGTTGTGCAACAGAAAAATGCTTTAATTTGTCTTAACCACTAATAAATAATTCACCACAGGCCAAAGATTCCATGTTGTTTATTATCTTAAGTAACTGTTTTTAATTTATTTTTCTTCCAGGTACATCCGGAACAACAATTCAAATCATGACAAACTATTTCAAGCTAGTGTCAAAACCAAACTGGCATTTGTACCAGTATCACGTGGACTTCTCTCCACCAGTGGACCATAAGTCAGTTCGAAATGGAATGTTGTACCAGCATAAGGAGATTATAGGAGATACAAAGGCCTTTGATGGCATGATCCTCTTCCTGCCACACAAGTTAGCTGAGCAGGTAGGTTATAACTTAAGTTTATTGAGGTTTGGTCGAGTCCTTAGCCCTGTCTGCATCAATGGTGCACGGTGCAGTTTAGTGATATGATCCTGACCCATTCATGTACATGGCTCTCCCCACATTGAAGTCTATTGAGAGGCAGTACCTCTACAACACAAAAATGGTCCTCCAGAATTTCCATATGCTCCCTAAAATCCCCCATAAAATATATGAAAATGTCATGAAAAATTACAAAATTCCTAAATGTTACACTAAAAATTCAAAAAATCTAATAATAAATTAATAATGCATAAAATTAAAAAGTTCCAATATTCTAAAATGTATGTCAACTGTGTTCAAGGTGAGGAATGTTATACTGTTACAGAAGATTTGGAATAAATTGAGTGTGTATTAGGTTTGAATTGAAGCCATTATTAATAGTTCAAATTAGCAGTGGTTATTTAATATGTAGTCCTGCATCAAGCCCTTCTTACTCCTCGAACTACTGAGAACAATTAAACATGGGTGGGGAGGAGGCAGAAACATGATTATTGATGCCAACGAAGCACATTTATTTTGTTTTCTTTTTATGTTGATGTGTTTATTTTATGGCTTTTTTCATTGTGTCACCTTTATCCTCTGATAAGCAGAATTGATAATAGTTGTAATATTAATTACCATGTTAAAATTCCATCCTTTTAAATTGCAATCAGAAGTTTGATTTTCAAGTTTTGTAAAATTCAACAAAGAGCAACTTTACAACTACAGATTAAATTGTATGTTATCCTAACATATCACCCAAGTTGTTACCAATACTATTTTAGTCAGTAAGCTGTTAATAATCTCGAATGAAATTGACATTTCTGTCAACTCATCAACAGTAGTGTATTGGTTCATCCGTCTTTCTAACTTGAGATTTTTTATTGAAAATAATGAATTCTAAAGCAGAGATAATGTTACCAGAAAAACAGTATAATTTTGGGGTTTCTTTCTTTAGAAGCACCTTTAAAAGAATCATTTGGTGACTCTGGTAGTGAGACCAATACTTAACAGGCGTGTTTGACTGGGTTCCATGAAAAGTATAATAAACTGTAACATTGTAGAGATGCAGAAAAATATGGCTTCTAACAGCTGTCTTTTGGAGTAAACTAACTACATGTACTCAATTTTTTATGGTGCAAACATACATGTGTAAACGGCAATAGTAGGGAAATGGAGGAAGGAGGGGGGGGGGGGGGGTGGCTAAGATATTGGGAGTTTTCCTTTGTTTAAACCTGACATAATGGTTAATGAAATTAGTATTGTTTATATAAATAAGTTAAGTCAGAGTAACATGATGTGCTATGGCTGTCTGTAATGCTAGAATTTGTTCTCTTATAACAACAGCATAGCTACTTTCTCTTATGAGCCTAAATGTGATAGTTTTGTCCGACACGAGTTGTAGTAAAACGTTCATGAATGAAACAATGCCAAAGTTGAATAAAAGTTGATATTCACATTTTTTTTAAATGAGCACTGATAAATGAGTTAGTGGAACGTTCTAACTAACTGTCTGAAATGTCATAGGACATAATTATGGAAGGGAACACTGGTATGGAAAATTCATGGGAAAATTTCTATTTTTGTTTTTTCCCTTTTTGGTTATGCCATTGCTATGTGACTTCAATATGCAAAATATAAGAAGTTTTTGATGAGAGTTTTCATGTAGTATATGTCGAGTAGAACACAACCCACACATGGTATATAATATCTGCACCAAACACTGTAATTTGTAAATCTGTGGCATTATGATTTCATGACTAGAGAGTGTCTCAGAGAAAGGAGTACAAAATGTAGTTTTTGTTGAATAAAAGTTTTGTTCTCGCGTGTCATGTGTTTTTCAGACCAAAATTCAATATATAGAAATGTAGCAATATTTTTTTTTCATTCATTCATTTGATATTTTTTATATTACTCCTGATGAAAGTCTAGCAATTAGTTGTATGTGGCTGTGTGTCTGCATATATTTGGCTGTTTCCTCATTATGAGAAAAACATGGCCTTCATTAGTTCCTTTCAAGTTGACAAACAGAAAGATGGGATGAGTATCAGAATGATGTTTCCAATATACAGTAAAACCTGTGTGTATTAGACATTTTTTGCAGGGGGGGACAACAGTGTTGGTATGAGTTAATTACAGAGAGGGTGTCAGTAGAATATGTGCTGGGGGTGTCCACTAGTAGAGACACATGTTCACTAGAGAGAGGTGTGGTCATATAGGTGTAGTGTCATTTTTAACCAAAATCAGCTGATAACTAATATAGTGTAAGTTTCAGGCAGTTGTAAAATTACTCTCATTTCCATTTTTAACTCTTATTCAGTGTTCTTTGGCTTGCAAAATGTACAGAATAAAATGTTACTTAAAGATTGACTTCATAAAATAACTTAACAAATGAGAACCACAATGGATCCTTTTAGAACACACTGTAGGGATGCCATGCATAATACTCAATGTAATTGTAAAATCAACATGAGGAAATAATCATTAAAAAGATATGAAATAGTCATTGACATTTTGAGTAGGTTGTTAACAAATAGGAACAGTATTGTTTTGTTTCTCCTTTCAATACATTACCAGATTGCAATTATGGATATCATTCCAAGTACTAGAGGCCATTAGAATACACATAGTACCAGGGCTGGGTCTTGAAATTGACTAAGGGGTCTCAAAATCTTTTTGGAAAATTTGGGCCTTTTCTCCAAATGTCTGTCCCAAATTATAATATTTTGAGCCATCTTTTGAGAGGGGGGATCCAGATCAACTTGTGAGTGTTGTCTGTAGTTGTAGCAGTAATCAGTGTTACAAATATAAACATGTCTTAAAATCTGTAGAATGCACATGAGGTCTTGCTTTTTCTAGTACATACAGATGGATACAGAGGGGTTCTTGGGTGACAACACCAAGTCAGACATTCCAATTAATCTCTGAATGTCCAAACAAGTTGGCTAAATTACAACTTCTCAAGTATCACATAAGTGTCATTTTGACACTGGCCAGATGATATTGATATGGGTATTAAACCTCAAAGCATGGAAAAAGCCCTTTTATATTTGTTTTGACCTGTCTGAAACTGAAATATGTTTGAAGGCTGCTCATACCCACTTCAGCCTTCATAACCCCTTGGGGGATCCAGCCTGTAATACATGTAATATCCCTTGAAATATATCTCTGGTAGATCAGAATGTTCATAACCTGTCTGCCATATTTCACCCTCTTGTCAGTGTAGTGGGGGTTTTCATTCAGGGTTAACTATCTAAACAGACTAAAAGTCCTGTGTACAAACCAGAAAAACTATTAGTATTTTTGAGTACATAGAGCTACCTAACCTTATACATTAGCTTACTTCTGAGTTATGTTATACATACTCTATCAAGAGTCACTGGATGAAATTGAAAGATTGGGTGGGTGAGGAAAGAATAAGAACAAGATATCCAGAGATTTAATTACTGGAGGGGTTGTTGCAATCAGTTTTTTGTGTGTATGTGTACTGTACATTTTACACATTTGATTAAATAGAGATATATTTTATCATTTGTCTTTTGCCTCAGTTCAACCTTTCATGTGTGTAGAAATATATTGTTGAATATATGAACAGAAACTGAAACTGATTTGTGAATCAGTTATGGTTTCACATCTCAGAAATATTGATTGCTAAAACATGATTTGAGGTGATAAACCTTTCTGTTATTTGTGTTATATGAATGAATACTATGAACAACAAAAATCTTATGCTTAAGGACAGGGTGCATGTTGGGAAATTTTCTGCATTCCTCAATTGAGTCACATGTTATTTTTCAAACATGAATAACTCCTTCCCCACATTGTCTACATCTTCCAAGTTTGCACAAAGAGTGCACTTCTGTGCCTAGAAAAGCCTTGTGAGAAGGTTTGTTTTGTAAAATGTATAAAAAATGAGAAAATTCAGTGAAAAAAATTTCTGAAAATTTTCTGATTTTTTTCACTGAATTTTCTTGTTTTTTATACACTTTATCAAAACATTCTTCTCACAAGTCTTTTCTAGGCACATAAGTGCACTCTTTGTGCAAAACTATATGATATAGACAATGAAGGGAAGGAGTGATTCTTGTTTGAAAAATAACATGTGACTCAATTGAGGAATGCAGAAAATTTCCCATCATGCACCCTGACCTTAACTCTTTGATCGTGGTAGTGATTTGTCTTTAAGATTTCCACTTAGCTCTTTGACTAAACCTGATAGAGAAAAAAATTACCATTTTACATGAGAGTGGAAATAAGCTCCCATTGTACTAATGCATACTGTTAAACCATACCCTTTGCATTCGTTTGACTTCACTTCTTAAAAGAGAGCTTTGTCTCCACTCTTTCAAACTAAAATAAACCTGTGAACTCACCGCGCCAATCAGTGTTCGTCGGCCAAATTTGACTGACGTTCTATATATGGTCATTCCTTCTGACGTCATCGTTGAGTCCGGAATTGACCAATGACATGCGCATATTAATTAGAACGCATTTGGCGTATGTTTCTTCAAGCTCGCTGATTAGTGGAAGAAAGGTCAGCCCGTAGGTCAGAAGTGATTTATTACCCAAACTGTCACCGGTACCCGTTGTGGGGGCGGGGCTACTAAACTGTAATATGGTCTCTACAAGTTAGTTAAACCAGTGTATTCCTTCAGTCATAATAACTATGTAATACCTTGATGGATCAAGATGGTGCCAATGTCTGAATGAAAGGTTTATCCTGCTGTTAATACAAAAAATGATATCATTGACAGTATTACAACAACAATATTTATATACGCATATTGGAACTAATATTACATGCTGTAGGCTATAACAGTATTATCTTAATCAGTAGTATAATAGATATCAGTGTATTTAGGACATGTGTACAGTACATATTTAAATATAATATCTGTATGTTGGGGTTATCATGTATATTTGAGATATCACCAGGGAGTTGTAAACTATCAGTTTAATACCTCTAATATTATTGATTGTTTAGACAACTAAGGACAGTAAATGAACTATATTTTACCATAATAACTACTTTTTGTACTTCCACAAGGGATCTGTTAGGTTCCTATTTACTTGCATTTGCAAAGAAATCATTCATATGATACTGTTAAACCCTGCTAGTTCTTGTTGTCTGCTTTATTATGTGGGATTCATGACTTCTTAGCATTAAAGCATATCACCTAGGATGACCCCTTGTGTTTCTGCATCTCGAGAAATCATGGCATTCTGTTATTTCTTGCTAGAAAGCCATGAGTTAGTTCAAGTATAATTTTGATATAGCAATATACCAGTTTTACTGCAAATGTTATAGACCAATATTAAATTGATGAGATGAACTGACCGTGAGCATTGTTGGAAGGCATAGCCTGAAGTGGGGCTCCACCTATCAAATCGCTTTAAAAGCTGTGAATATCTATATGGAGATCATTCATCTCACTCTAATTAGGGTAATAAAACATATATGATAACCACCACAATTAAACTGTTGAAGAACCCCTTCCATTTAATGATATCAGGTCACAAATTGTAACCAACTTATCAGAGCATATTTCTAGTTGAAAAAAACTGAAAATGTGATGAGTATCAGAATGGTGTTTCTGGGATTTTGTGAAAGTTTATCTTGATGTTAAGAAAGTTCAAAAATAGAAGATGGATAAATATGATAGAAGAAGCTGACTTTTACAATGCTTCATTTCTAGTTGAAAAATTCATATTTTTGAAACTTGGTAAATACCCTAACATGCCAAATGCGTCTATACTAGGCCTTAGCCTTATACACACCAGCAGATGTGTTATGTCAATAACAGTGTACAGTACTTCATACAGTAAACCTACCCTGTGCAAAGTCTAGTTATTATCACCCTCTGCCTAGTATAGACTATATTACAGATCATTATTACTGTTTAGTAGCTCTGCCCCCACGACCATGCATGATTGCATGTGACATCCTGAGTCATAAATCATTTCAAAACTATCACGCTGATCATTTCTCAACCAATCAGTGAGCTGGACGGAACACATGCTAAATGTGTGCTTATTAAATATGCAGTGACGTAACAGGAAATTACCATATAGAAAGTCGTCCATATTTTGACACCGAACTCTGAATGGCTTGTCGAGTTCAGAGTTTTATTGTAAACTGAAAGAGTGAAGATGAAACTCTCATCTTAGATGCAAAGTCGAATGAATGCAAAGGATACAGTACACCCAATTAACAAAGGAAATTGTTGTCAACAGCTTTAGTTTGTCACATTGAAAGTTGTACAAGAATAGACCTGACATTATGTACATGTTATTTTTGGCTCACTAATATGGGATCGACCAGGCGTCCGTCCTTCCGTCCGTCCATTTGTCCTTTAATCATTTAACAGTTGATTTCATAATGACCAATTGTGTATGTTCTCTTAATGAAATGTTTCATTTTGTAACAATATTTTTTGGTCCTTCCCTTGTGCTCATGTTAGAGAAATCAATCTATCAATTTAGAATGATCCATGGTATGCTCATGAAATGAAATATGTCAAGCTGTACAGTCCCGACTGTAAACCAGAGAAACCATTAACAATTTATCAAGATAGTATCTGATCTGTCTTGTACATATCTCTTGACCTAAACTAAGCATCAGATAAAGATTGGTCACTTATTAAAAAACCTGGCTGAGAATCTAATCTACTTATTAGGTCAAGCTCGTATCCCAGCTCTTTTCTAAGACCATGTCATGTAAAATATAGTAAGTTTGAATGTTGTTATTGTTTGTGTGTTTTAGCCTACAGTATTGATGTGTAAATCCAAGAGGGATGACACCGATGTAAGGATTACAATTACATTGAGGAATGAACTACCTCCCACATCACCAACATGCATCCAGATGTACAATGTCATATTCAGGAGGTAAGACCACAACTTGTTGAAAACTACAGGATTATCAGAAATGTTGAATTTAATGGTTAAGAACATGTAATCCCAATGACCCAATCAATCAATAGATCTGAGTGACCCTCGTTTCTGAAAATAATATTAATGTCATATTCAGGAGGTAACACCACAAAGTTAATGAAAACAATGGGATCATCAGAAATGTTGAATTTAATGGACAAGTACCTGTAATCCCAATGACCCAATCAATCAATAGATCTGAGTGACCCTGGTTTCTGAAAAAGATGTCAATGTCATCTTCAGTAGGCAAGACCACAAAGTTAATGAAAACAATAGGATCATTAGAAAGGATCTATTTTGATTTAAAAAAGCTATAGCAGCCATTGTTTGTCATCCTTGGCCCAGGGGTGTTTCACTTCTTTCCATATTGAGGAATAAATTGAGCCTTTTGATGAAGGATGACTACTTGTTGACATTATAGTAATAGAACACAAAGGAATTCATTATTACCAAATGATACACCTACTATTAACAAGCACCTTCAGGTCTGCTTTTCAAATAACTTATTTGTTCATAATGTAATACAGAGATTAGCACTTGTTAATGTCATGGGATAATTCACATCAAAGCCTTTATGTTAGGCAAATGTTATATAACTAATGAGCTACTTGATTCACATAAGTGGGATGTTTCATGTATTCATACCAAGATTTATGTTGATATGGTTTATGTGTAGGAAAATTACATTTGATTTGTTATTTTATGATATGTAAAGGACCATTAGATAAATGGTGTCAAATTCTTATCTTGGTGTCTTTTCCAAATGGTTATATAACTAGTCTTGCTTTAAGACCCTGAACCCCCCCCCCCTAACATATCAACTTTTCGCCATTGAAGTGATGGATAAGTTGATAAGGGGGAGGTCCACAGTCTTGAAGCAAGACTTTTATATAACACAACTGGAACCTTGTGAATAAAGATGGTATTTTCTACAAGTCTTGGAATATTTGTGTAATTCCAAGTACTTTATATTTTTGAATAAAATCCTGAATACTGCTGTGAAAGCTGAATTTTATTGTGAAAAGTATGTGAAATATTGTTTTGTTTGTAGGGTGCTGGATATGGTAGACATGAAACAGATTGGGCGACATTACTACGCTCCCTCACAGAGTATTGCTATACCACGCCACAAGTAAGTAACTTTATGCCCCCCTCCCATACAGAGTTTTGCTATACCACGCCACAAGTAAGTAACTTTGTGCCCCCCCCCATACAGAGTAGTGCTATACCACATTACAAAAGCAACTGTGCCCCCCCTCAGAGTATTGCTATACTACATCACATTTCAGTAACACTATATATATGCTCCCCTCAGAGTATGGCTAGTTAGTAGTTATACCACATCGGAAGTAATACTATACTCTCTGTACAACATTTTATGAAATTACTACCAATTATAAATGATTTTGAAAATATACAAGTTGTCACCTATGCCTAAATCCAATACATGATTCCTCTGGATTCACTGTCAGGCAAATTATTAGAATTACAGATATCATGTAAAAACATACTCCTACCATGTAACGAAAAACATTTATCTGAATTAAACACCTCTAAGACATCTAGTAGTAAACACTAGTCCTGATACATTTTAGCATAGTTTATTTAAGCCATTTATTGATGCATGAAACTATAATACAGCTCTGGTGGAATGAAAACTTTTAAAAGCAGTAATATTATTGTGAAGACAGTATAATATGACAGTGGCTGTTAATGCCAGGTTCATCTGTTGTGCTATTATGATTTCATCATATTGATGTATGTGACACTTGTGTGATGATGACAAGCTTAAAAAATCAATATTATGGTTTGTTTATTCAGGCTGTATTATTAATAATACTCTGTGTGCAATGTTAAATCTTTTTATGAAATTAAATGCTTTTATTTTACAATCAATAGAATATATTGATTGGACTTTTTCCTTAGGGTGTGTTGTCTGCATTAGATTTTACACTATTTTATGTAGCAACGATTTACATAAAAGCACCATGAAAAAGATTGACATATAACAACAACCATTGTTTTTAAAGTCCATTTCAGTGTTTAATTTTTTGTCAATAAAACCCCAAAAAACAAGGAATCAAAAGACCACAGTGCTGTCAAATATGGAAAATATATTTTTATTGTATTGTAAATTTTCAAGGTCAAAGGTCATCAAACTAAGTCACACAACTGTGCTATCTAAGTTTCTCAAAGTTCGAGACTACGAATCCAAATCAATATTTTTGTTTGAAAGTCAGGATATATATTCCTCTAAAGGTCCTTTATTTATGTAGCAACAACACAGTGCTGTCAAATATGGATGGAAAAATATATTTTTATTACATTGTAAATGAACATTGCTGTGTCCCGGAAATGTTGTAAAACTGTTTTATTTATTCTATAGACTTGAGGTGTGGCCAGGATTCATCACAAGTATCCTGCAGTATGAAAATGAAGTAATGCTGTGTGCTGATATATCTCACAAGATCTTAAGAATGGACTGTGTGCTAGACATCATGTATGATCTGTACAATCAGCGCAGAGGAGACTTCCATGATCGCTGCCAGAAAGAGCTAGTGGGACAAATTGTACTGACACGGTATGTGTAGTGTATTTCAAATATACATCTATCAGGGGTTCTTTTCTACTGACTAATGTGTAGTATCCTATAGATACTAATAGTAGAACTTTGTTCCATTGACCAAAGGGAGAACAGATCTAGCGTGCAACCTTGAAATAAATGGTTGATTTTAGCATATTTTTGGCTCATCATTTGTTGTCTATTTTCTCATAAAGTTGTCAGAAATTAAAATTCTGCTTGAAATTGAATAAAACATGCATATTATGACATGAATAAAAAGTGTTTTGTAGTTGAGCGATTTTTTTCATAATTAGGTACAACAATAAGACCTACAGAGTGGACGACATAGATTGGGGCAGTAACCCATTGAGCAAGTTTACAAACTCTAAAGGCGAGGAAATGACATACGTCCAGTATTACAAAAACGTAAGTAAAAGTGATACACAGGCTGTACATAGTTTCTTTACTCTTTACAAAGACTGTATTGTAAATGTAAAGACTTTATGGACACCCTGTAGACTCAAGTCCAAGGAAAAACAATCTTGTTAAACTGGATACTGGATCCCCTGTGGTTTTTAACAACATTTTCAGCACATTAAAACATTCTGTTGAAACTGTTTAAAATAATGGAATATTTTGACTAAATGTAGTTAAGAATTGTGCCCCATTGTGAAACAAACTCCAAAAAGTATAGTACCCTGCCAACTGAATATATTTTCATTTGTACAGTAGGGACTAATTTGTATGACATGATTATTGAATAAATAAAAGCTATATTTATTATATATATACTGAATACTCTCCAAGGAAAAGTTGGTGAACTTGTACAAAAGTTTATACAAAAGTTTATACTTTTAAAATTAGGGACAGAACATATTTATATATTATTCAGTAAATCATGTTTTTCAACATTTTTTTTCTTTAGGCTTATGACAAAGATATCAAAGATATGGAACAGCCTCTATTGATCCATAGACCCAAGAAGTCGGAGGAGCGTCGCGGGATCACAGGCCCACTGAACCTGCTTCCTGAGCTGTGTACACTAACTGGTCTCTCAGATGAGGTCCGCGCTGATTTCAATGTGATGAAGGACATTGGAGTACATACTAGGATAGCCCCTGATGGCAGACACACCACTTTGAAAACATTCATCAATAAGATGAATAAGTAGGTGGAACTTGTTCTCATATTAGTTGGCCAAGTTTTTAGATGAATCTTGTCATCGCGATTCCAGAAAAACCACTGGACAGAATTATTTCAAATTTTTACACATGTCATATGGTTATATTAGAAGTTCTGAATTGATTTTACTCTTCGGTGGCCAACTTGCTTTCTGGGTCAGTAAGCCCACACTTCTATATTTATTAGGTATGATATTGTTCACCATGTGCCTTGTTTATTTATTCTTTCAGTAATGCTGAAGTTCAGAAATACATGGGAGGCTGGGACATTGGATTCAGCAGCGATCTGCTCTCTATGACGGCTAGAATTGCCCCACCAGAGAAGATTTTCATGGCCCAACCACAAGGGGTAATATTGCTATTTACATTGTATAAGAATTATTTGTCTTAGTTCATATCATTTACAAAAATCAAATTAGCTAGAGAACTCATGACTCAATTTATGCATTGGCATTGGCGTAATGTTTTATTTTTATAATTTTTTATTTAGTTAATTATGGTTATCTTTTGCTTGTAGTTAGTGAACATATAATTTTCAATCTCTTAACTAACATATTGGCTGATATACCAACAGGATATTGTGAGTTTGAGCATTGCTATATTATCGCCAATGCTCGGTCTCTTGTTTTGTGGAAAATGATTATCTGGGAGCAAGTACCTGAGTACTGTAATGCTCACAGGTTAATACTTCAGATCATCTAGAAATGCTATGATAACAGATATTGGCCACTTGTGCCTCAAAATGAATGTACTTATATTTAAATAACATTAGAAAATGCTTTATTAACATCTGCTCATTCTTAATCTTCATTTACAGAGAACACACATGCAAACCTTAGCTGGGGTAGGTTTTTGCTTGGTGAAGGCAATGTATAATAAAACAAAGATTATTAATGGTTCTGTAGGTTATTATGAGAATACATGGATAAAATTAACTCTAAAATGAAACTACATATAGGAAGGACTTCAATTGTAAGTTCTTGCTTAAAGTCTATTATGCGCACGTGGGATTGGCAGTATAGCACTCTAATTGTTGGTTTGCACGAGCACTTTAAAGGAATGGTAAATGTATTTTCCTATATGTCTTTAAATTGTGATATATTTGTCTACTATTAAATGTGTTGTAAAATCCTTGATATATACATGTACATAAATATCTTATGATCTAAAATGTCTTGTCAGCGGGTAAATGCTTGCTCAATTTCTTTTTTTAACTCAGTATGAAATTTCTATGATTAAAGGGATTAAATCAAGAAAACCCAAGATTTTTTTACCAAATTATGCTCCTGAAAATATTGTCTTTGTTTCCAGTTGATTCCCAGTGTATTTTGCAATCTCATTAAAAAGTAGAATTCAGTTTTTAAAGCTATATACAACTAAGTTAAGGAAAATTTAACTGTAGCTAAGCCTATTTTCAGGTGAAAAGTGCTTTGGAAGGGAGTTTGATTTTGATAAATCCACAAAAGAATTACAATTGAACTGCTTTGATCACACCATTCATAGCTATTTAATAATTACCCTGCTTCTTGCTATTTGGCTGCTTTTGCAACTGGACTCTGCTGTAGTCCAGAGTATTTGAAAAACTCATGAAATGTGAAGCACTCTTGCTTTTATGCTAATCCATACTTGGATGTAGGACCAACTTAATTTTGAAGTCTCTTAGGTGTTTTATTATTTTTTACTATTTCCTGTTTTACATTATATCATTTTTATGTCCCATCCTATAGTGTGGGACCTTATTGTTGACCTTAAGGCACGGGTCAGTCTGTCCATCTGCTGCCTGTAAATCTGATTTCAAAGGAGTTGGGTAAACTAGCAACAGAGAGTGCCCCAATTGAAGTGTGAAAAAACTTTTTTTAAGAATAGGAGAAAAAAACATCAGAAATGCATAGATTGAAGTCTATATTTTTGGGTAGTATTTTTTAAAAAAATTAGAAAAAATTGTTACGGTGTCTGGAGACCTTCAAAGAGGGTGGGGGCCAGAAGGAAAAAAATTCACATATTTTGCAACCCTCTTGATGAATTCCAATTTACTCAGCTATGAATGAATGTTTTTGATTTATCTGTCCAGGATTATGTAAATATATATTTATTTGATCCATACATACAATTGATTTAAACAATATGTACAGTTTAGAGGTAAGTAAAGCTTTGAAAGGACATTTCATGCTGAGTCTGGGTGACATTTTTATTCACTGGAGGTAGTAATCCTTTGAGTGTTTCCACATAGAGCATAACAAGTCTCCACTCTAATTAGTGCTTCTTTAGTTACATAAATGCTATATTGTTGCATACAAAGAATAATTTTGACGGAGACTTATTATGCTCGATGTGAATTTTAGAACTTTATAGAAAATTTTGCCTGCCATTTTTGTTGATTATTCAAAATGGCCAAATGCTATTCATGCTGCATATGTAGGAAGCAAGTAAATTCTCCTAGAAAACGGAGAAAGGTTACAGAAGATTTAGCTTCACAAGTCAAGACTATTGCAACTAATAATAGAAGTGATATTGAGGTAATATAAGCTTGATTTGGGAGGAGATTGTTGTGATATTAGGTTGATATCAGAAATTATATTTTTTGATATTGCTTATATAATGGCAATATGTTGGTAATTGGGCAGATATAAAGTTACTATTGGATTGATATTTGTCAGAAATTGCTATCGAATTGGGCTTATATTTGGGTGATATTGCTATAATATTGGGCTAATATTTGGGTGATATTGGATTGATATTGGGCCAATATTTGCTTGATATTTGGGTGATATTGCTATCACATTGAGCCAATATTTGGGTGATATTGGATTGATATTGGGGTGATATCGCTATCATATTGGGTCCATTATTTGGCTCATATTTGGCTGATATTGGATTTACAGTGGGATATTATTACAATCAGAATAATTGGGTGATATTTGGTAAATAAGAGGGTTGATATTGGACTGTTACTTAAATAATATGAGGCCAATACTTGGGTTATTTTGGATTGATATAGAGTGACATTTGATTGACAATTGGTTGATGTTGCTATGATATTAGGACATTATCTGGGTCATATTTGGGCGATATTGAATTGGGTGATATTGCTATTGAATACATAGAGGTTATATAATGGGAGGGATTGAATATGAATTTTATCCTGAGGGAAAATATGATATTGGCAGAGGAAAATCATGAAATGTATATTCTGAATTTAAATGAATTAAAAATAATAAAGTATTTTCATTATTTTAGGTACTTTTGTTCTCTTTCAGTGTTGCGTGGGAAGGGCAGAATATATTAATATAAATATCTCATTATTGGCAAATTGCCAATTTACTATATATTGTAATTCCAACCTCTATGAGACTAAATTCCTACAGATATTTGTGATATTTTAACCCAAAAGGTATATTTTGGTAGAAAATAATTAATTTTTTTAATTTGACCTTGACCTGGGGAATATGACCTTGACCTAAATTTTCATACATTTTTGAAACACATATATCACATAGATTAATAAAATAAAGAGAAAACTTGAAAATCAGGTGGGGCTTAAAATGGCCTTGTTTACCCAACTCCTTTTCAGAGATGATTCTAATGAAAATCTCAAAGTGAGGTAAATGGGTAAATGCTAAGGAGGCCATTTCGATTTTATGTGCTAACATTTTCTCTGTAGAGTCTTGTCTACACATTTCCAGGCAAACTGTATAATAATGGTCATTTGGGATTTTCCATCCTAAAGTCTTGTCTGTAAGATCTTGTTGTCTAATTCTTGGCATGTGTACTGTTTAACAGATTGATCTCAAATTTTCTGGCATGATTCTTTATATGAAAATCTCGAACTGATTATAGTTTTTTTTGGCACTGGGTAAATGTTAAGGTGGCCTTTTGGATTTTTATCCTTTCATCTTGTGTACCTGATATTGTTGGGCATTCAGGATGAATGATCTCTTTCAGATCATCCATTGGATTGGTTGGGGCATGTTGTACACGTCTATGTCATTGTCATTATTATCTTTTGGGCTCATTTTACTGATCAAAGCTTCATTTTCTGAAATATAATATCTGACATTGAATTTCTTTGATTTAACAATACCATAGATTAATTCAGAGATTCATTTCTGGAGGTAATACAGTTTATCATTTATTGTGGCATGCCTATGTCAATAATCTACAAAGGGCTAATATGCCCATTTGAAGCAGATAAATAATTTAACAGTGATAGACTTTGAACAGAATATAATTCAACCCTTAACATTTAAAGATAAAGATCTATTGTTGGTTCCAATTCATTTTTTAAAATTGGATGGATAAGATACACCTGTACATTGGTGACGAATGTCAGGCTAACCGTATTGACCTCGCCACTGTTTACCCATAACATTATTACTTTGCAGTTTGCTTATAAACCACAAGATGCTGACTGGTCAAGGGAGATGAGAGGAAAGCCCCTGATATCACCAGTTAACCTTAATAGCTGGATCCTGATTTGCACTGAGAGGGACTCTCAGAGAGGGGAAGCCTTCCTTAATGCCCTGCAGAGAGTAGCAGGCCCAATGGGGATAAGAGTCAACCAACCAGACATGTAAGTAATATTCTAGATATATAATTGAGCCTCGCCACAGGAAAAATGGTCTTATCACAAACATTTAAATTGTGCTACAGAGCCAAAAGTGTGCCCAAGATTAAGAGGAAAATGTGCTAAATTCAAATCAGTCTTTTTTGTCTATACCTGCAAGTAAAAAATGTTAAGACACAAGCCATGGCTCATTTTAAAGGTCTCTGTGCTTTTTAAGAAAAACAAAAAATCAAAACATTGAAAAAATCTGTGATTAGACCCCTTTTCCTGTGGCCTGGCTCAATTGGGATATATAATTTATGCCATTGAAGTCTGAAATGAGCATTTTTGCTCACTTGCAAGTAAAAATTATTTGAGATGGTCATTCTATCAGAAACATATTGCTCTAAATTGTATAAAAAATATATTACTGATCATCTTATTTCAAATCTGAATACATTGAGATAGCCTTTAGTCTGATTTTACTTCTATGAAGTATTTATGACTTTTGATAAAATGTTTTGTTCTACTTTGGGAAAGTTGACAAGTTTTGACCAGTTTGGTCAATTCATAGTCAGAAACTCAACACAATAGAAATCCTGAGTTATTCTACTGGCACAAATTCTAAATAGATTTAATGGAATGACCTGTTGTTTTAATTTCGTACATATTTTCCTCTAGATATGTCTTGGAGAATGATAAGATCGAAACCTACTTAAGGACAATCAAGGACAAACTTCAAGATAAAACCCAGATAGTTGTAACGATCCTTCCAACAAACAAGAAAGATCGCTATGATGCTATAAAGAAAACATGCTGCATTGAACATCCAGGTATGTTGTCTTCATTTCTTAACAATTTTAAACCCACTTCCATGTGTAAAATAACATATGTCATTAATCTTAATTTCACAGACCGTTGAGAGTTGGGCACCATCATTTTGTCTGACCATTGTGTTTGTAGTGCCGTCCCAGATGATTGTCTTGTTGGACACCCATCATTTTGTCTAACCATTGTGTTTGTAGTGCCATTCCAGATGATTGTCTTGTTGGACACTATCATTTTGTCTTACCATTTTGTTTGTAGTGCCATCACAGGTGATTGTCTTGTTGGGCACCATCATTTTGTCTGACCATTGTGTTTGTAGTGCCATCGCAGGTGATTGTCTTGTTGGACACTATTATTTTGTCTGACCATTGTGTTTGTAGTGCCATCCCAGATGATTGTCTTGTTGGACACACATCGTTTAGTCTAACCATTGTGTTTGTAGTGCCATCCAAGATGATTGTCTTGTTGGACACCATTATTTTGTCTAACCATTGTGTTTGTAGTGCCATCCCAGATGATTGTCTTGTTGGACACCATCATTTTGTCTTACCATTGTGTTTGTAGTGCCATCACAGGTGATTGTCTCCAAGACTCTTGCCAAGCAGCAGATGTTGATGAGTGTTGCTACAAAGATTTGCATCCAGTTGAACTGCAAGCTCGGAGGTGAAGTCTGGGCAGTGGAAATCCCAGTAAGTATGAAATGCCTTTTAATAAGCTCTCCCTGCACGATTAACCTTCCATATTGATACTTGGGGGGGGGGGGGGCTGTTTTGTTTTTGGCTTAATGCCTTGTAAAGTGCAAATGATGATTTTGTTATATGATTCATCGTGAATTATTTCATTAGCTCTAACTGATGCACTTGTCCATTCATTATCTTCCATAATAAGTAATAAATATACATGTGGCATAATACTTGAGACTTATAGCTTACACTTAAACTAGATCTGAAGAGGAGGGAAAACCCCATGATTCAATTGATGACATACGATTTCCTCCTTCGCGCACCTCCTTTCCCGGAAGTATGTATATTTATACTTCCCTCCATCTTGGTTTTCAAAGTTTTCAAATTGACCTAGTTTTAAACCAATCAACGATCGACTCGCTAAACCAATCAGCGACGATGTCATCTCAATACAGATTTACATTATAAGCGTATGTCATCTTTGAACCCTGGGGTTTCTCCCCTCTTCTAGATCTGAATATAGCATCAGACTTTTGTGTCAGTACATTGAATTACTGGGCCTGTCTTTTTTTATTATTATTTATTTATTTTTCATTATGTAAATGAGAAGTTTGTTATTGCAACTTGCTTCAAGGTGTTAGTCTATTTGAGCAGCTTTAATTAAACTTTTATACAAGATACTATAGGCAAATTATGTCTAGGAGGTAGGCTTACAAATTTGCTAACTTTATTCCACAATCACTTGAAAAGTGCTCAGAATGGTGAAAATGATTTTGAAAGAACTTTTAGCCAGGTTCTCAAAAAGCCCATAGCTACGAACCTGTACATATTATTATCGCACTTTAAAAAAGTGCTATATTGTCGTCGTCTTGTGCTGTTGGGCGGTTGTGCGGGCGTGCGGGCGGCACATAAACCAAATCTTGTCATCAAATTTCCAGGATAACTGCTTACCTGTTCAACTTGAAATTTTTACAGATGCAAGAGCAGACTAGTACCAAGATCTGATTAGGTTAAGGGCATGCTGGGTAAACTACGTGGCGGCCATTTTGAATTTTTCAACAAATCTTGTCATCAAAATTCCAGGAAAACCACTTATCCGTTCAACTTGAAATTTTTACAGATGCAAGAGCAGACTATTGTCAAGATCTGATTAGGTTTTGGGTATGCTGGCTGAATTACATGGTGGCCATTTTGAATTTTTCAATTTGGCGGCCATTTTGAATTTTTCAACTTGCTCCAAATTGACCAAATTTTTTTTTTAAAAACATCTACAAGTTCTCAGAAGTTCAAATCTGACCTTAGATTTCAGATTTGACCTTTCATCCACCTTCAGTGACCTTGAAAAGGTCAAAAAAGTTGATTTTCTAAATTGATATTTTGGATTTAAATTTACGTCAGCTTAATTACAAAACACCTACTGAGGTCTGAAAAAGTGAAATTTTCAAGGTCGAAGGTCAAGGTCATTAAACTAGGTCACAAATGATGTTATCCAAGTTTCTCAAAGTTTGAGACTACAAATCAATTCTTGTCATCAAAATTCCAAGAAAACCGCTAACCTGTTCAACTTGAAATTTTTACACATGCAATAGCAGACTAGTGCCAAGATCTGATTAGGTTTAGGGCATGCTGGGTAAACTACGTGGTGGCCATTTTGAATTTTTCAACAAATCTTGTCATCAAAATTCCAGGAAAACCACTTATCCGTTCAACTTGAAATTTTTACAGATGCAAGAGCAGACTATTGCCAAGATCTGATCAGGTTTTGGGTATGCTGGCTGAATAACATGGTGGCCATTTTGAATTTTTCAATTTGGCGGCCATTTTGAATTTTTCAACTTGCTCCAAGTTGACCAAATTTTTTTTTAAAAAACATCTACAAGTTCTCAGAAGTTCAAATCTGACCTTAGATTTCAGATTGGACCTTTCGTTGACCTTCAGTGACCTTTAAAAGGTCAAAAATTTGATTTTCTAAATTGATATTTTGGATTTAAATTTAGGTCAGCTTAATTACAAAACACCCACTGAGGTCTGAAAAAGTGAAATTTTCAAGGTCGAAGGTCATCAAATAAGGTCACAAACAATGTTATCTAAATTTTCCCAAAGTTCAAGACTACAAATAAATTCTTGTCATCAAAATTGCAGGAAAACCGCTAACCTTGTCAACTTGAAATATTTACAGATGCAAGAGCAGACTAGTGCCAAGGTCTGATTAGGTTTTTGCCATGCTGGGTAAATTGCATGGTGGCCAGTTTGCTCTTCAAAGTGCGATATTTATCACTGTGTGTCTTGTTAATATTATCTATTATTAACTTTTAGTTGAAGAATATGATGGTAAACCTGTAGATATTTTAGTCACACAGTATCTGATTGACCAATGAGAGAACGAGTTTCACAACATGGAAATAATAATATTTATTATTAACCTTTAGTTGAAGAACGTGATGGTTGTTGGGATAGATAGCTACCATGATTCTGGCTCAAAAGGAAGGTCTGTTGGTGCAGTGATTGCCAGTCTTAACAAAACTTTGACACGCTATCAAAGTCGTTGCACCTTCCAGCATAATCATCAGGAATTGATGGATGGACTGAGGAAAGCTATGATAGGTAAGAGTTAAAGTCTAGTCCACTTGGACTGGGAACATGTGATTAAATTAAGGGTATTGCAAGCACACTACTATACCTTGCATTTGGTGTTCATGAGCAACCCATTTGGCTTTTTAGTAATGATTATCTATTTGTTTTTATTTGTCTGTTCCTTATTAATGGTTTATCGGATGACATTAGATGTTAATAAGGCACTTTCAAAAATATACTAAACAATACAATTAGACAAACAAACAAAGTATCTTATGCATTTCTAGGTGTTAGGTATAGTAGTGTGAAGCACTGAAGCAATTAAGATCACATTCAAGCTGTAACAAATGTGGATAAATAAAAATTATCGATTTGATATACTTGAATCCCCTACATTGATATGACATTGATCATGTTAGAATAGTAACATATCCTGAACTTAACCAATTGCATGCTTTTTCCCCTTTTCTTGAGCAGTTTCGTCTGTTTTTGAGATTTTTTGTTCTTGATTTCATCAGCCTCTCTGCAGAAGTACCATGAGGTGAACGGCACCCTTCCAGAGAGGGTGATCATCTTCAGAGATGGTGTTGGAGATGGTCAACTTCCAGCTGTAGTAGAGCATGAGATTCCACAGCTGTTGGAGTCATATAAGTCACTTGGAGAAAACTACGCGTAAGAACACCCCCCCCCCCCCCCACTATGAAAATGACCTGTCTTTTCTTTTAAATTAGAAAAATACAGGGTGTACAATCACAGTATGAAATCTATGTCAAGTGTTGCGTGTGGACACCCGGACACCCTGTACGTTTGAAATAATATTTTAAGGAAAGGAGAATGGAATGGTGATTCTATTAATCTCAACTTCCACCATAATAATAACTTGTCTTGTTTTCTTTTGAAGTATATAAATACAGGGTGTCCATAAAGTCTTTACAATTACAATACAAAATCTGTGTAGAATTTAGACTTTTTCGGACACCCATTACATTTGAATTGAAATAATATATAAGGAAAGAAGAATGTGATTATGAGATTTTGAATTTTTGCAGTTTTACGCAAAATCTTATTATTATAAAATGTATATTTCTAATTGATCAAATAAAACTTTCATTGACATCACGTGAAAGATGCCACATTGACAACTTAAGTTTTCAAACCTTACAAAATTATTGAATTGTATATTCCAGTCCAAAGACTGCAGTTGTGGTTGTGAAGAAGAGAATCAACTCACGTTTCTTCGCCAAGGCTGGTGGAAGTCTACAGAACCCCCCACCTGGTACTATTGTAGACTCTGACGTCACCAAACCAGAGTGGTATGTCGTGCATTTTTCGTGTTTCTCTAGTGCTGTGGTAACATCGATCTTCAACACCAGCGCCCAGCCGATGAGTAATGTGGTTCAAAACTGAATGCAATTTTGAAGAAAATACTCCGGGCACTCCGGAAATTAGCCGGGCACTGGTTCCGAAAATCAGAGTAAATGTGACCACGGCATTACTAAAGCCAGAATATACTGTTGTATAGATCCTTACTTAACTAAATGGCATAAGAGTGCAAATGATGATTTAATATAAATGATCTCTCTGATTATCTATTTAGCTCTAACTGATGCACTTGCTGTGAAATATTCATTTAAAGGGGATTTGAAAAATATTATTACTGTTTCTTAATTGTTCCGCCACACCCCAGCAAATTGATGAAGATAAAATCTTAACTTTAAACATTGAAGAATATATAGCAAAATTGGATGATATTCACTTTACCAATCAATATGAAATTTGAGAAAATTGACCATCTTTGTGAATACATTGAAATTCTGTTATTTTGCCTCTCCCGATAATAAGTAATCTGGCTCCAATTTATACTCTTTAAAACTGACCCTGTTCGACATTCCAGGTGAAAATCTGATTAAATTTCATAGTCCCTCTTTAAAACTGACCCTGTTCAACATTCCAGGTAAAAATCTGATTTAACTCCATAGTCCCTCTTTAAAACTGACCCTGTTCAACATTCCAGGTAAAAATCTGATTTAACTCCATAGTCCCTCTTTAGAACTGACCCTGTTCAACATTCCAGGTAAAAATCTGATTTCACTCTCCATGTCCCTTTTTAAAACTGACCCTGTTCAACATTCCAGTTAAAAAATCTGATTTAACTCCCCATGTCCCTTTTTAAAACTGACCCTGTTCAACATTCCTGGTAAAAATCTGATTTAACTCGAAACATTTTTTTTTTTCGTTATTTAGGTATGACTTCTTCTTGATCAGTCAGTCAGTACGCCAAGGTACAGTGACCCCCACTCACTACAACATTGTGTGGGATAGCACTGGGCTCAAGCCAGATCATATGCAGAGATTGTCCTATAAACTCTGCCACTTGTACTACAACTGGCCCGTAAGTACACTTCAGAATAGTTAATGAAAACACAGAATGAAATCCTGTGCTAAGGGCTGATGTGAAAAAGTCAGTCCACCCCAGTGGGGATCGAAGCCATCATAAGAGATATACTCTCATATAAAAACTTAAGGGTGTAGAATCAAAATTAGGTGTGGTTTAATTTATCTGCATGTATATATTGTTTAAAATGATTTGACTTTTAAAGAAAATAATTTAGCCTAGTTAACAAACTTTTTGGGGGAATTTTTGCCATGTCCCACTGTGTTGTTCATCGTCGCAGTTTACGTCATCACACTCCTTAAACATGTATTCTTGACCCCCATCCTATCATCACCACTATGTACATTGTCACATAACCTGAAAATGTTTTCTGTATTTTTTTACCCTCATACATCACTTTTGTATATTGCCCATTACCTGAAAATGTATTCTGTATTTTTGACCCTCATCATGTCATATTGAACATTGTAACATTACCTTAACATGTACTCTTGACCCTCATTGTGCCATCACCTCACCATGTACATAGTAACCTGAAAATGTATTTATGAGCCTCGTCACATCAGATTGTACATTGTCACATCAGATTGTACATTGTCACATCAGATTGTACATTGTCACATTACTTTAACATTTTGTTTGATTCCAGGGCACTGTACGTGTACCAGCACCTTGTCAGTATGCTCATAAACTGGCATTCCTCGTAGGACAGTCCCTCCATAAGGACCCCTCTTTGGCCCTCTCCGATAAACTCTACTACCTATAAACAAACGACTGTGTAAAGACTGCTGCAAAAGAACTGGACTTGTCTTACGATGTTGACTTAGCAAGGTCAGACCTTGGAGATGAAGCTGTGTGTGAAACAGACTACGGAGAGACTATGTTCCCTCAGGGTTGAGAAAAGTGACTATCCAAACCAGTTTGATTTTAATGAACCATAGCACAGATTTGACGTATAGACATTTTTGTCTTTAGTTTTGATTTTATGCAGCTAACCCTGAGAAAGTGGACTTGTCTTTTTGCGAGTAATCTTCATTTCAGTTGTTTTAGAACCCAGTAAATAGCTGGATAGACATTTTGTTTACATTCTTTATTGGAAATTATTATGCGGCCAAGATGTAGCTAGGATAAGTAAGAGAGAGAGTGATAACAAGAGAGAACTAAGTTAAAAGTAAGCAAAGTCTGCTAAAGAAGTGCCTTGAGTGTTGAGAAACAAGATGGATATCCAAAGATTAGGAGCCGAAAAAAGCAAGTCAAAATTTGGTGCTGAATTAAAGTGAACTTAGATCTCATTCATCATTATTTTCATCAAGATTCATACAGGTCACAGATCAGCTCCTTTTCATGGATGTTGTTCACCCATAGGAGCAGCAATAAGGGGTTATGCAGTAGTGTCAATTCTTCTTTTAAAATTATATAAGTGAGAACATTTAGTTGATTCCGGTATGCCAGGCAACCATTCGGTGGTTCCAAGATGCTTTACCATGGTTAAATTTTAGTTCAGTTTTGGTGCATCTAAGGGGCCTACAGTGTATGCTCGTAAGGTTATACTAAGCGCAGTAAGTGATAAAGAGCATGTTCTATGGGGTCCTCAAGGAGACCACTGATGTCATGTATATAGCAGACATCTCTGGAAGGATTACATGTTTACGTGTCATTTCAAGTGTCTGGACAGAAACTTGTGAGAAATAGTTAAACAAATTGTCATTGGTAAACTTGTATGATTGACGCTTCATACAGATGCATTTATCTTTTGTGTAGAGCTGATACAAGTATGCATCTCCTGCACAAATCCACTCTACTATACCCAGCCTCTAGAAATGCATAAGATACTCTGTTTGTCCAATTGTATTGTTTAGTATATTTTTGAAAGTACCTTATTAACATCTAACGTCATCAGATTAACCATTCATAAGGAACAGACACATAAAAACTAACACAATCATTACTTATAAGCCAAAAGGTTTGCTTATGAACACCAAATGCAAGGTATAATAGAGCGAAATCAACAGTCCCAAGTGCACAGCTGTTTCTCATTACAAGTCAGGAGTTCATATTTCAGCTGAGTGTGATGTTTTTCTGTGACGGAATTTCCGCATTTCAAAGAAATATTCAATTGCTCACTCTCAATACAAGTAATGGATGTAGAGCGATGTATTGTTAAGAACTATCACCTGGATCACAGCATTGTTATAAGTACATATTCACCTCGTAATTGTTGTACAGTGATACTTGGATTTTAGGAAGTGTGTGAGTGTTTTATTGTGATTCTTCTGGTGGCTTGATAAGCTTTCTTTTTCTGTGTCTCAATCTCTCCTCACCATGTCCAGGTTCATGTTCCCTCCCACTCCTGGTGCCATACAGAGATAATTGAATGGACTCACTATGCTGGATGAAGGGATGCATATTTCACTACAAAATATATACCTGCAACCCAACTCCCTCTCTTCAAAAATTTGAATCAAAACACGGAAGTGTAACAAGTATCCAGCCCACCGAAACTTCTATTTTTGTTCAGATTTGGTGCATCTAAGGGGTATTCAGTGTATGCTCAAAAGTTTGAAAGGATATTTGGTTTTCCTTGAATTTTGGTGTGTGGTGTATTGTTGGTGCCCCACAAATTGGGAAAGGGAGGTTCATTAAAATTCATCTTCATAATCTTTTTATTGGTGTTTAAAAAATGCAAGCAAGGCAGCTGGCTTTTTTATTGTCATAAATATTGAAACTTTTGAGTATTATTTATATGAAGAATGTGAAGCTCATTAGCTGTTAATACTGCAAATCTGAAAGCAGTTTGAATTTTGTAAATGTATTTTATTTGGATAATATGCTTGCATAGAATTAATATGTTTGCATGGAAGAACTTGCATGCAAGATCTTGCAACAATACAAAAATATTTTCTTTTGTAAGAGGGTGTGTTGACCTTGTGGCTACCCTATTGGATAAGAACAAAATTGCCTAGGAAGGTCAGGGAATTAGAAAGGGGATCAGTTAATATTTTGGAGTCTTATTTAATGGACTTGTTTTTTAATGTGTATTGCTGAATGTATTCATATATTAAAGGCAGGATCAGATGTATAGGGGTTACAAAATTACAAGCAACATGTACAATTGGCCTACCAATCTTTTCCTTTCAATCTCAAATATAATATCTCCCAAGAGATTCACAATGTGTTTTAAATTGGTGAAGTTATTAAAGATTCAAAGTGCAAAAATGGTTGAAAAAGGATTAAATTCTCCCAAATAATAAGAATGATAACCAATTTTATAAAAAAAATAGTACATTATTGTAAAAATCTTTAGTTTTCCTGAAATAGAGTGTGCACGTTGGGCATTTTTTTAGAAAATAGACATGACAAGGAATGACATGAGCCAGAAATATTTTAAAATTGAAATTTTTTTTTGTTGGCCTGCTTGCTAGATCCGATTCTCCCTTTAAGATAATCAAGAATTGCTCGATGATCAAATATTATTGAACTGAGACAAAATGCCTTGAGAGGTCAGGGGGGATGGGTGGTGAAATATTTTGTAGATGATCAGGAATTTCTTGATGATCAAATATTATTTTAGCGAATAAACAGAAAATGCCTTGAGAGGTCAGGGGGTTGGGTGGTGAAATATTTTGTAGATGATCAGGAATTTCTCAATGACAAATATTATTTTAGGGAATAAACAAAATGCCTTGAGAGGTCAGGGGGGATGGGTGGTGAAATATTTTGTAGATGATCATGAATTTCTCAATGATTAAATATTATTTTGAGCGAATAAACAGAAAATGCCTGGAGAGGTCAGGGGGGTGAAATATTTTGAGCGAGCATTTCAAGCTTTTGAATTATATAATAACCTGAAGTCGGCATTTACATAAACAAAGCAATGACAATAAAGAATTTTTTGAAATGGGTGGCCACTTGGGAACTTTTATTTCGATTATTTGTCCATATTCATTGTTGCCGGTAGCAATGAGTAGCATTGGCTACGTACCTCTTCCATACAGCTAGCAGGGTGTCATTTTTAGTCCATTGTCTTATTTCTTCAACACTCTGCTAGTCTGAACTCTTCTTCAATTTATTAGACTCAATCATTTTTGGGCAAAGATGGATTGATCTACATGCCAACTGCCTTTGCATCACTGATTGTCATTGACATGAAAAGAAGTTGGACTTGCACATCCAAAAATTTGTTCTTTGATAATTTGTTTTCTTTATCATAAATACTTCATGTGATGGAAACAAAAATTCATTTTTTGATAAATATCATAAATATTTTTTGTGATGGGAATATTGTGGATTGAAAATATAGACCTATCAGCATTACAATGATATTAAAAATTAGTTACATCTAAAAAAATGTCATCTTGCAGTCTCATCAGTGATCTCCCCAGCATTAAAGTAAGTGGGCGCAGCACCCACCTGAGATTTTGAAAATACGCTTGCACCCATCTGAAAATCCATTTGCACCCACTTGAAAATGAGAAAAATCATGAAAAATTGGCATATTTTAACCAATTTTGGTCTACATTGTGAAAATGAGAATTTTGCACCCACCTGAGAAAAAATCCTGGGGAGATCACTGCTCATATATGTCACATTTTTAGGACTGACTCCAACAATTAAAAGGAGATCTTTGAAATATGTCTCATGTAAATAGTTATTTTATATTAAAAACCATTATGTAATATACTCAGTTAACTCATGCTGTACATTGCTTCTTTTTCACCGATGTCTAGTCTCAAAATTTAGTCAGTTTCATTGTTGTATTACAGTGAAACCTGTGAAGTGGAACACTTCTTTAAGTGGAACACTCTTCAGAGTCCCAAGACCAACTGACTTAATGTTAAATGAAAATCCGTAAGTGAACCCACCTCCCAAGTGGAACACTTCAGAGGTTCCAATAAGGCGTTCTTCTTAAACAGGTTTTACTGTACTTCAATAAATAAAAGCAATTTTTGTGTTCGTTTGAAAAGATGTAAACTGTAATCCAGGTCAAGAAGTGGAAGTAGAACGGGTTTTACTATTTAGATTATATAATTATGTGTTTATTTTTTTTTCAAGTTAAACGGGTTTTATTATTTAGTTAATATAATTATATGGATTTATTTTTTTCAAGTTATAAAACTGATGTCATACTGGCCTGCTAAGTTTAAACAACTATGGGGAATTTAAGATTATGAATCACTATCATGATATAAAACCATTATGAACACAGGTTCAGAGGGTCTGGGAAATGAGACCTGTTAAAATGGTACCTGTTATTTTTTTATTATATATAGTTTTGATACACCCCAGTACTTAATTGAATCCTGAAGAAATGGACATTACTTATCTCCTTTGCATCATTTTTCGTTATAGAAAGAAATGTAAATATGTAAATTCTTTTTCAAAAAAACAGGTCATAATGTGTCAGTGATTTTTTCTCAAATTAAAACACGGCCTTCATAGATCTCACGATAACATTTTTAAGGGTTTGCCATGTGTCATTTATTACAGAACTTTTATACTGGGTACAGTTTGAAGTAATATTCTCACCAGCAACAGAAAAACTCCAGACACTTCTTGTAAATAACATACAAAGAACATTCATTGTACAGTGGAGTTCTTAGTTATCATTAACATGTATTTAGTTCATATTACTAGTAGTTAGATATATATACTACTTAGTGTAGTTTAGTATACTTATAATAAAAAAAACTATTATTAGTATTAAATAATACAATGGTGTTGTTGTTTTATTTTATTTAGGTCGGTTGGATGTTTTGAAAAATAGAGGATACTATTAAGTTATTCGATGATTGGAGTGAAAGATGAGTAGGAGATGGCGCCTCGTGAAATACAAACTTTTGAGGGCACAATATTTTCTGTTTTTCGCTTTTATTCCATGATCAGGGAAAAACAAAAATTACCCCAATAGCTCCTCACAAACCTTATGAAGGTCTCATCATGCAGCTCTGATATTATATTTTTGATGTGCATCTTTGAATTTGTCAAATGTCAATACACACGATATAAAGTAGTTCTTCACCAGGAGGGATTTGATATCCCGACAGGTGAATAACGACCTTATAGCATGGTTAAGAGCATGATTTTTTTAACAAAATGTAAAATTTTGAAAAAATGAATTTCGAATTTACCTGGGGTGATATCAATATCTGTCTAATCCCGATATCATCCCTGTCCCAAATGTGTGATTTATCACTTGCTATTATAAACCAGATATTGCTCTGACCACGGTATAAGAAATTTTTATTTAAATCAGTTATGTACAGCAAAATGCAGATTAGCAGGTGTTGGTGTAAACTGACCACTTGAATTTTTCAGTTAGAAAATCATGTTCCATTATTCTGGATGGAAATCTGGGCTGTGAGGTCCAGAACCGTATCCCAACTATGCAAAGAATAACATAAGCTTTATAAAGTTTTTTTGGCTCGCATATGGACCTTTATTTCATTATTTAATTTTGAGGTACTGAATTACCTCCATCATAAAAATTTCAGATCCAATTACTTTAAAGTTTTTGAGTGAAACATACATAAAAGTTTATTTTCTCTAATTTCCAAGTTTTTCCTAATGTGTAATGTTCACATCACTGTGGGTAAACATACTCAAACGAAAAATCACTTGATCAATGTTCATGGGCATATATGGCTATTCTAACAATCTTTGTCACTGTGGGATAAAGTTGTCTGCTGTTCACTTAATGGCATCTTGTAGCAGCCACAGCTGAAACATAGAACAATATATATGTAATACTGTAGCATAGTCTACTGTCACAATTCTTAGAAATATCACCACCATTTGAAGAACTAGTTAGTTTAGTATGTCATAGATTGGTAGTGTAATGGCTATAATACCACAAATACTCGATGCAGAACAGGTGTAACACCACAAACGTTTATTTAATTTTTACTTATTTCCTAAAAGAATATTATACAAATGATATTACATGAAATCATATTTCATTGCCAAAAGAACTCTAGAAGAGTGTCAAGTCTTAAAATTGCTCAGAGTTGAAATGGATCATGAAATGCAATGAAATACCGCGTTTAACCATGAAATGCAATGAAATACAATGATTGATCATGAAATGCAATGAAATACAATGGTCTTTCTTGCAATGCAGTGAAATACAATGAAAGACCATGTTCAAAAAGTATTTTTTACATGAAATATCTTTATTAATAAATGTTAATGCAGATCAGCTGTTAAATGAGATACAATTGAATGATCATGAAATATGATAAAGTTACTGTCAAATTAGCCATGCTACCACCGAAAGGTTCACAATGTCAGAACAGTATTAGGTCAGACAGGGTATATTTTCTTTGACTAGCTACTACATCTTCCCATATGGTATACCTGATTTGGTCTAACTGGACCAGCAGAATGTGAGCTACACACTCTTACAACTGCCCCCAGTGAGGTAGGGGTGTCTAACATTGAACAGCGTTTACTTGCACATGTCACATACTGTACGCAATGGTCTTCACTCCAGGTTGCATTCAGGTCCCCTGTAAAAAGTCAAATACAATTTTTATTGAGAAACCTCATGAAAGATATAACAGGTATCTAATTGAGACAACCATATAGGGCTGTTGGTATTCTGATCATATATACCCAAGGAGGATTGGCTCCCAGAAAACATCAATTAACTTGTGGAACTACTGATGCAAATTCACATTTATGTATAATATGACAAAAGGGTGGGAGGGGGGTGAATTTTTTACTTCCTGTACAAAAGTTGCTACTGGTTAGGAATATTCATATTGTGTTTTAGCACAATCAGGCACCTGGCACAACCCACCCATCCATCCATATTTAATCTCAATTCTTCACAGAATATCATCAAAAAATTCCAAAACTCACAACATGCACAAGAAATGATCGAGCTATTGGTTCTAATCTTTTGAACTGTTTATTTTGAATGATAATCAGTTTTAATTTCAAATAATAACGACATTTCAATGTTTTCATTGTTGGAAAATATCAAGGGTCACTCCTGGGAGCCTGTCCTCCTTGATATATACCTGAGATTAGCAACAATGGCATCTACACAGTCCTTTGTTGCCAATTGATAATATTTGAGTTTAAATTCATAATCAAATTCTTAAGAAAAAATGCAGCATGAAATCTTGTGCACATTGTTCTATTCATTTAAAAGAAACACTTTTTTTTACTTTTGCAACAGATCGTGTAGCTAAACATGACTTTACCACTTTCAATAATTTTTAGTTTCCGTGGCAATTTATCCATTTCATTGAAGTAGTAGACTTGATTATTGGCCTGTAGGAAGGATGGGACAACATCACTCTTGTAGCCTGGAACATAAAGGCAGATTGTGAGATGTATGCAATTCAATACAAAACAAGGTTGTTACATGCAAAATGTCACCTCCATTTGTTACAGACGCCAACCACCGATCACTGATCACCAACCGCTGTCACAAAAAAGCAGATCATAAGTGGTGACATAACTAGTCATTTACATGCAAAGTGTCACCACATGCCATTTGTTACAGACATCAAACACTGTTAAAGACACTGATTGCTGAACACCAACCGCTGAACACTACACAGGTAGCTGCAAAAAAGTTTGGAGACTGTTACAATATGTCAGTACTTCTGGTGGTGACATAATTCCATCAACCAATCAGAAAAAACTTTAAACAAATAAGCGTGAACCTCTCAACCAATCAGCAATAACTTTTCAGTCAACCAGTAAAAAAAGAGCCTCGGAGGATTTGGTAAAAAACTTTGAGATGGTGTATTGATTAGGTATAAATTATCAAAAATCATTTTAGTAATACAGAATATTGTCTTAACTGCTAATCTCTTTAAGTTCTGCAATGTTTGCCTGGAGGTTAAAGATTAACAACCAAACTTTGTAATTTTTTCTCTCCTGAAACCTCTGTGGAAGATTGCCAAGGGATTATCTTTAATTCAGAGGCATATTAGAACTCAACGAGAATCCTATATTAGCAGTTGAGATATAACTCTATCATTTACCTATATGATTTTTGACATTTTTCAACCAACCAGAAATGAGTTTTTGACCAATCAGAATGTTGGCATTTCTACCAGAAAGATGGCAGTTTGTTATTGAGCTTGAAAAAACGAAATATTGCATACTTTGCCATACCGTTACAAATCAATTATCATAATTTATATACAATTATGTAATTAATCCATAACATAATTCACCAAAACAACAATAAATTTGACAGTGATAAAAGTGAAATTCTGTATACAAGAAAAATGTGTTGAACTTACCTTGCAATCTTGTTGCGATCAATGTTCTGCATTTTGGGCACCTTGCATCTACAGTAATTGCCTCTCCTGTCTCAATTGCTGCATCCTGGTCAACTGCAGGGTGATCTGTCGTTCCCATTGATTCACTCCTGGTGCGTTTCATCTTATCAGACTTCAAAGGTGTTGGTTTTCTCTTCTTCTTTGCTCTTCTAGTATTCAACTCATCTAATTCACAGAAATCCTCATCTAGGCCATTTGCAACAGTTTCTTCCTGATTTAGATCATTTACATTTGCAATAGTTTCATCCTGATGGGGTTTTCTACTAGTTTGGCAGCCATCTTGATTCAATTCATCTTCTGATTTCTCATCTAAATGTTTAGTTACTTTAAAAATTGGACGTCTACATTTTACCTCATGGTTTACATCATTGGGTTTAGAGCCAGCGTTTTCTGTAGTGTTTATCTTCCCATAATCCAAACTCATAGGTTGAGACTCGGGTGTTGATTGGTTGTCGGATTCGAACAAAGGAGGTGTCAAAGCCCCAGATGCCCCAATAGTGTCATCCCTCTCGAACTTTAATTCACTCTTTCTGCTTGGAATGTCGACAAATTTTAGCATATTTTCACTGTCTTTCAGTGGTTCTTTTGCACTATTGATATGACCCTTAATGTCCATTGAGTTTAAATTCTGATTGGCACTTTCACCTGGACTTCTGTGTCCATCTTTTTCAGCATCATTCTCAATGCTTGTTTGCGATACAGATTGTTCAATGAGTCTGACCTCTTCCTCATCACAACGCGACACAACTACCTCAACTAAGACCTTCCCAGGGCTTATTTTAGGATCAAAGACACTTATTTTGAACTTTGTGTCTTTTACTAAGTTGGCATACTTGCACCTAAGAGTGTCTATGATTAGAGACACATTTTTCTGAGACACACTTTGATGTACTTTTATCTTGTATTTTTTGTTTTCGTGATCTACAATATGGACCTGGGGTTGAAGTTTTAATGCATCTGATTCGCCATGATTCAAATTGCTAGTGTTCATATCTTTAGTACCAATTGTTGACTTTGGTGCATCCATTGGTTTGTGTGGTGAGTCCTTTGTTAAGTCTACCACTTTATGTGGTGTGTCAGAGTGGGTGTCCCGAATATGTGGTGTGTCACAGAGGGTGTGTAATTTCTGGGTGGCTGGAGGATATCCAACTTGTGATAAACATGGGGACATCATCACGCTGGAACCAACAAGTGAACAAAATTTTAGGAAACTTCGGGTGCATAATTGTTTGCATCTGATCTTAAAGGAAAGTTATGTCCAAATATCTTAAAATAATTAAATGAAAATTGTCAACTCAATCAGCTTACTGTAGCACTTCAGATACAGGAAAAAATGTGAGATACACTTGTTAAGATTGTGATTTTTAAGAGATTCTGTAACAGTAAGGACTGAATCAATTAAACAGAAATTATGGAAGATTCTTTTGTTTTCTCCTGTACTAGTAAACTTTCAACTTTGAAATCATATATTCAAAACGGCAGCACCAAAGGCTGTTTAAAAGCAACCCCATTAAAGAAAATATTTGATTTTGATATACTCCTTTAAATGTTTCAGCCACATTAATCTGTTTTCAGTTATGGCCTTATCATAATATAATCAAGAATGCATGTAGAATACTATAAACCATTTATATACATGACCAACCTAGTGTCCTGCACTGGGTTTGCCTGCCTATGGACAGTGAACTGTTTTAAAGAGTCTAAAGCTGCTCTGTAGTTGTTGTGGTGTTTCACCTTACTACGCACCCACTTGGAGAGACCTACAAAAATACATGTACATAATACAGTACATACATTAAACAGCTGTGGAGAGCGTTCTCATGGCCACGTTAAGTAAACTGTTTGAGAGTCTTAGAGCTGCTCTGTAGATGCTGTGGTGTTTTACCTTACTACATAAAACATACTAATACTTTGATTCGAGAGACCTAAATATTCTGTAATATAAAGTCATGAGAATTGAACTCTTGAAACCTTTAATTTGACTATTTTTACTAACTAATATTGTTATGCACATTAAAATAAGAAAACTGGAGATTTTAATGCACATTTACATTCTTTAGGTGTCAGACCAATATATTTGAATATAGCCAAATATGTTCTGGATTGATCACAAAATAATTATAGGTTAAAACATGTAAAATGTGAATGTAAACTGCAATTTCAGGTAAAAAAGGTATCTGCCATTGCCTATAAATAAATATCAAAGTAATGTATGATTTTAAATCAGAATGTCATTTCCAAAAAATAATAAAAAAGAGGCATCAACATGCAAAATATCACAACCTGCCATTTTTTACAGACACTGGCTGGATGCCAAACACCAACTGCCAAACACTATCCACAAAAAGTTGGAGACTATAACAATATGTAACAGTTGGAATCACTTGTGCTGGTGACATACATTCACATACCTTTGATATATTTCTGTGGGTTGTTTCCAAACCTATCATCCACCAATATAAGAGCCCCCCAGTCCTGTTTGTGTCTGATACACCTTCCCAGTGCCTGGTTTATGGCCCTATATGCCTGGATCTCGTACCACTCATTGCCAGTGAGGAGGCCCCTTGACTTGCAGTACTGGTTGTTGTATTGCTTCTTTAGTTCAACCAGTGAGTCTTTGATGCTTGGGAATGGTATACCAACCTGTAGATGTGCACATTTGAACAACATAATTACATAAGGCATTAACATGACAAAATGTCACCACCTAGTTACTCACAATATAATCAGTCGGATTTGAATTTCTGAGAACTCTGTAGTTGATATTGAAAAAAAAATTAGTCAATTTGAAGCAAGTTATAAAAAAAACCTTTGTGATCTTTCTATGACATTGAGAAGGTGACTGAAGGTCAAATCTTAAATCTAAAGTCAGATTTAAACTTCTGATAATACTTGAAGATGATTTTTTTTTAAATTTTGTCAATTTGAAGCAAGTTGAAAAATACCTTTTAGACCTTTCAATGACCTTGAGAAGGTCACTGAATGTCAAATCTTAAATCCAAAGTCAGATTTGAACTTCTAATAACTTGTAGATGATTTTTTTAAAGTTTGGTCAATTTGAAACAAGTTGAAAAAGACCTTTGTGACCTTTTCAACCTCAAATCTTGAATGTAAAGTCAGATTTGAACTTCTGAAAACTTGAAGATGATTCGGAAAAAATTGAAGTCAGTCTAAACACGAAACAGTATTGTTTAATTATTGGAAGTTTCAAGAATTTGTTACAGACACCAACTGCCACCCACTGATCGCCGCCACAAAAAGCGGAGACAATAACAATATGTCACCACTTCTTGGTGGTGACATAATAATGATAAATAGGATTTAAGCTCTGGACTCAATGTATTATGGCCTGATTCATTCCATGAAGGTGTTGTTTCCAGACATTTGCATGAATGCAAAGTTTAGGAAACAATGCATGAGGTGGAATTAATCATCTACAATGCATTGAATCAGAAGCTTAAATTATTTTCACAAATAGCAAACGATTTTACACAGTATCAAAGTTCTGCAAGGGTTAAACTAGGTCAACACCGTTTTGAGTACATGTGCACTTACAATTATTATAGCCATTGTATCGAGTACATGTGCACTTACATTAATTATACCCATGGTATTGAGTGCATGTGCACTCACAGTAATTATAGCCATTGTATCGAGTACATGTGCACTTACAGTAATTATAGCCATTGTATTAAGTACATGTGCACTTACAGTGATTATAGCCATTGTATCAAGTACATGTGCACTTACAGTAATTATAGCCATTGTATTGAGTACATGTGCACTTACAGTAATTATAGCCATTGTATCGAGTACATGTGCACTTACAGTAATTATAGCCATTGTATTGAGTACATGTGCACTTACAGTAATTATAGCCATTGTATCGAGTACATGTGCACTTACAGTAATTATAGCCATTGTATTGAGTACATGTGCACTTACAGTGATCATAGCCATTGTATTGAGTACATGTGCACTTACAGTGATAACTGCTCTTGCATTGTTGTCAGCAAAGTCCATACCCTCGCTCACTTTTCCCCGACAAACAGCAAGAAAGAGCGCACCAGTTCTGTCATCATCTGCAAGAATACATCCACAAGTGCAACTGTATTTGAACGTATTTCTTCTACACTATATCCAATTTTAAAAAAAATTGTGGGAGATTTTTGATACAGATTATAACCATGGGAAACTATACATGCCTGCATTTCAACCAATTTTAACGAAAATACATTTTTACATTACATGGTAATATACAAATAAGATAGAAGTACATGTAGTAAAATTAGATCAATTACGTGTCATACGCATGAGAAAACAAAATGGGATAAACATTGCCAAAGTTAGAGCCATTTTGGCGAAAAATCTTAATTTTTTGTCCCTCTGGTTCATATCATATATGCAATCTAAATTGCGATGTGTCAGGCTATCTAGGTATATTTTTAATGTGCTCACCCCACCTTAAAATCAATATCTAAAAAAATTATCCTCCATATATTCAATGTGCCTCATAAAATTTTACAATAAAAATATTGCACAAAAAAGCTACAAAATTCAAAAATGTTGCAATTAAAAAATAACGAAATCCTCCACACAAAAAATTCTGGGTAGAGCTCTGCTATATAGAAACAAGTTTATCAAAATAAATTTTCTATATATATTTAAGTAATGTTCCAATATTTGGACCACCCTGTATGTGCATTTTACATGGAGGGGACAGGATTCCAATAAGAAGTCAAATCAGTGCATATATCAAACTATTTATAATCCCAAAAATCTACTATGATATGATAATATTAATCTCTTATAGATACAGTGGATGTCAAGATATTATTGAGGGATGGCCTACCCTGTATATGTCAAATTGATTGCTCCTCAAGGGTCCAACATGATGAGGTCAGCTAATGGATGCAACCATGATTTCATACCATCATGCCCCTTTTCATATCTAGTAATGTTTTCATGTTGCTATAGTTACCAGATACATGTGTTATTGGGTTGAATTTACTGTGCATTATCACACAAAGTGGAACTAACACATGTATATAGGGGCAACTGAGGCCAAATAGGAACAATATTCATTATTCTTTTTACATAAAATAAAAAATGTAAGCCAGGGATGGTGGGTTCGATCCCCACTGTGGTGGACTGACTTTTTCACATCAGCCCTTAGCACACGATTTCATTCTGTTTTTTCATTAACAGAAAAGACACAACAATGAACATCTATTCTTTGGTGTCCCTTTAACACAGAGCAATCAGAAGACCAGAGTCAACTGAGATGAATTATCTCCATTTGATGGCAGCAACTTTGAGATCTCATGATAAAAAGTAAGTGAGTTTCATATACATGTATATAACGAGCCAGGCCAATGGGGGGGAGGGGGTTATGCTCCATGATTTTAAGAGAACTAGAATATGAATGTAATATTATGACCCTCAGCAACTTTGAGACCTCATCATGAAAAGTAAGTGAGTTTTATATATATCACGAGCCGGGTCAATGTGAGGGGGTGGGGGGGGAGTTATATGAATTTTAGAGAACTATAATATACTACAAACAAGCCAGAATTGAACATATTATTATTCAAAGCGTGTTTAGAAAATTTTGAAACTGCCATTGGATAACATCATTTGTCTGCCGATTTGACAGTATCTTCTCAATACAGATTTACATTATAGATCTTTGACCGTTATTGATCCTCTAGGCAAAGTCAAAGGTATTTTGATTCATGGCAAGCAAAACATTTTCAATGACAGAAAAGTTGTAATCAATGATGACCTAAGTTGCCTCCCCATCAGGACCAATAGGTGACCTGACCTGGGGTTACCTTCTCATTAAAATAGTTAAGCAAAACACAAAAATGTCACCACATTTTAAGTTATTGCAAAATCTTACAAATGCCAAACTCAGACCGTCGAACACCATGCATCCACGATAATTTGGAGACAATAACAATATGGCACCATTTCTGGTGATGACATAAAAACATTTGGAAATGCTACTCCCCGACATAAAAACTTCGACCTACCTATATTACCAGCATCAGTTTCCTCTATAATTTGATAGAAGTTTTGCAAGAGGCCATCAAAGTCAACTTTGTCTGATGCTCTTGGTTCGGACATTACTTGCTTATGTTGTTCCAGATTTTCCCATAGACCGGTCATCTACAATAGTAACAATAAGGATAATACTAAAGGTGACAATGACAAGACATTTACATGAAAAATGTCAACACCTTGTAAGTTATTGTAAATTGTTACAGACGCCGTACACAACACAACTTCTGGTGGTGACATGATAAGGGTATCAGAAATTTCAATGTAAAGTTAAGAATTTATTTTGAATGAATTGTTGTAAAAATGGATGACGACATCTTAAGAAAACAATGGACTTGAGGAATTGATAACTTAACAGGATTTCTGGTAATGACCACAATGAGTGTATTATCAGAAAAGTATAGAACAATGCAGAAAAAATAAATTTAAATTTTGAAATAAAAAAAATGTATCATGTCTCACATTTTGATGGCATTGTAGGCAAGAGAACAATTTAAGCCAACACAGTTTAAACTTGACATAGGGCCTTTAAGAATCTTCTTGTGCCAACTTAAAATAAAGTGATTTTGATGCCGTTGGATAGATAAAACTTCATTATAAACATGGATAAAACTTTACATGGGACCTTTAAGAATATATTCTTGTCCCTGGTGAATATGAAAAGATTAGACCTACCTTCCATCTTAGTGAGAACTTTTCTAGTACAGAGTAAGAAGAGAAGAAACACAACACACCATAGGGCACAGTCTGCAAGAAAATAATGGAAACGTTTTAACAGTGGCATTTTTCTAAAAATGACAATAGGAGTGACACCACCAATGTCATCAGACTCATCATCCTAGGATCAACTAAATATACTCTACCTGTCACATAATCACTGACATAAGTTCGGGAAGCTTAAGCTATGTCTCCCAGGTCCCCCAAATGAGACCACTCACTGCATGACACAGGCATGCCTTGATGCCTGTTCACAACAGGTGATGTGTCAAAACTTGTTGAATATAGAATACAGTGTATATAAATGTATTTGAATTGACTATACATTTCAACAGAAGTGACATGATAATGATGATAAAAAATATATAAAGACTTGCATTTGGTCATCACGTATGTAAATATTTCTGTAAATGTACCCATGTAATTGTACCTATAAGGGTTCCAGCAAACATACTTGTGCAAATTTTCTTTTGTTCATTTACAAAATACTCAAAACAGTCAATGTACAATCTCTATAAACAATTCAGGGGTATAAAAATTTCTGAGGAGTTAAAAACCTTACTTTGTTCAGTTATTATTGGAATAGGTTTTTCCTTTCCTTACCTTACAGACATCTAGTATAAGTGATCCGAGATCATCTTGGAAGTTGTACATCTCTGTATTTGCATATGTGGCACGTAGATTTACACCCTTTGGTCCCTGAGCTATGCTACCGACCCACACCTGAACACAACAATGAGCACAATTTTGTTACAATGGACACAATGTTTGTACAAACTAAACTACATGGATGTTATGATTAACTCATTTACTAGTTCATACTTCATAGTTCATTTACTTCTTAATTACTTCTATTCAGAGACGAAATAATTTTAGTCTAAAAATAGGAAAACCAGTCTTATCACCACAGGCTGGTATAGAAATATTTGTCCGCTGTGACGGAGCATGCTATTTTTTACAACAAGGCATTAACATGACAAAATGTCACCACCTAGTTGCTCACAATATTATGAGTTCAAACTTAAGTCAGATTTGAATTTCTGAGAACTTGTAAAGTCAAATTTGAACTTCTGAAAAGATGTAGATGATTTTGAAAAAAAAATTTAGTCAATTTGAAGCAAGTTGAAAACAGACCTTTTTGACCTTTTTTAACCTTGAGAAGGTCATTAAAGGTCTAATGTCAAATCTTAAGTCAGATTTGAATTTCTGAGAACATGTAGATGATTTTGAAAAAAAAAATTAGTCAATTTGAAGCAAGTTGAAAAAAGACCTTTTTTTACCTTTTTTGACCTTGAGAAGGTCATTGAAGGTCAAATGTCAAATCTAAAGTCATATTTGAATTTCTGAGAACATGTAGATGATTTTGAAAAAAAATTTAGTCAATTTGAAGCAAGATGAAAAAATACCTTTTTGACCTTTTTTGACATTGAGAAGGTCATTGAAGGTCAAATGTCAAATCTAAAGTCAGATTTGAATTTCTGAGAACATGTAGATGATTTTGAAAAAAAAATTTAGTCAATTTGAAGCAAGTTGAAAAAAGACATTTTTGACCTTTTTTGACTTTGAGAAGGTCATTGAAGGTCAAATGTCAAATCTTAAGTCAAATCTAAAGTCAGATTTGAATTTCTGAGGACACGTAGATGATTTTGAAAATTTTTTTTAGTCAATTTGAAGCAAGTTGAAAACAGACCTTTTTGACCTTTTTTGACCTTGAGAAGGTCATTGAAGGTCAAATCTTAAGTCAGATTTGAATTTCTGAGAACACATAGATGATTTTGAAAAAAAAATTAGTCAATTTGAAGCAAGTTGAAAACAGACCTTTTTGACCTTTTTTGACCTTGAGAAGGTCATTGAAGGTCAAATGTCAAATCTAAAGTCAGATTTGAATTTCTGAGAACATGTAGATGATTTTGAAAAAAAAATTTAGTCAATTTGAAGCAAGTTGAAAAAAGACCTTTTTGACGTTTTTTGACTTTGAGAAGGTCATTGAAGGTCAAATGTCAAATCTTAAGTCAAATCTAAAGTCAGATTTGAATTTCTGAGAACACGTAGTTGATTTTGAAAATTTTTTTTAATCAATTTGAAGCAAGTTGAAAACATACCTTTTTGACCTTTTTTGACCTTGAGAAGGTCATTGAAGGTCAAATGTCAAATCTTAATTCAATTTCTGAGAACACGTAGATGATTTTGAAAAAAAAATTTAGTCAATTTAATTTGAAGCAAGTTGAAAACAGACCTTTTTGACCTTTTTTGACCTTGAGAAGGTCATTGAAGGTCAAATGTCAAATCTTAAGTCAGATTTGAAGGTCAAATGTCAAATCTAAAGTCAGATTTGAATTTCTGAGAACATGTAGATGATTTTGAAAAAAAATTTAGTCAATGTGAAGCAAGTTGAAAAAAGACCTTTTTGACCTTGAGAAGGTCATTGAAGGTCAAATGTCAAATCTTAAGTCAGATTTGAACTTCTGAGAACATGTAGATGATTTAGAAAAAAATTGAAGTCAGTCTAAACAGTATTTGTTAAGTTATAGGAAGTTGTAAGAAATTGTTACAGACGCCGGACGCCAACCGCCGGACGCCAACCACCAACCGCCGTCGCAAAAAAAACGGAGACCATAACAATATGTCACCACTTTTGGTGGTGACATAAAAACACTAAGAATACTTCACGATTTATTTTTTAACTCATATCTTTCGTTATACCATACAAAATTACTTACTCAGTGCAATGGATATATCATTTGCGGGTAACTTTCACTTCTGTTTGAAGTCCAATTACGCTGGGAAGAAAAGCTATTGAAAATGGCGCAGGAGTATCATACTTCAAAATGTACCATTTCTTGTTTAACTTTCTAATGGCACGATATAGTGACACAATAATATTTACACATGGTTTCAGCATAACTATGAAGGTATAAATGAGATGTTGATGTATTTGGTCTTTTTAATTCTTCTATATAAAATAATGTTTAATTTTTTTGTCCGCTTTGACGGAGCAGTTGCAAATGTGAACTGCGAAAATGCTCCGTCACAGCGGACAAAAAATATTAATATTATTTTTTATAAAAAAAATTAAAAAGACCCAATGCATTAATATCTCATTAATACATTCAGAGATATGCTGAAAATATATGTTAATATTATCGTGTCACTATATCATGCCATTAAAAAGTTAAAAAAGAAATGGTTCATTTTAGAGTTTGATACTCTGGCGCCGTTTTCAATAGATTTTACTCCTAGCGTTATTGGACTTCAAACAGAAGTGAAGGTTACACGCAAATGATATATCCATTGCATGGAGTAAGTAATTATCTTTGATATAACGAAACATATGAGTTAAAAAATAAATCGTGAAGCATTCTTAGTGTTTTTATGAAAAATAGCATGCTCCGTCACAGCGGACAAATCTTTCGATACCAGCCTGTGATCACAAAAATTAAAATTAAAAGAGTCAAAAATGTGCCCATTAAAGAGGAAAATTCAAATCCATTTTTTTGGTCTCCATTTGCAAGGAAAAATTGTTAAGAAATAAGTCATTTGAAATTCAAATTATTGAAAAAATCTGTGACCCCTTTTCCTGTACCCTGGGTCATTTATTTTTGAGCTTTAAAATAAATTTAGTCTATGGGAGACAGATTCAGGGGCCTTGTGTTATTTTACACATAGACAAAGAAGCACATGTCACAGCCATTTATATGTGTTCTAGAATGGCCAGCCATAATATATTTTCACGTGTTCAGCCTAAACAATCGATTTAGTGTATTTTGTACCTGGTCAGAGTTGATGACATGCGGGGCCTCAAGTTTAATAGGGAATGGCATCCCAAGCTCGCTTTGAAAGGAGTCCATTGGAGATAATGTCCCACTGGTCAAGACAACACTACGTGTGTCAACTAGGTCAGAGAAAGCCTGAAAGAGAATAGGTTTATTGAGTTAGGTCAGAGAAAGCCTTAAATAGAGTAAGTTTATTGAATGAATGTGTCCATCGGGGATAATGTCCCACTGGTCAAGACAACACTGCGTGTGTCAACTAGGTCAGAGAAAGCCTGAAAGAGAATAAGTTTATTGAATAAGGAGTCCATTGGAGATAGTGTCCCACTGGTCAAGACAACACTGCGTGTGTCAACTAGGTCAGAGAAAGCCTGAAAGAAAATAAGTTTATTGAATGAAGGTGTCCATTGGCGATAATGTCCCACTGGTCAAGCCAACACTGCGTGTGTCAACTAGGTCAGAGAAAGCCTGAAATAGAATAAGTTTATTGAATAAGGAGTCCATTGGAGATAGTGTCCCACTGGTCAAGACAACACTGCTTGTGTCAACTAGGTCAGAGAAAGCCTGAAAGAGAATAAGTTTATTGAATAAGGAGTCCATTGGAGATAGTGTCCCACTGGTCAAGACAACACTGCGTGTGTCAACTAGGTCAGAGAAAGCCTGAAAGAGAATAAGTTTATTGAATGAAGGTGTCCATTGGTGATAATGTCCCACTGGTCAAGCCAACACTGCGCGTGTCAACTAGGTCAGAGAAAGCCTGAAAGAGAATAAGTTTATTGAATAATGAATATTGAATGCCACTACCCTAGTTAGTAATTGTTGCATATTGTCACAGACACAGAACACTGACTATAGACGCCAAACTGTCCTTAAATGTTAGAGACTATAACAATAATATGTCACAACTTACAAATCTAACAATTATTGGATTGACTCCTTTAACATTCTTACGGCGACTTACCACTGCGGGATTCATGCACCAGAAGTTGAGGTCAAACGTTTCCTCCATTTTCCGTTTACCAGTCTTCTTAGATAGTGTAACATCATTTGTGTTTGCCTGGAATACATACATTACTAGTATCACCCATGATTATGTTTTTAGAAGGGGTTACACATCGGACTTCATCAAGATAGACTAGGATTGGAATGGAGTAAAAAACATATTTTCATACTTTACATGGGACCTTTAACTACATTTTCCTCACCTCCTGGTTTTTATGTTGCACCAAAAACCTTATCGTTTTCACAATTGTCATCCGAAAGTCTTCTGTGTACTTCATGTTATGACGGAAAATGTAATCCAAAACAGTGAATAGTCCTTCCAGAACTTTCCGGGAAAAGCCGCTTAGTTTGACTTCTTTTGTTGGATCTTTCCCTCTTTTTCCAGACATGAAGTCATCCTCTTTTTCACAGATTTTTGCATGTGTGTCCTAGAAATATGAGGAAAAAATAGAGTTTCTTCTTTCATTTAGGTTTGGTGTCGGGCACAATTTACCAATTTACTACATTCCTGCAGAATTTTGTACTATATTTTGTCAACCAAACTAGCGTTAGTGACAATCACATCTAAACTAATATAGAAAATCAAAAATGATCAAAAATGGGGTACCAAAAATCAACTAGGGAAAGATATAGGGTGCATTGAGTCTGTGAGATTAGATGGTAATTTAATACATACCTTGTACATTTGAAAATTTTCTCTTGTAATGCCAAGGTTACCAAGTTGCGCTATGATTTCTACTCCACTCCAAGATGCCACCTATAGTACAAGAAGTAAAATATTAGGCAGGTTTAGATAGACATTTTTTAAAAACTTGTACGTGGACGTGTAGAATTATGGGAATTATGAGAATTGTGAAATAACTTTCTTGAAAGAACAAATGGGAGAAAAAACTTAGCAGCTAATCACACTCAAATATCTTATATTATCAAAAAATGGAATTCGACTGAATTTGAAGAAAGATTGAGATTGAGAAATGTAACTTATTTTTAAGATATAACTCACCTGGGTGTCATATTTACGCATCTTTAAATTTTTCGTCTGACTTGACATGAAATCTTTCATTTTGCAAATCTGAAAAATAACCAATAAGTATATTTGCATAATAAAATATGTGTCTCATGTCCAAATGTTTTTGAAAACATGGGTTGATGAAACAAAGCATTTACATGCAAAATGTCACCTACCATTTGTTACAGACACTGAGCTCTGAACAACAACTGCCAAACATCCTTTACAAAAAGGTTAGAGACTATAAAAATATGTCAGCACTTGTGGAGCTGACATAAAAAGTAGATCAAAATAAAAATGTGGACATTGTATACATTATATAAAAAATACTGAACTGCTATTAATGGGATAAAAATGTGGATACTGTTTGAATTTTAATATGTAAAAATACTGAATCGGTATACGTACCAGTCCTTGCATTCTGTCATGCTCAAAGTACTTCACTTTTGCATTCACTGAAACGACACAACAATAATGTCATATCTCATGTAATAATCTCACACTAGCAATAGTCTTAGATATGTAGGAATGCCAAATACTTCAAAATAGTAATGATGATAATACTCAAGATCTATTTCTAATACTCAAGCATGTTCTAGTGTTCTGCACATCCTCTGTTATCATATCTGATCTATATCAGTCCATTTTTTCTAAATTGGCTTTCTCTTAATGGGAAAATACCAATGGGAGTTGAAAGCAGATGAGGTTTCAATACAAAGGGTATTTGCATAAAATATAAAAGATGACTTAAATAACACCTACTCATTCTCTTGAGGTCTGGTATGAGATATTCCAAGTGGTCTTTGCCCACAGTGAAACTGGCAGCGTCCCTGGCTGAGTCTTCTATATTGTGAGCCTCGTCTAAGATCACTATGTCATTCTTTAAGTCAATACTCAACTAAAATACAATGTGCATTTCATATACATGTGGTCTATATTGAGAGATGAATATGTAAAAAAAGCATTAACATGCAAAATATCATTACCTGCTGAACAGCTGAAAGCTGGATACTAACCACCGAAGGCTGAACACCAACAACCGAACACTGTCCACAAAAAGTCAAAGACTATAACAATATGTCACCACCTGTGTTGGTGACATAATAATACTCACACTTGCACGTATGTTGGCATCTATCAGATAATTGTAAGGGCAGAACACTATGTCAACTTGTGTCATGATGTTGCGACTCAAGAAGTACGGACAAGCCTAAAAACAAAGAGCAGAATTGTGAAACACAATGGTTATGAAATATATACATGACAAGATAATCAAGTCTCAACTAGAAAATATGTTTTACTTTGTACATTAACAAAGGCAAAAATGTCTAACCTAATGACCTAAAATGGAAAACATTCTGAAAATGAGTCACTAACTTGTACTTAATTGATAGACAATGATGAAATGATGACTTCTTAGAGATGAGGTGTGATATTTTTACCTTAATTACTTTTTTCACCAAAGTCATTTTACCTGAAGTGATTTTGTTTTGCAGACATCAACAAGATCTTCAATATCATATGCCGGACTCTTCCCTTTCATCAGTAACAAACCCTCAATGGTATTATAGCCTACTTTCTTAGCTTTGTCCATATAAGAGCAGCCAGTGTGCTAAAATACAACAAACCCTCAATGGTATTATAGCCTACTTTCTTAGCTTTGTCCATATAAGAGCAGCCAGTGTGCTAAAATACAACAAACCCTCAATTGTATTATAGCCTACTTTCTTAGCTTTGTCCATATAAGAGCAGCCAGTGTGCTGAAATACAACAAACCCTCAATTGTATTATAGCCTACTTTCTTAGCTTTGTCCATATAAGAGCAGCCAGTGTGCTAAAATACAACAAACCCTCAATGGTACTATAGCCTACTTTCTTAGCTTTGTCCATATAAGAGCAGCCAGTGTGCTAAAATACAACAAACCCTCAATGGTACTATAGCCTACTTTCTTAGCTTTGTCCATATAAGAGCAGCCAGTGTGCTAAAATACAACAAACCCTCAATGGTATTATAGCCTACTTTCTTAGCTTTGTCCATATAAGAGCAGCCAGTGTGCTAAAATACAACAAACCCTCAATGGTATTATAGCCTACTTTCTTAGCTTTGTCCATATAAGAGCAGCCAGTGTGCTAAACTACAACAAACCCTAAATGGTATTATAGCCTACTTTCTTAGCTTTGTCCATATAAGAGCAGCCAGTATGCTAAAATATAAAAACCCTTAATGATATTATAGCCTACTTTCTTAGCTTTGTCCATATAAGAGCAGCCAGATTGCTAAAATACAACAAACCCTCAATGGTATTATAGCCTACTTTCTTAGCTTTGTCCATATAAGAGCAGCCAGTGTGCTGAAATATAACAAACCCTAAATGGTATTATAGCCTACTTTCTTAGCCTTGACCATATAAGAGCAGCCAGTGTGCTGAAATACAACAAACCCTAAATGGTATTATAGCCCACTTTCTTAGCTTTGTCCATATAAGAGCAGCCAGTGTGCTGAAATACAACAAACCCTCAATTGTATTAAAGCCCACTTTCTTAGCTTTGTCCATATAAGAGCAGCCAGTGTGCTAAAATACAACAAACCCTCAATTGTATTATAGCCTACTTTCTTAGCTTTGTCCATATAAGAGCAGCCAGTGTGCTAAAATACAACAAACCCTCAATTGTATTATACCCTACTTTCTTAGCTTTGTCCATATAAGAGCAGCCAGTATGCTAAAATACAACAAACCCTCAATTGTATTATAGCCTACTTTCTTAGCTTTGTCCATATAAGAGCAGCCAGATTGCTAAAATACAACAAACCCTCAATTGTATTATAGCTTACTTTCTTAGCTTTGTCCATATAAGAGCAGCCAGTGTGCTGAAATACAACAGACCCTCAATTGTTTTACAGCCTACTTTCTTAGCTTTGTCCATATAAGTGCAGCCAGTGTGCTAAAATACAACAAACCCTCAATTATATTATAGCCTACTTTCTTAGCCTTGTCCATATAAGAGCAGCCAGTGTGCTAAAATACAACAAACCCTCAATGGTATTATAGCCTACTTTCTTAGCTTTGTCCATATAAGTGCAGCCAGTGTGCTGAAATACAACAAACCCTAAATTGTATTATAGCCTACTTTCTTAGCTTTGTCCATATAAGAGCAGCCAGATTGCTAAAATACAACAAACCTTCAATTGTATTATAGCCTACTTTCTTAGCTTTGTCCATATAAGAGCAGCCAGTGTGCTAAAATACAACAAACCCTCAATGGTATTATAGCCTACTTTCTTAGCTTTGTCCATATAAGAGCAGCCAGTGTGCTAAAATACAACAAAACCTCAATTGTATTATAGCCTACTTTCTTAGCTTTGTCCATATAAGTGCAGCCAGTGTGCTAAAATACAACAAACCCTCAATGGTATTATAGCCTACTTTCTTAGCTTTGTCCATATAAGTGCAGCCAGTGTGCTAAAATACAACAAACCCTCAATGGTATTATAGCCTACTTTCTTAGCTTTGTCCATATAAGTGCAGCCAGTGTGCTAAAATACAACAAACCCTCAATGGTATTATAGCCTACTTTCTTAGCTTTGTCCATATAAGTGCAGCCAGTGTGCTAAAATACAACAAACCCTCAATGGTATTATAGCCTTCTTTCTTAGCTTTGTCCATATAAGTGCAGCCAGTGTGCTAAAATACAACAAACCCTCAATGGTATTATAGCCTACTTTCTTAGCTTTGTCCATATAAGAGCAGCCAGTGTGCTAAAATACAACAAAGCCTCAATGGTATTATAGCCTACTTTCTTAGCTTTGTCCATATAAGAGCAGCCAGTGTGCTAAAATACAACAAACCCTCAATGGTATTATAGCCTACTTTCTTAGCTTTGTCCATATAAGAGCAGCCAGTGTGCTGAAATATAACAAACCCTAAATGGTATTATAGCCTACTTTCTTAGCTTTGTCCATATAAGAGCAGCCAGTGTGCTAAAATACAACAAAACCTCAATTGTATTATAGCCTACTTTCTTAGCTTTGTCCATATAAGTGCAGCCAGTGTGCTAAAATACAACAAACCCTCAATGGTATTATAGCCTACTTTTTTAGCTTTGTCCATATAAGTGCAGCCAGTGTGCTAAAATACAACAAACCCTCAATGGTATTATAGCCTACTTTCTTAGCTTTGTCCATATAAGTGCAGCCAGTGTGCTAAAATACAACAAACCCTCAATGGTATTATAGCCTACTTTCTTAGCTTTGTCCATATAAGAGCAGCCAGTGTGCTAAAATACAACAAACCCTCAATTGTATTATAGCCTACTTTCTTAGCTTTGTCCATATAAGAGCAGCCAGTATGCTAAAATACAACAAACCCTCAATGGTATTATAGCCTACTTTCTTAGCTTTGTCCATATAAGAGCAGCCAGTATGCTAAAATACAACAAAACCTCAATTGTATTATAGCCTACTTTCTTAGCTTTGTCCATATAAGAGCAGCCAGTATGCTAAAATACAACAAACCCTCAATTGTATTATAGCCTACTTTCTTAGCTTTGTCCATATAAGAGCAGCCAGTGTGCTAAAATACAACAAACCCTCAATGGTATTATAGCCTACTTTCTTAGCTTTGTCCATATAAGAGCAGCCAGTATGCTAAAATATAAATCCCTTAATGATATTATAGCCTACTTTCTTAGCTTTGTCCATATAAGAGCAGCCAGTGTGCTAAAATACAACAAACCCTCAATTGTATTATAGCCTACTTTCTTAGCTTTGTCCATATAAGAGCAGCCAGTATGCTAAAATACAACAAACCCTCAATTGTATTATAGCCTACTTTCTTAGCTTTGTCCATAGAAGAGCAGCCAGATTGCTAAAATACAACAAACCCTCAATTGTATTATAGCCTACTTTCTTAGCTTTGTCCATATAAGAGCAGCCAGTATGCTAAAATACAACAAACCCTCAATGGTACTATAGCCTACTTTCTTAGCTTTGTCCATGTAAGAGCAGCCAGTATGCTAAAATACAACAAACCCTCAATTGTATTATAGCCTACTTTCTTAGCTTTGTCCATATAAGAGCAGCCAGTATGCTAAAATATAACAAACCCTCAATGGTATTATAGCCTACTTTCTTAGCTTTGTCCATATAAGAGCAGCCAGTGTGCTAAAATACAACAAACCCTCAATTGTATTATACCCTACTTTCTTAGCTTTGTCCATATAAGAGCAGCCAGTGTGCTGAAATACAACAAACCCTCAATTGTATTATAGCCTACTTTCTTAGCTTTGTCCATATAAGAGCAGCCAGTGTGCTGAAATACAACAAACCCTCAATGGTATTATAGCCTACTTTCTTAGCTTTGTCCATATAAGAGCAGCCAGTGTGCTAAAATACAACAAACCCTCAATGGTATTATAGCCTACTTTCTTAACTTTGTCCATATAAGAGCAGCCAGTGTGCTAAAATACAACAAACCCTCAATGGTATTATAGCCTACTTTCTTAGCTTTGTCCATATGAGAGCAGCCAGTGTGCTAAAATAACATGAACCAGGTACAGAGAGCTCCTACCCAGTAATCCCAAATTGCATTTTATTCAATACAACAAGTGTTAATTTTTCTTTAAAGTTTAAATACCAAGTAAATATTTCGTTCTATGGAGCGCAAACATTTAAACAACAGAAAGTACCCTATATACAGAATAAAATATTTGTTTTATATATTTACTTCCATTTCTTAGTTGTGGTGACATAAAAACTTACATCAAGTAAAGTGTGACAGCCCTCTGTTTTGTTTTTCTCTTCACTGATTATTGGGTGGATACATGTGCCCTGCTCTCTACTGGACAGAATGCACATTCTACAATCAACGAAACAAATAGATAATAGGGAGGATACAGGTGCCCTGCTCTCTACTGGACAGAATGCACATTCTACAATCAACGAAACAAATAGATAATAGGGAGGATACAGGTGCCCTGCTCTCTACTGGACAGAATGCACATTCTACAATCAATGAAACAAATAGATAATAGGGTGGATACAGGTGCCCTGCTCTCTACTGGACAGAATGCACATTCTACAATCAATGAAACAAATAGATAATAGGGTGGATACATGTGCCCTGCTCTCTACTGGACAGAATGCACATTCTACAATCAATGAAACAAATAGATAATAGGGTGGATACAGGTGCCCTGCTCTCTACTGGACAGAATGCACATTCTACAATCAATGAAACAAATAGATAATAGGGTGGATACAGGTGCCCTGCTCTCTACTGGACAGAATGCACATTCTACAATCAATGAAACAAATAGATAATAGGGTGGATACATGTGCCCTGCTCTCTACTGGACAGAATGCACATTCTACAATCAATGAAACAAATAGATAATAGGGTGGATACAGGTGCCCTGCTCTCTACTGGACAGAATGCACATTCTACAATCAATGAAACAAATAGATAATAGGGTGGATACAGGTGCCCTGCTCTCTACTGGACAGAATGCACATTCTACAATCAATGAAACAAATAGATAATAGGGTGGATACATGTGCCCTGCTCTCTACTGGACAGAATGCACATTCTACAATCAATGAAACAAATAGATAATAGTGTGAATACAGGTGCCCTGCTCTCTACTGGACAGAATGCACATTCTACAATCAACGAAACAAATAGATAATAGGGTGGATACATGTGCCGTGCTCTCTACTGGACAGAATGCACATTCTACAATCAATGAAACAAATAGATAATAGTGTGAATACAGGTGCCCTGCTCTCTACTGGACAGAATGCACATTCTACAATCAACGAAACAAATAGATAATAGGGTGGATACATGTGCCCTGCTCTCTACTGGACAGAATGCACATTCTACAATCAATGAAACAAATAGATAATAGGGTGGATACATGTGCCTTGCTCCCTACTGGACAGAATGCACATTCTACAATCAATGAAACAAATAGATAATAGGGTGAATACAGGTGCCCTGCTCTCTACTGGACAGAATGCACATTCTACAATCAATGAAACAAATAGATAATAGGGTGGATACAGGTGCCCTGCTCTCTACTGGACAGAATGCACATTCTACAATCAATGAAACAAATAGATAATAGGGTGGATACATGCGCCCTGCTCTCTACTGGACAGAATGCACATTCTACAATCAATGAAACAAATGGATAATAGGGTGGATACAGGTGCCCTGCTCTCTACTGGACAGAATGCACATTCTACAATCAATGAAACAAATAGATAATAGGGTGGATACAGGTGCCCTGCTCTCTACTGGACAGAATGCATATTCTACAATCAATGAAACAAATAGATAATAGGGTGGATACAGGTGCCCTGCTCTCTACTGGACAGAATGCACATTCTACAATCAACGCAAACAAGATTTATATGGTGAACATACAGATGCAAACTGATACAGCTGGAGACTATAACGACTCACTACTTCTGGAGGTGGTTATAAAAATGCACTCTAAAACATAATATTAAATATAATGTACAGGGTGGTCAAAAAAACTGGAAACCCTAACACCATTTTCCTAATATCTTTGTCATTTTAGGAAATAACTTTGCACATTTGTACATCACTCAATTTCCTATTTGCATACACTATTTCATGACCCTCAGATTGATAGTCACAGTGTTACAGCACTTTAAAGAACATTCCTGGTGGCCACTATTGCGCTATAGCCCAACCTCCACATGTCGTCCAAAATGTCCCTACCTATGGGAATATGGCAGAAATAGAGTTTATAAGAATGACCTCAGAACAATTGCAGACCTCAAAAGTGAGATCATCTGTATCATTCAGGCCATACCTGCTGAGAAATGCATTTGTATCATTGACAACTGTGCAGATTTGCCTACAGCGCAATAATGCCAAACCTGAAGCATGTTGTTCAAAGTGCTGTAAAGGTGTGACTATCAGTCTGATGGTCATGAAATATGATAGGGTAGTAGGAAATTGAATGATTTACAAATGTGTGAAATATCAGGGAGTAATTTCTTACAATGACAAAGATATGAGGAAAATGCAGGGTTTCCGTTTTTTTTGACCACCCTGTATATAAATTGTTACAAAAATGTCTGTAAAATCTACACTAAAAAGTCCATTTTGAATTCAAAAGCAATTTAAAATATAAACAACATCAGGCGAAAGGTATTTGAGTTTTTGCCCAAACTGACTGACAGATGGAGCCGTACTTTATATCCCTCAACCTTTGTTTGATGGGAAAACAATGAAAGCTGACCTGGTATTGTGACTGTATGATGTTTTATTCAGCTCCCTCACTATCTGAGTAATCTGCTTGTGTGTCCTTGTACCAAAATAGATCTTCGGGACCCTGGAGAATCAATTTATGAGTTAGCACAGGGAGCACACGTGTCTCTCATATCTCTCTTAGGCTACAATACACATGTAAAAGTACAGGTTAAATCATAATTCTCCTACCCTGGTATAGGCAAAGTTAGGAAGATTCCCACCTAATTCAATATTACTTACAAAGTAACTCTTTAAGGTGAATGAAAAGAATCATTTTTGCTATGCATTGTTGAATAGCTTTCAGTTTGAAGGGATACTACTGTGGAAAGATGAATCGAGGAGGATAGCATGTTACGTCAAATTACATACAATGAAACCTGTAAAGTGGAACACTTCTAGAAGTGGAACAACGAAACAGCAACTGGCTTTTAAATGTTAAATGGACCTCTATAAGTGGAAAATTTTCCAAGTGGAACGCTTTTTAGAGGTACCAAATGTGTTCCATTTACACAAGTTTCACTGTATTTAAATACACAGTAGAGTGTATATTAAAATTCAGGTCAGGTTAAATTCATTCAAAATACCTGACCTTATCCTTTTGGTCTGTTGTCTACAAGCACAATCACAATTGATGAATCCACCCTGTGCACCCTCAGATTCAGCTTCAGTTGAACTCTTCCCAAGTTTAAAGTATTCAGTGCTGGGAGAGTCCATCTTGTTGAAAGGGGTGGTAGGACTATCTTCATAACCAATTTTGGTATGAGACCTTCCCTGAAATGTATTGGACACGCTGATACAATGACACGTTGCAGAAAATGTCAAAATCCTTTTTTCACAATTACATTAAAACAAGGCATTAACATGACAAAATGCCACCCTAGTGCTCACAATATTATGGGTTCAAATTGAAATAGGACCTTTTTTGACCTCGAGAAGGTCATTGCATATAACACGTCACTAATAGAGGGCCAATTCAAAATAGAAATTATTTTTGAAGAAAACATTGATATGTATGTATTTACAGTCACTCTGGATATACTTACAGTTGTAGGAGTTCTAAACCTTTGAGGAGCTTTGAAGTCATCAAAATCCAAATCTACCGAAGGTTCTTTCCTAGTGTTACTAAATTCTTGATTTGTGTCACAAGTATCATCGTTTGTGTTACATGTTTCATTGTTGAAGTATGGTGATTTTTCCGTAGCAGATTCAATGGGTGCAGCTTCCTCATGGCAGTGGCAGTTGCAATTATCAGCTACAAAATCACAAGAAATTTTCATCTTTACAAAAAATATCACATTGGACAAAAAATTAACAAAGTAAGTTTTCAGAGACTGTGCATATAATGCGAATAGAGGCAAATGTAAACCGTCAATTTTTTATTTAACAAAATAAGACAAAATAATCGTGGTCCTGGTGAAGTCAGACCAAGATACTGTAATTATTCAGATAAATCAGGTTCAGTTTAATTAGAACTCAAATCTATTCAAGCTTTAACTAGGACTCAAACTGAACCCAGGTTATCAAAGATCCAAATCACCCCCCCCCCCCTCATAACATGTAACTGTACTTAAATTTTCGATGTTAATCAATATGTTGTAACATTCCCTTTATCGGCTTTTTGGAATTCTAATAACCTCACCTTTTCCAGTATCTTCATGGCGGGCATTCTTTTCTGAAAATAAAATAACAATCAAAATGAAAACAGAACATTAAGAAAGAGCCCACTGAGTACTTAGTTTTAAAGACCAGCGATTAACCAGTAACATATGAACCAGTAACATATGAAGTAACTGGCTGATAGCTTGACAAAAGGGTTTGATTTTAGCGCTAGTATTGAAAATGTTGCTCCTTGAAAGCAATTCCTTCTAATACTTGTTTGCTGTGGGAGTTAGATTCGCTAAATGTCAAAAAAGTTATTCTCAGACCTGTAACATTGATTGGTTGGTTTAGGTGAGACCATATAATGAAACACTTAAGTAGAGTAAAACCTGTGTATATTGAACATTTTTTTGGCCAAGAAAAAATGTTCAATGTTGGTAGGTGTTAACTTTAGAGAGGGTAATTTATACAGAAGTCAGTTGAGTAGAGTATTTGTGGAGGAAGGGTGTCCACTAGAGACAGGAATTCACTAGAGAGAAAGAGTAATTTATATAGAAGCCTGTGTGGAGAAAGGGTGTCTAGTAGAGCCAGGTGTTTACTATAGAGAAGTGTTCACTAAGACAGGATTTACTGTAATTGCTTTATCACATTGCCTCCAAAAAGAAGAAGCCACTCAGCTAGCTCAATGCTATCCTCCTCTGCTATTTACCGAGATCCCCTTATCTCCTTACAGAGGTATGGCCCTCATTCCTTCCCTTGCATTGTTCCATTACATAATCCCCTAGTCATTCCCATCTTTGTCATTAATATTTTACTTTTCTGTAAATGTGAATATGCAAATAATGTGAAAACTACCTTTTTCATGCTGCACCCAGGCAAGTGCTGAACACAGCAGAGCCAAACTTTTTCCACTACCAGTTGGTGACTCTAATAGGGAATTTTGACTCTTGGCTAGGCCTTTCACTATCTAAAATGCAAGAAGACTGGGAAGTTTAGAGATAACATGTCTAGTTTAGTGTTGAAGTGTTTCAGAAATTGACAATCTGAAACACAATATGAGAATCTTTGGTGATCATGTGTTCAATTTAGTGTTTAATTATTTTGTCGTGGCTTGCTCTTTCAATTGATATGTTATATACACTTTTTGGTTTAAATATGTTTCAAATTGTGATGTTTAAAAATAATTTTTTTTTGCATCTGAATCTCAGAGTATCTGTCATACTCCTGATTCATACATTGATTTTATTTCGAGGTGGCACCAGGTTTGGTTTGGACACTGTTCCCCATACAATCTAGGGTCAAGTAGTGGCCAAGGCAATTTACTTTTCAATCAAGTATAAAGGGGACAGTTCACTTGCACCCTTTGAATCCCCCCTCTAGCTACAGGCCTAATGTTGTTTTCTAGTTCCAAAAAATAAGATAAAAGACCAGCTCTATATATGTCTAAAGAAGGTTACCATTGACATCATGGAAAGCTGGGAAGGGTATGCCTTGTGTGGAAACTTCACTTTAACGCCACCTATTGTGTATTCCTTATCAGTTGCTGGGGATGCCATAGCTGAAATGAATAACAAAATCAGTCTCAAAGCATTTCATTCAATGCAATCCTTCTTCTTCTCTCAGTGAAATCTAGGGTTTGTAGAGGTAAGAGCAGGATCCACTGACTGAAGCTTGGAGAATGCGACAAAACACTGACGTATATTAAGATTTCACTTCATGACATGGACAGAACTTGTAAAATATACATGTACCTATAACTGTATCCATACAAGAGTATATCAATTTAACAGTTTTGAAAGCTTCCCATTTAATAATTGCTGACTCTCTCAATAAAATAATAAGTATAACTCTATAAATAATATAGAATGACAACTCAAGATCACTGATATGACTGATGTCACACTTTCAGTGCAAAAATGACTGCACACAGAATGATTGAGTGTTTTTTACTTTTATTTTGTAATTATCTTTTTATGTTGTAACTTTATGAAGAGGCAAGTAAATATATGTCCATTACTTATTGATTATCCCTTGTACAATACTGTACAGATCATGACAGGACAAATTGGAAGGCTCTTTATTACCTGGCTTATTTTGAGATATCACATATGTTTCAGGACTATGAGAATTTATAGGATGGCGATCTAGGCCTCGTTTATTCCAGTCTAGAGCCACACCTAGTCCATGTAGATCCTCTAATTATGTGCTGTAAGTTCCATTTCATCTAGTTAACAACTAAAATAAATAAATGATAAATTATTTAGCAAGAACAGCAGAGGAGTGATTATTAGAGTGTAGCTGACATCAAAAAGGCTGGTCCTAGCCAGGATAAAGATACAAAGCCCCGTCAGTCCTGTTTCTACCTTAACATATCAGGGTACAAGTTAATTAGTGCAGAGGGGGCATTCAATGATCATGGACCAGTGTCAAAATATATATAAGTTTCGATATTTCATGAAGACTTACATTTATTTTTATTATCTATAAAGAAACCCCCTAGATAAGCATTATTTCAGCTGATATTGCTCTTGAAACATGGTCACAGGTGGATCTTAAAAATATAAAAGTTTATTTCCCCTTTTTGAAGCTTTGAACTGAATTTACACTTCTTAATGCCAAAATTGATAGTTTATCCATACATTTTAAGAAAAGAGGTATGTCAAAGAAGTTGTTAACGCCAAATGTTGCATTGATAGCTCAGAAATTATAATTTTCCTATTTTCCTATTTTCTCTCCACAGGCCTTGTTGTACCTTTAAAGATACTAGCAAACCAGGGCTAAGAAATGGTACATTTGATCCAGATGAATTAAACCTAGTTCTACATGTATGTAATATTTTGTATCATGTCTTTTTCCAGAGGAATACCTCTTTCAGTTTCAATTTAAATTGAAGTTCTGTTATGTAATGTATCAGAAACACGCGTAAAAGCCTTGATAGCAAGCTGCTACTACAGTGCAACCTAGCTCAAAATTTACATTGCACAATTGGTATACCATTAGGCTTTGGATCTGAGAGTCTAAGGGGACAATTCCAACACAGGTCACTGAAATTGAATTGTTTTATTTCAGATCTCAGTTCGAGACCTCACAAGTTAGTAAGAGGTGAATGGGTCCTACAATGCAGAAAGTCCAAAACAGAGAACAGAACAAGTAGGGTCCATTGCATATTTTCCAAAAGTGAATCTTGTGCAGAGTGCACGCCACATACATTGTAGTCTAGACGATGAACACCGCCTCTAAGGTGTTGGATTGTCATATGGACTTGCACCACGATCCTCAGAGACCCAGAGGGTGCATGAATGCACCTAATTGTAGTCTCGAATCATAAAGCTAGCCAATGCAATATCTTATTTATATCTCAGTGTTCGCGCTAGCCATTAAAATTTCTGAGTCCCAGGGACGCAACCCATTTGAAAAATTTGAGTCCCCATCTAATTTTTTTGCGTCCCTCTTATTTCTTCACAAAGTTCAAGAAAATATTGTGAAAGTGAAAATAAAGTGGGCGATAATAGAGTGCTTACACTAAAATGGGATAAAAATGACATATATTGTAATTTGATGCATCCTCCCAATAAATATCTATCACTGGGTCCTTTGCACACAATTCTTAAGTAATGTTATACCAAAATAGTCCGAAATGAATAAAGGAAATGCTCAAATTAAGAGTTTTGTTTTCACATTTTACAAACTTGCGATCTTGAAGGTCATGTCAAGGTCGTGAACTTTTGCTTCTTTTTATTAACATTTCTCCTTATTCTGAAGACTTTTAGATGAAAAACCTTTATCTTGATGTATAACATTAGATCGATATATAATGGTTTCTAGTGGAAATAATAAAAATAATCGTGAAAAACAATCGTTTCAATTTGTGGGGAACCACAGGGGATTTCTGCAATATTGTATGTTTTGATCTTCCATTTCGATTGCGGCATTTTCCGGAATATATCGGAACCAATCAAAATCCATGTTTCATACTGGAAACTCTGTTAATCTTCGATAGTCATGATAGCCAATCAGATTTATCGATGTAAATATACCTGGATCATTGCTCGCCGTATATCAAGGTAGTGAGTTTGAAAATCTTGATGAAAATCATGTTTCACCGCTACTGTGCTGCAGTAAAAGTTATCTTGAAGCAGTTAATAATTTTTGCGTCCTAGGGACGTAAGTTGATTTTGATTTTTACGTCCAACCTTCTGAAATTTCCGTAAAAATGGCAAAAAACGGCGTCAACGCGAACACTGTATCTTATTTCATTAGTTACTCTACTGTAGATCTAAAGCTAGCCAAGTTCAGTATTTATACAGGCGAACCACAGTGATTACTAACAATCTTCAGATATTTAGATATTAGACTGTATATTAGATATTAGATAGATGGACTGTGAGGCGAACAGAAAATCATTGAAAATTGTCCTGTGTTCTACAATTGTAACAATACCCCAAAGTACTCATTTTCCAGTGAGGTTTTCACTGGTTTATCTGTTAACTTTTTCTTTTTCGAGTTAATAGGGGCCTTTATCAAAGTTCTAGGGAATTCTCATAACTGAGCTCATATCATTCCTCGAAGTACTAGACTACTTCTAGTTCTAAGAAGGATGGGAGCTCAGACAACTCGACCTTTCACTTTCAGACCCTCATCTGTGATAGCATATTACTTGGTACTGTTAGGTCGTGCAGTACTTTAAACTAGTGGATTTTAAACAGTGATATCAGTTTATTATCTGTCTTTCCGGCTTACCTTTTATTTATTCCAGTGAAGTCTAACAATCAAGAAATAAAATACTTTTCAAAAGTTTGCGCGAAAATTTCCTCTTTACTTTTTCTTCGCAAGGTGGCGCTATGTACAGTCATTCATTTCGTGCAGTGGAAAGGTAAAATAAATTCCCGGGTGAATATTAGTTTATGACACCATATCAAATTCAAGACTCGCCTTACACTATTTTCTCCATCTTTATCCAACTACAGGGTTCCCGTAAAACACACTGGTACTTTTATGTTGCTGGTTACGCAATACAGCTCGTACATGTACATTTGTGTTTACTGTCGAAAATAGACCGTGGGAATATAGATAACCGATTGTAACTTTATAAAAACGTACAGAGTTTATCTAATTTTGTACATACACTTTCAAATATCACCACAAACCTAACACACGGTGTCATAACATATGGTTTCTCAGGAGCTGATCCATGTAGACCTGCACTAGCCTACTAGGGTCATGTGAATGCTACAGTCTGTGTATCTACAGGGTGGTTCAAAAATTGGAACATCCGTAATTGTAGGCCTATGTACGCAGAAAATGTATTTCTCATTTTCTCCTCATTTGCCAAAATTTTATTTAGCATAGTTCCGTCAACAGTTTATCTGCTATAGAACTTGTATCATATATGTTTATGATAGTATATGGTAATATACGTCCATGCCTATTCTAAAATGAACGGAAGACGGAAAGTATCGCAACAAATTTCGGACAGTCATATTTTGGATTTTGGCTATTTTATGTGGATTTAAACAAGTGCATATGTTAAGTCAATGCATCACCTCCAGGAAAAGCACTCCAAGGGATGATTTGAATTTGTTTTCGACTTTGAGACAGGGAAGATGCAAACAACCCACCTACATGTTTTCTGTTCTGATTTTCAACCCCTTCCACCCCAGTTTCTCAACTTTTGTTGAATCAATATGTTGCGTTTTGAGACACGGTTAACCGCTTTAAAGGAATAAGTAATTCCTTATAGATAAAGTGGAAACAATTATAGTTCCCATGTTATTTTCCCATAGCGGGAAAACTCATGCGATCCATTGCTTTCACTTTCAGCTTACTTTTGCTCACCCAAAATGGATATCTTTAAAACACCTGACGGATAATACTTATTCCTTTAAATGGGTTAACGGTGTCTCAAAACGCAACATATTGATTCAACAAAATCAGGGGTGGAAGGGGTTGAAAATCAGGACAACATTTCAGAAAAAAACATGGGGGTGGGTTGTTTGCATCTTCCCTGTCTCAAAGTCGAAATTATTATATCATCTCTTGGAGTGCTTTTCCTGGAGGTGATATATTGACCTAACATATGCACCTGTTTAAAGCCTCAGAAAATAGCCAAAATCCAACATATGAGAAATCTGTTGCGATACTTTCCGTCCTCCTTTTACTGAAGTCATTTTACACTATTTCTTTATCAGTGCCTACGCTAGATCCTTTATTGGGATATTTGGGCTTGTTTATTAAGTGACTGGTTACACTCTTTTCGAACACCAATTGCTGAACATCGTCCACAAAAAGTTAGAGACTATATACAAGCTATCTATAGCAATATGTCAACACATCTGGCTGTGACATAAAACTATTTATATAACATTCTTCATTTAAAAATTCATTCAATACATTAAGAAATATTTAAAACCTCTACACACTACCCTACACTAGTTAAAGAAGACAAAGCTCTCTTTAAGGAAGCGAAGTCAAACGAATGCAAAGGGTATCTACATATTGTTATTTTAATTTTAAAACATTCAAACTCATTTATTTGGTGTCATTTGTCCGTTGTTACTTGTTCATTATTCACATTGTAAAGATCTTCTTGCTTGAAAATTCAAAAATCAATGTATAGGCTGTATAGAAATGGTCTGATCGTATTTAGAAAGTTTATGTTCTTTCATTTGATCCCAAATTTGCAGTAAATGTATACACGGCCCATTGTCAGCAGCTGCAAGTACATGTAGTCCAAAGTCCCAGGCCAATTAAAGTCATGCCATCGTGCACATGCATTTGAAACCAATCACTCAGAATGAGATAGAATATTACTTGTGCATTAACGCATTATAGATCTGTAAACCATGATCTGGACACTTCCTAGGGTCTAGATTTTTTCATTTCCTTAATAAGATGTAATTCTTCCATTAGTCAATAGGGAGTTCAAGCTTACATAACATCGAAACGCCAACCCATACGTATGACCAATCGCCCATACAAATGCATCGCTTACATATTTTCCGTTCACGTTTAGGTTGTGAAAAACATTGCAAGCTTAAACTCCCTAGTGTTTAGTCATCGGCCGGTCTCTCTTTGAGCCATTTAGCAATGTTAGGCAGTGCGGCCACCTTGTCTCTGAGGGAGACTATAAGTGGGTGTTTGTCAACTACAGGTGCAGCGTCTGCTAGATGCTTCATATTTAGTAGATCAATCAAACTGAACACTGCAATATCAGCTAGAGTCAGCTGGAAAACGAAAATATAAAAGAGTGAGACATAAAAGGACGGGTACCAGGTTTTATTACTATTTGAGACGTTATCATATCACTTTTTAGGGGTGCGAGGATCGCTCAAAATGTCTTGAAAATTTTAAGTTAATATTTTAAGTTAAAATACTTGCTCTGATTTCATCATTATTTTTGTCATTCTTACAATTTTAAATATGACCTAGAAACTAAACAACATTTGAGTTTAGATAGATATGATCTTAGAACCATGGCCATGGTTTTCTAGAAAGGTACAGGTAGTTGTTGGTTTTTATGAGTGGTCAACATTTCCCTGTGCAATTCATTTGTTGACAGAAGTGGGAGCATATTAATATAACAAGACCCTTTTTACATTTGGCAGGAATTGGGTTGTCAATGTTACGCGTACTAAGTTCCGTATCACTTTCTCATTGGTGAGTCGTGTAGTGAGTATGCCATATACCGCAGGTGGATCTGTCATACACCGCAAGTACAAGTGCAAGTACTGTAATATGCAGAATATGACATGTATACGTATCATGTTTACCGCATTAGTCACTTCAGAGTGTATGTACTTACACTGTCGCCAACGAGCCACCCCTTTCCTTCACTATTCCTAGTGTACATTTTTGTAATGAAGCCATACCACCTGTCGAGGGTCTCCATCGCTTGCTTAAAAAACTCAGCCTAAAAAGTTAATAATTATAAGTATCAAAATTTAATTGAACCCACAAAAATTACAAATATACACTTGCAAAGATCTCCTACAATATTTAACCGCGTACTTTTTAAATGCAATTTTTGTAACTTGTATATACGCTGAATAAATAATTTGAAAAAATGATTATCTTGTCGGAAACCATGTTGATCGACTTACACTAAATAAGTAGCTTTAGTGTGGTCTAACCTTTCGTTCATCATCCTTCTCATACAAGGCTTTTCCGAATGCCTTCTTGACATCTCCCATTGAATCAACGACTGACTCAGCTAAAGCTTGCTCAACACTCGTATTTCCAGCAAGTCCTTTAAAATATATTCACTCATAGCCATATTAGCAATGTAAGGTATATCAAATTCCAAAAATCAGAACACAGTATTCCAAATAATGTGGATTCTTGAAATTACATTCACGCATACCTAGACAAGGTATGCCCGATTCCAGCCAATCCGAACTCTGTATTTCATATAACTGAAGTGTATGATATCACCAATCACCGCATTCAAGGTCACTTGTTAATCAGTTGTCAAGGTGACAAGTTGACTCTCCAGATTGAAATTGATACTTTGACAACCTGACCCTTGCTAAATAGTCACATTGAAACATTTTGTCACACAGAACATTTTGCACACATAGCTAGGCAAAGGTGTATCCGATGACCAGCCAATCCGGTGACAATCTATGATACCGACTGACATAAACAGAAGTGACAAATTGACCAAGCATTGATGTTTTTTTCGTTTAGGTCATTTCACATCTTTTTAGTGATATTGAATAAAACATTTTTGTGAAAAGTATTTAGTCCAGGACTCAATGCATTGTGGAATGACCATTCCTTTCAGGCGTTGTTTCCTAAAATCAACACTCGATGCAAGCATCTCGTGCACATTTTGGAAAGCAACACCTTCAAGGTATGGTCATTTCACATTGCACTGAGTCCAGGGGCTAAATCCTTAAATAAGTGAAAAGAATTTAAGCCCAAAAACTGCATCAATGAGAGAATTGAGGATATTATATTCAAGGATGTCTAGGACCGTATATCTTTTTAACTAAACACGCTAACTGCCGGAATACCACGAGGTCCGGGCTCTTACCATTCTCTCGAGCAATATATCTTGCAATAGTTCCTGTCTCTCCTACCAAAGTGTCATCTATCTGCAGCATAGGCATCACACCAAAAGGCGAAGCTGCAATCGTAACGTGAAAAATATTCATATGGCCTTTTAATTTAGAGATACCTACTCCACGGTGTCAGGGTGTTATAGCATGACGGTTACAACACCTCTGAAAACGAGATTAGACGACTACGATCACTGATTTATCCAATAAAATGGCCGCGATGGAACAGAAAACTAAGGTTGGTGCATTATTTTCTTCTCCTGTCTATCAATGAAAGGATGAACGATTTTTGTAGGCATCGCATTCGGTGATGCACTTAGTAATGTATATGTTGAACGTATTCTTTGCAAATTGATGCCCGAGGATAACATGAAATAAGCGAAAATTGTTTAGTTTGAAATTCAAAACTACACAAAATTTAGTAATTTGTTTATTTTTGTCGTTAGGGCATGGTCTACATTGCCTAACGACCTCGGAGTATATAGATGTAACCTACATATGACCATAGAAAGCCAATTGAGCATTGGAAACCACCTAATATGTTCTACTTAAGCCATAATATTGTATTTTTAATTTGCGGTTACGCAAAAAATTGATTGACGGTTACGCAAACCTCGTTCAAATATGTATCCCAGATTCATTGTCATATTCATCAGTACTTGATGCTAATTCTTCTTTTGCCTCTTCATTGGTATCTTTTTGACTTAAAATAAAGCAAGACACAATTTTTTCCTTGCCCTATAGAGGCTCAATCAAGAGCGTCTCAGTCTTGCGAGTCCTGAAAACAAAAATATAAGCAAATTCAATATTCCATTTCTTACCCATTATAACAATTACATGGAAAGAGGCTATCAGAACTAGCAACTTTAACTTGAAAGATGTACATGCACGTAACCGTCCGCTAAATATCTAATGTACATCTAATACAATACGTTACCGTCCATAGAATTCATACGTAGTCGTCTAACGACATTTCGTTTGAAACCTTATTATTTACAATATGACCACGTTCCTGTTCTGGATTTGTCATTTTATGGCTTGTTTATACATGCTATCTTTCAAATCTGCCATTTTTTGTTATCGTTACCGCAAAATTTTGCAAATCGCCTTGTCGTAACCGTCATGCTATAACACCGTGTACTCATTATATGAACGTGAACCGTGTAGAATTATGGTCCTTTAGCAGTCTTTGGATTAGTTCTCCTCTTCGTACATTTCATAATATTTACTTGCCTGTAACCAGCTGATCATTTTCTCCCCCTTTTCACAATTTTCAAGGAAGAAGCTGAGCTCTGGTGATGCAAATTACTATGGTACTATCCTAGTACAGTGTATAGTATGCACTTCATACTCACTCGGTTTGATTTTCTCCCATTCTTCACGCCTCAGTCTCACATCTTCGTATTTCACCTCAGCTTGAGCGAATAGTAGTCTCAGCAATTCACCATTGCCCCTGCCCCTGAAGTACATCAGCTTGTAAGTTGGCATTTTTCTTGATACTGGAACACTGGCCGTTGGAACTTAATTTGCTTAGCTCGCTCGCGGGTACGACGAGATTACAAATGGCTACCGGAGTTGTACTGAAATGTGTAATCGATTTAGCCTATGACTGTATAGTTGGTATACCATTAGTACTTGTGTTGCACTTGAACTACTAAAATATGTTCTTTGGCCTAATTCTATAAATGGAGTGTTTTGATTTTTAGTGCATACATGCAATTTAAAAAGGACGCGATAACCCCATTTTGAAGCACATAAATACTACAGTATAGTAAAATGGATAAAAATATATTTGCATATGATGCTATTGACTTGTCTTTAATATGGGAGCACTATTGTAATTGCAGGAATAGTTGTCGTATGTGAACACTATTGAACAAATGTGAACTCTGTTGGAAAACAGTTCCTCTCGATGTGATCGAACGGACGAACACTTTTGTATGGCAGTAAATCTGTGAATTACGACTGAACTACAATAAAGCCTGACTTATGCAAACACTAAAGTAGATAGCAAAAGACGTCTTATATATATTAACATTGGAGCACACTTAAACCCGTGTCATCGGAAACCACCGAACTACAACTACAATAAAACATATCTTCTCAGAACACTACTGGGGAACAATAAAACCTGTCCTATTTTAATACAACTATACAATAAAATCTACCTTATTTGAACAAATTGAACTTTCGTAACTCTCCTAAGTGAACACAACTGGACAGTAAAATCTACCGATGTGAATATAAGTGAATTGCAGTTAAATCATCTATGCGAACACCTATGAACTTTTTTTGAACGGCTTTTTGAGATTGAACACTCTTAAAAATGAATTACTTGAGTATTTCCCAAGTATTTCCCAAGTATAAAAATTACTTAAAGTTAAATACTTAGTTTTACTTCATTTTACTTAGGTTTAACTTATATTGTCATTTTGAGTTTTTTTAATTGCTTAATTATGTAAATGAGTATTACAATTACTACAGTAAGTATTTCAATTTCTCTCCTTGCATTAGTAAATTCACCATAAATGAATTACTTAAAAATTACTTAAAAATTATTCAGTAGTTCAAGATTATTTAAGTAATTTTTGACTTAAAATGAGTAGTACAATTTCTCAATATAAGGAAATCCAAGTAATAATTTTTAAGAGTGAACAACTGCTTTAAAAACCAGTCTTGAGTGAACAATTGAACTGCCTGCAATAAACCCTATCCAGCTGTCTTATGTGAACTTTATGATTTATGCAAAGATTATTGAACTACAGTATCTTATGTGAACACTATTGCACAAGAATAGAAACTGTGTTACGTGAAACATTTTGAACTTCACTAAAATCTAAAAAAAATGAACTAACTTAAGTTAAACCTTCCTTATGTGAACATTATTAATGAACTTCAGTAATTACAGTACTGAAAAATAAAGCTCGTCTTATATGAACACTATATGACAAGGGAACAACCTGTGCTATGTGAAAACCTTTTAACTCCATTAAAACCTGTCTAATGTGAAAACTACTGAACTAAAAAAACTTATCTTATAGAAGCATTATTACATTGTACTAGAACCTGTCTTATGCGAATACTTTCGAATGGCAGGAAAATTTTGTGAGTACAACTGAATTGGAATAAAACGGGTATAATAAAAACACTTAGCACTACAGCAACTAAAACCTGTCTTATGTGATCACTAGTGGAAAACATTAGAACCCGTGTTATGTTAACACTTGAGATACAGTTAAACCTTGTGAACACTTTTAGACTACAGTAAACGTGTCTTATTCGGGACAACAGAAAAACGTTTCTGATATGAACACTATTGAACATTGTTTATATCTGTCTAATGTGGACACTATTGGGCTGAACACTTTCAGACGACAATAAAACCTGTCTTACGTTATGCTATTTACAATAAAACCCGTTTTTGTGGAACATTATGGACAACAGTAAAACATGACTTGGTGAACACTTGTGAGGTTCAACAGGTAGTTAAGATCCTGCTTCAAAGCATTATTGATAATGAATTTATTCCTAACAACTTTCAAATTGGTATACTATTGCCTCTTCTCAAATCAGGTATCCGGGATCCACTAGAAAAAGACAATTTTAGGGGGATTACCCTCATGTCTGTTCTTAGGAAGGTTTTTGATAATATCCTTCTGATCAGAAGCAAACCAGTTATCCTAATAAATATCCCCCAGTTACAAGGGGCATCTCAATCTAATTGCTCATCGATCCATACATCCCTGATTGTACAAGAGACAATAGCTCATAATCTTGACAAAGGTAATAATGTATACTTGTCTACAATTGATATCCGCAAGGCCTTCGATACTGTGTGGCTTAACGGGCTTCTTTTTAAGTTATTTAACATTGGCATAAATGGTAAATTGTGGAGACTCCTTCGAGAATCTTACAAAAATTACAAGTGCATGGTACGTGTGGATACACTCTCTGCTCCGTTCTGTGTACTTCAAGGAGTTCATCAGGGCGGGGTATATTCTATGTTAATGTACCAATTATATAATGCTGACTTAATCCTAGAATTGCAATCGTTAAAGTTGGGTGCATTAGTTGGTGGGTTGGATATCACATGTCCAGTTTACGCCGATGATACATCAATAGTTACTACAAGCACGACATCTATGAATGCACTGTTAAATTTGGCATACAATCACAGCCGTAAGTGGCGGTATGATATCCATCCTGATAAATGTAATGTGATGATTTTCGGAAATAATCACCACGCTGTGCAGCCTACGTTCAAAATTGGCGACAAGCAGGTGAATATTGTGCAAAATCAAACCCATGTAGGTATACCCTTATCAACTAGTGGAAGCGTTTCCGAATATGTTGAGAAGGCGGTTACGTCTGGTAAAAGGAAATATTTCTCTCTACTTGGTCTAGGGAGTACTTGTGGTGGACTCAATCCTCTAACGGCATCACGCCTTTATTGGACTCTGTCTATCCCTACAATGCTATACGGTAGTTCAATCATTTCTTATTCGAATAATGATGTTGAATTAATCCAAACAGCCCATAGGCAGATTGGAAAACGCATTCAATGTCTTCCTAAATTTGCTGATAATGTATTTTCAACTGATCCACTGGGCTGGATGGACATCGAGTATAAAATCGCCTTAGATAAATTAATGTTCTTACTTATGTTGATAACACTACCGGTAAAAAATATTTATAAGCAGGTCTTTCTTTATCGAGCTACGGAATTCCAATATAATGGTCACGGTGGTGCTGCGTCACCACTTAATACAATATGGAATGTTTTAAGCAGATTTAATCTTTTAGATGCTGCAACTAATATGATAAACACAGGTGTCTACCCATCAAAGGGAATATGGCGTAAATTAGTTTTAGGTAGGCTACGTCAAAGCCAAAATGCAACGTTTATGATTAAATGTGCTATAAAAAGTGCAACACATTTGTATGTAAGTGTAAAATGCTTTGCTCAGCCACTTAAATGGTGGACACTCAGTTTCAAATACCCTAGAGATTTAAAATATTGTAAATTAATGGTCAATTTGCTTATGAACCAGACACTCAATGGAAATAAAAAATGGGGTGACAGAAAATGTAATATATGTGATACTGGCGAAATAGAAACATTGGATCACTTTTTACGTTTCTGCAATTCCATAGATGCGGAAAGAGTTGCACTTCTCAATTTATTTAGAATTGGTAATGATGACATTATATTTCAAACTTTCAAATCAGACAATGATGAAGCAATGATTTTAAAAGCCAAAGCTGTATTTCTAATGTATGCAAAGCGTAACATGCTTATGCAAATGTGATTTTATTGTTAATGCAAAACAAAAATTGTAAATGTACTCACAATATATACTTGTGGTAATAAAGGATACAATACAATACAATACAATTAGACTACAGTAGAACCTGTTTAATAGCTAAATTTAAAACGCCCAACAGTTTTTACTTATATCAAGCTATTCCTTGGAGGCTTAAGATTATACAGGTGTAGATCAACTTTTAAATTCAAATCTATTGAATTTCGACATTTTTGAATCATTTAATTGCTTCTTTATTGGATCAGCTATCGTCAATTATCTTTTTCAGATGATAAACTTCGTACTCTACTGGGAAATTGGTCTAGTTTTTGAAAACAACCAAAGAAATTCTGCACAGGCCACGCTCTCTATTCATACTAATTTGGTTTTAATGTTGATTTTATATTAAAACATTGAGGTTATAATATTCTTGCTTTGAAAAACCTCTACAAACGTTTCATATTTTTATTTTTAAAACATTCAGAATTATTTATTAAGTGACATTGTAAAGAAATATTTGAAAATTCAATGCAGGCTATATAAAAAATGTTTTATTTAGAAAGCTTATGTTCTTCCATAACTTCAACTTTTCATTAAGTCCCAAGTCTGCAGTAAATATAAGTATTCACGGCCCATTGTCAGCAACTACAAGTTGTCCTAAGTCCAAAGTCATGCCATCGTGCACATGCAATTGAAACAAATCATCCAGTATGAGATAGAATATCACACTGTAACTCATTGATGTAGACACGTCCTTGGTCTAGATGTTTTACATATCCTTATATAATGCCTCAGTCACATTCGAACTACGGCAACCGTACGGCGTCCGTGGCTTCTCAAAATCCAGAGTAATATTCAGCATAACATATAAGGATATGCAGTATAATGTCGATTTCCATATCCATATTGTGAAGCTACGGCCGCCCTACGCCCACCGTAGACCAAATGTGACTGAGGCTTCAGATATCAATGTTTAGTCATCGGCCGGTCTCTCTTTGAGCCATTTAGCAATGTTAGGCAGTGCGGCCACCTTGTCTCTGAGGGAGACCATCAATGGATGTTTGTCGACTACAGACGCAGCGTCTGCTAGCATTTTAATGCTTAGTAGATCAATCATACTGAATACGGCAATATCAGCAAAAGTCAGCTGGAAAATGAAAAACAGAATACGTAGAATATATACATTAAGGGAATGGAACTTTACCCTTTCATAAGTATTATCTTTCATGAGGATCATCGTCTCTCATGTAAGTTCAGGACGAGTGAACTACTGTAGTGAGCGACATGTAAGGTCGAGATAACGCGGAACCGGGCTTTATTAAAATGTTGAATGACTCGGATATTTTGAGGAAGGCCGCTGGATAAATATCGGTAATGAGGACAATATCAGATATATGATTATGAACTTTTTATCCCATTAATGTCGTAGGAGGGTTTTCCAAAAATGAAACTGAAACTGATTTTGATCACTTTTTGATATTGTGACAATAATATCGTCGTTTTTGATTATTTAAGAGGTCAATTTTTCGCTTTGCAATGTTGCAAAGATGGGTGGGACGGTGCAGTTTTATTTGACATGGTCTTAATTTATACCCGTTTGTTTCAGAGGGTGTAGTTGTACTTACACTGTCGCCAACAAGCCAGCCCTTCCCCTCATTATTCTTGGTGTATATTGTTGAAATAAAGCCGAACCACTTGTCGAGTGTCTCTGTCGCTTGCTTGAAAAACTCAGCCTAAAATAATAATTAGAAGTATCAAAAAATGTTTGTGAATTTGCAATGATTTTTTACTTATAAAATGTTAAATTATTTTGTAGCTTGTAGGCCTATACAATGCTGAATAATACCTCTAGATTGAATTGTGAAGAAATAAGAATATGGATAATGTTATGGTGGACTTGGCAAACAAAGAATTCCATAAACAAGCCCAATGCCCTGTACCATTGAAAATGGATTCTAGCAATACTGTCCCACATGAACTTTCTTGTTGAGACTCATCAACTTGAGTTTTTCTGAGAAAATGAGGATTTCAGCAAGGGTGTTAACATGGGGATGCAATTGACATAAAAGCTTCATGTCATCATGGGGATGGAAACAAAATCCCCATTACCTCAGATCGAAAAACTCAAGTTGATCGAGTCTGATGTGGGAGAATATTGGTAGAATCCCGATTTTCAATAGTAAGAATAGGGATTCTTAAACATGACATTAAAGCTTAACATGGAAGGCTTTTTTTGGAATTAAGGTTACTTTATTATAGCTTTAGGGTTTCTAACCTTCCGTTCATCATCTTTCTCATAGTAGGCTTTTCCAAATGCACTCTTGACATCTCCCATTGAGTCGAAGACAGACTCAGCTAAGGCTTGTTCAACACTCGTTTTACCACCAAGTCCTTAAAAAATAATCAAGGTTGTCTTTTAGTAAATACTGGCCGTAGTTCGGTTTCTTATTGGTTATTGTGCGCGTCCAATAGTTTTGACTATAGACATTAGAAAGCGGTCGGAATGCACTCCCGGTTGATAATATTCGAGGATAACAAAGACGTATGAATGTCAAACCAATTCTATGGTTAACCCTACTTTATTGAAAAACTAGAATTTTGGGTGTTATACTAATAACTGAATTTTTCTGGATTTACTGGGAACATAATGCGCGCATCTTGCGATATGAAAAGTACTAAAACGTTCAATGTATCTACGCGTTTTCACGGCCTGTATATAGATAATGATAAAACATGGCTATGACTGGCTAGTTATATTTTCAAACGGGCAACGATCCTTTTAACCCTTTTAGCTAGCAAAGAATAAATTTGAAACAAGACTGCTACAAGCAAGGAATACGTTGAGGGTTACATTTCAGTTAGTAATGTCTAGAGCTGTGTATTTTCAATCTAAACATCGTGTTGTAACAACTGTTTATACCACAGATGTTCGATATAGCCTTACCGTTCTCTCGAGCAATATATCTTGCAATAGTTCCTGTTTCTCCTACCAAAGTGTCATCTATCTGCAGCATAGGCATCACACCAAATGGCGAAGCTGCAATCGTAAACTGAAAAATTATTCATATGCCCCTTTTATACAGGAATATGTATCACTATATGGTGGCCAAATCTGGAATAACAAGCTTTATTCGAATATAGCTATTATTTTTCCAGGTTTAACCAATAGATGTCATGTGTTGATGTAGGTTCATGTCCTGTGGCCCTTTAATTTATGATACCTATTTATTACATGAACGTGTAAAATTATGGTCTTCTACTTAAAGCAATCTTACACTCCCTTTAGTAATATCTACTTGCCAGCTGACCGTTTTCTCTCCATTTCAATTGTGATTTAGAGAGACCTTTTTCAGAAAACTTGAAAATCCTGGAAGAGTTACATGTAAAATACCGCTGTAGTTCAAAGACAGCACTGAGAGGCTGTTCCCGGGAGGCTGTTACTCTGGCGATACAAACTCCTATGGTACTACATGTATTATATTGGTTTACTCACTCGGTTTGATTTTCTGCCATTCTTCACCAGTCAGTCTGACATCTTCGTATTTCACTTCAGCTTGAGCGAATAGTAGTCTCAGCAATTCACCATTGCCCCTGCCCTTGAAGTACATCAGTTTGTAAGTCGGCATTTTGCTTGATAAGTCTAGTTCGCCCTGGAACACTAAGATTGCTGAACTCGCTATCAGATACCCTACTCTGATTACAAATGGCTACCGACGAGTGGTACTAATATCAACTGAAATGTAATATCGATTCAGCCGTATATGCACTTGTATTGTGTATGTTCTCAGTCTAGCCTAAATCTATTTTGATTTAATGTGTACTGAGTTGTTATTTAAACAGGGCGCGATTACCCCATTTTGAAGTACCTCGATAGTAGATAATGATTGATGAAACAAGTCAAACAAGAAACGCGTGATCAGAGTAATATCGTACGAAAAAAGAAAATGCAGTTGCATATGATGCTATTGCATCTGTCTCACGTGAAAACTATTGAACTTTACAATATTAAAACTAACTAAATTATGTGAAAACTGTATATTGAACTAAAATAAAGCTTGTGTGAAAACTACTGGACTACAATAAAACCAAACTTATGTGAACACTATTGTAGAACAGTAAAAGTCGTCTTATATGAACATTGGACCACAATCAAACCCGTATCATGGGGACACCTCTAGAAAACAATAAAACCTGTTCTATTTCAACACAACTATTTATTAGAACCTGCCTTATTTGAACGCAATTGATCATGAACATCAGTACTAACTCTATTATGAGAAAACCTGTAGCATATTCTTGGAAAACTTTTAAAACTTGTCCAATGAAACAAAAGTGGTCTAATAAGAACACTTATTATGACAGTAAAACCTGTCTTATGTGAATAGTATTGAACGGCAGGAAAACCTATATATGTGAATTGTGAATACCGTGGCAACTGAACTATGACAAAAGTGGTCTAATAAGAACACTTTGTATGACAGTAGAACCTGTCTTATGTGAATACTATTGAACGGCAGGAAAACCTATATATGTGAATACAACTGAATTGCAACAAAAGTGGTCTAATAAGAACACTTTGTATGACAGTAGAACCTGTCTTATGTGAATACTATTGAACGGCAGGAAAACCTATATATGTGAATACAACTGAATTGCAACAAAAGTGGTCTAATAAGAACACTTTGTATGACAGTAGAACCTGTCTTATGTGAATACTATTGAACGGCAGGAAAACCTATATATGTGAATACAACTGAATTGCAACAAAAGTGGTCTAATAAGAACACTTTGTATGACAGTAGAACCTGTCTTATGTGAATACTATTGAACGGCAGGAAAACCTATATATGTGAATACAACTGAACTATGACAAAAGTGGTCTAATAAGAACACTTTTTATGACAGTAAAACCTGTCTTATGTGAATACTATTGAATGGCAGGAAAACCTATATATGTGAATACAAGTGAATTGCAACAAAAGTGGTCAAATAAGAACATTTTGTATGACAGTAAAACCTGTCTTATGTGAATACTATTGAACGGCGGGAAAACCTATATATGTGAATACAACTGAATTGCAACAAAAGTGGTCTAATAAGAACACTTTGTATGACAGTAGAACCTGTCTTATGTGAATACTATTGAATGGCAGGAAAACCTATATATGTGAATACAAGTGAATTGCAACAAAAGTGGTCAAATAAGAACATTTTGTATGACAGTAAAACCTGTCTTATGTGAATACTATTGAACGGCGGGAAAACCTATATATGTGAATACAACTGAATTGCAACAAAAGTGGTCTAATAAGAACACTTTGTATGACAGTAGAACCTGTCTTATGTGAATACTATTGAACGGCAGGAAAACCTATATATGTGAATACAACTGAATTGCAACAAAAGTGGTCTAATAAGAACACTTTGTATGACAGTAGAACCTGTCTTATGTGAATACTATTGAACGGCAGGAAAACCTATATATGTGAATACAACTGAACTATGACAAAAGTGGTCTAATAAGAACACTTTTTATGACAGTAAAACCTGTCTTATGTGAATACTATTGAATGGCAGGAAAACCTATATATGTGAATACAAGTGAATTGCAACAAAAGTGGTCAAATAAGAACATTTTGTATGACAGTAAAACCTGTCTTATGTGAATACTATTGAATGGCAGGAAAACCTATATATGTGAATACAACTGAACTATGACAAAAGTGGTCTAATAAGAACATTTTGTATGACAGTAAAACCTGTCTTATGTGAATACTATTGAATGGCAGGAAAACCTATATATGTGAATACAACTGAATTGCAACAAAAGTGGTCTAATAAGAACACTTTGTATGACAGTAAAACCTGTCTTATGTGAATACTATTGAATGGCAGGAAAACCTATATATGTGAATACAAGTGAATTGCAACAAAAGTGGTCAAATAAGAACATTTTGTATGACAGTAAAACTTGTCTTATGTGAATACTATTGAACGGCGGGAAAACCTATATGTGGGAATACAACTGAATTGCAACAAAAGTGGTCTAATAAGAACACTTTGTATGACAGTAAAACCTGTCTTATGTGAATACTATTGAATGGCAGGAAAATCTATATATGTGAATACAACTGAATTGCAACAAAAGTGGTCTAATAAGAACACTTTGTATGACAGTAGAACCTGTCTTATGTGAATAATATTGAATGGCAGGAAAACCTATATATGTGAATACAACTGAATTGCGACAAAAGTGGTCTAATAAGAACACTTATTATGACCGTAAAACCTGTCTTATGTGAATACTATTGAACGGCGGGAAAACATATAAGCCTATATGTGAATACAACTGAATTGCAACAAAAGTGGTCTAATAAGAACACTCTGTATAACAGTAAAAGTTGTCTCATGTGAAAACTAGTACTGAATGCCAGGAAACCATACAAAAACATAACTACCAAACTATTTTATCAATTAAAAACCTGTCTTATGTAAAAATACTATAGCACTGCAATAAAACATATCTATTCAAATACTCATATGCAAAGACTAATAATATATTTATCTAATATGTCAAATTTTATTTTATAATACACAATAATAATACATTCATTCCAATCCTTCTCTTTCTTTGAACTCTTTTAGTTTTTCTAGTTTACTTTTTACTTTTTGCTTTTTAGTTTTGTATTTTAGTTTCTCTATTCGCTTCTGTCTCTCTATGTAAGCATTTTCTCCATTATAATGGAAATCCAGTCTCTGCTGAAGATTTTGACGAGCTCGTTTTCTATTTGTCTCTAGTGACCTTGTTTCATGATTCTGTAAGATAAATCATTCATGTGTTACAAACATTTGATGCAATGGTGATATCTGGGCCAAATCACACTCATATCTTACATACAGGGTGTCTTATAAATAAAGTGAAAGATACTTTCTCTCTCTCTTAATGTTTTACCAATCTTCATGAAATTTGGGCAACATGTGAATCAAACCTTTTCATATTCATTCTGTAAATTTCAAGCTTTTCTCATTTGATTGGTTAGAGTTATGGTTGCTATAGCATTGAATATTACAGTATTTTTCACACACTGTGCCTTACTCTAGGATGAAGAAATATTTTCTTTATCCTAGATCTTACTACATATTAAATATTTTCTAGTAAACACTTGTATGCAGGCCTGTAGCCAGGACTTGCCAAGGGGAGTCATTTGTGGCAATTTTGGACCAAAAATGGCCTAAATCCCTTAAAAAGTGCTCAGAATGGTGAAAAACTGCATGATTTTGAAAGATTTTTTGGCAGGGGGGGGGGGGGGGTTGAACCCATGAACCCCATTGAACCCTCCCCTGGCTACAGGCCTGCGCATGTATGGCAAATACACTTTTATTATAGCATAATTCATACATAGTTTTATTGTATGTATGATACATGATAATGTGACATGATAATATTATTTCTATAGCCTTACCATGACAACTATTCCTGTAGGCAAATGTTTCAGGACAACCTTATTCATCGTTCGGTTAACAGATTGGCCCCCTGGTCCAGATCCCCTGGTGAACTGTTCCTCAAGGTCCGACTCAATGAGAGGGGGATACAAATGTGTATGTTTTTTTCTAGACACTATCACCATGGCAAGATTTAAATTGTGCGAAGGATTCTCCAAAATATAAGCGTTCTTGCTCAAAATTCTTAATTCTTCTGACTTTGTCATTGTATGAATCCAGTTTGACTGAATATTATTTAAGCCGTACATATTGTTTTTGTAGTTGCATATTGTTTTATAAAATTGGTTGCTATGGCAGCAATGACTGCTATTATAGCTGCTATGTTTCAATGTTTTGTTGTTCAAACAGTTCATAGTTTGATGTGGGTACCGGTAGGTAAATGTATCCAAGAAATATTGTTTAGGCACTTTTAAAGCTGAATGCCTTGGAAACAATCGAATAGTCTGCATCAAAACCATTGTTCTTTTCGGGCCATATGAATCCTTATGTTAACTTCTTGGTGTGTATGCCAATTACTGATTCTGAAAAGAAAATATTGTAACATTAATAATGACAATTAAAGTTTACTAGTAATAAAAAGAAGTAAATGAATCTGGATTAACAAATAACATTCCAATTTAAAAACTGGCTAACTGAAGGATTAGCCCTACAAATGACGATGAATTTGTCATTATTAGACTTGAAATTTTTTCAATTAAGCATCCCTCTGTGCAAGCTATCAAAAATAAGAGGCATAACATGCAAAATTTCACCACCTGCCATTTGATACAGATGGTGAAGGATGACCACCAAACAACAACCACTTAACACCAGCCACCAAACTAATCCACAAAAAAGTTGGAGACTAACAATATGTAGCCACTTCTGGTGGTGACATAAAAAGTTTTTACCTACAGAAGAGAAATATGACTGACATATCCTGGTGCTCCTCCTAACATTGGCACTAACTTATATCATTTTGTAACGCTAACCCAGGCCTCGACACTCACATTTTTTGCCTGGTGCCAAAATAACTACCTGGCCAATTTTCAGGTAATTATTTGCTCCTGTCAGGTAGTTGTATATAAAATGATGTTATAAAATTTCAAAAATAACATATACCCAGCATATAATGTTTATCTTGTGCCAATCCCTAGATTATAGTAAGCATGGGACTTGATGGCTTGATGCTACTACTGACTTCTAAATGCGCATTTAATTGGGAAGATAGATCCAATAAAACATTATAGGGATTTCAAGTTCTTATAATTTGAAGTTTACATTCCATCTTTGAGATAGGTATTATTTATTAATTAGCTGTAAAGCATTGTTTTAGTATGACAGCAATATACATGATTTGATTGGTTGTTGGCTGACTCTGGGCACACTTCACATACAAGGTTGTTTACATTGAAATGCTTTCTGATTGGTCAAACGTCAGAGCTGAGAGGTTTTGTTTATTAGTTGATTGACAGATTTGAATTTCATTTTCACTGATTAGATTTTCTCACGCTAAGACAAAGAAGAGGTACTTTTCCATGACCCCAGATGAACCCCCCTTGGCCAATCAATGATCTAGTTTACATCAGAGAAGTGTGCATCTATGAGTTCTGGGGTATTCCCCTTTCCTTAAAACAAGTGAAGGATAAAATTGATTTATACATGTACAGGGCCAGGGGTATTCTCATATAAGTTTAACTATGTAAAGTGCAAGTGTAACTGAGCAACCCTTTGCAAAATTGGTAAATATTGCTTCAAATCATGCAATACTTTGGTCAATCTAAGAGTGTGGGTGGCCAAAATAACTACTGGGTAAAATAATAGGTAGCTTTTCTTTAAAATCAGGTAGTTATTAACTACCATAGCAACGCGAGTTTCGAGGCTTGCTAACATATCTCATTAGTTAGACTGTTATCTCATAAACATGTAAACTTCATTTTTATTGTCATAAGTTCACACATAGATCTATTAATATTTTACAGGTACAGGTTCGGTACGAGGTCCGTCATAAGGATATGATGTATATAAGTAATTGTAAATGACAAAAGATTAAAAACTTCAAAGTATAAGTGGCGAAATACTTCATGACGTTATAACTTTGAACATAATCACGAAAAAGTGGAGAAAATCCTATTATTGACGCCGATTTCATTTGTCGACGACAGGTATTTTAGTCCTACACAAACTGAGCGTGTTAGATGATAATGTCTCCAAATAAACGATCACTCGAGATGAAGACATTTAATTTAGGCCACATGCTAATAGGTTATAAGGATTGGTCGTCCACATAATGAGTTTTATTAAATGGCATTTTGACAGAGAAATTAATTCATGGGCGATAATATGTGAGAATTGAGTAAATTTGAGATCACGATAATTTTGCGCATTTTCAATGTAATCCTATCACTTCAGCTCAAATAAATATATGTGTTCCTTATGTTTCATGGAAATAAATCAAAACATTCTTTACCTTAGTCGAGATATTGTGACAAATATCGGAATTCGTATTTTCCGGGTAAATTTCCAGATTTTATTGAGAGGTGTACAAAATGGTATGCTGCTTAAAATTGGAGGGTAAAACGTTGCTAAATACAATTCAAAACCATATCTTTTTAATTTCATCGAATAGAAAAGAAAAGAATTTAACTTTGAGATAAAATAGATAAATAATTTGTAGAATTTAGATTGTTATACGATTAAATAGAATTACCAAATTGTAATATTCAAAGTACAACCATGGATAATTTTTAAACAAAAATCAAAATTCACTTTTGTTTTTCCTCAATTTCTCTAGTTAAAATGGTCCGATTAAAGAATAGGTAAGTTTGTAATATTCATACCATACTTTACAATCCGAAACATTAGGGTAATGTTGATTCCTCTCCTTCCAGTTCCACGATTTGCATAATTAGAGTCCATTTCACTGCTTCATTTCGTCAGTAGAACGGCAAAAATAAGAAATTGGGAGACCATTGTGCAATAATATATGGAAAAGTATATTCATAATGTACATGAATGACATTTGTTTATTTCAGATTTTTTAGTTTTTTGTGCAATAAGCCTGTGTCGTCTTGTAATTTGAAGAGTTTCAGCCATGTTAATCTTATTGAAAATAACATGGCAGAGAAACATCGAAATATAAGAGGCCACACGCTTTATAAGCCAAACTAGAAGCAATCCAAGATATACAAATGTCATTCATGTACATTATGAATATACTTTTCCATATATTATTGCACAATGGTCTCCCAATTTCTTAATTTTGCCGTTCTACTGACGAAATGAAGCAGTGAAATGGACTTTAGACTTTCAGTTTCACATCTAAAAATCCCCGGGCCCGGGTGAAAATCTCTACAGTTCCAATCACTTTGTGTACGTCAGTATAACCTAACAAGAGAATCCGTGGAAAATTTCACAAAGAATGTACAAAGGCCATACTTTGTGACAGACTTGTGGAAAGTGGGAAGTTCCGGGGGAATTTTACAATGGTCTTGCATTTGAAGTAATTATCTGGCCAAAAAAGCAAGTCATGAATTCTTTCCTATATCATTTAGGTTGTTATCCCAGGCTTGTACCACTGTCAAATCTTGATAATCATGTACTCCTGGTGTTTTTAGGTACTGATCCATCAGGTACCCTTTGCATTCATTCGACTTCACTTCTAAAAGAGAGCTCCGTCTTCACTCTTTCAGTTTGCAATAAATCTCTGAACTCACCGAGCCATTTAGAGTTTGTTGTAGAAATACGGATGACTGTCTATGTATGGTCGATTCCTCTGACGTCATCGCATAGTTAATGAGCATGCATTTAGCATGTATTCCTTCCAGTTCGCTGATTGGTTGAGAAAAGATCATCGTGGTAGGTTTGAAATGATTTATGACCAAGACTGTCATGGGCATAGGTTGTAGGGCAGGGCAACTAAACTGTAATATAGTCTATACGAGGCAGAGGGTAGTATATAATTAGACTGCGCACAGGGAGCGTGTGTCTCTAATTGATGTGTTGACATGTTTCTGTTATTTCAGATATCTTCTCTGTGAGATAATGTTCCCATTGGAAGACAAGAGACTCGTGCATGACATTAATGTCAAAACACTGAGATATCAGATAGGACAAGCCATACAAACTTTACACGGGACATATGGACGGGGATTACTACAGCAGTCATTAAAAGGTACACTGCATCTTCATGGTGTGTACTGTATATACATTACAGCTTATGTATCACCTTTTTTCAGCAGTCATTAAAAGGTACACTGCATCTGCATGTATGTACAGTAAAACCTGTGTATCCAAACACTAGCACCTACGTTCAATCTGATCATCTCTCAATGTGAACACCTTTTCTGTCCCATTTTTATGTCACCACCACAAAGACATATTGTTATAGTCTCCAACTTTTTTGATGACAGTGGTCGGGGAATGGCTTTCGTTGTCAGTAATAGATGGCAGGTGGTGACATTTTGCAATCTTAATAAAGTAATACAGTGACGTTCACAAGTAGTGTTTGCAAAGATTCTTGTTCTGACAATTGAGACCACTCAAAATAAACATATTTTTCAAATATGTGCAAATGGATTCTTAGGTGGGTGCAGGCCTCAAGTAGGTGCAGCGCCCACTTGCTTTCATGTTGGGGAGGTCACTATAGCAACCACATGTTACATACCCATAACATACTATATATTGTCTCTTTTCAGTCAATTATATTAATACCTACACCAATACAGTGTTAATCCGTGGTAAGAGAGGAGCACACAAGCTACTGTGGAGCGCTATTACAACAATTAAGAAAATAGGCAATTTTGACTGCTTCTTTAGGCTTATTCACTTAGGAGGTATGTGAAATGTCCAGCAAAACTTGTATTTCATATCCTAGTACAAAATCAACTCCTAGGCATGGTGTTTTCTGCAGAAATATATTTTTGTAGAACAGCTTTTATGTTACACGCATGTACTACTACAGTAAAACCTGTATTGGGTAACACCTATCTCAAGGGAACACACCTGTCTCTAGTGGACACCCTTCCTCCACATATAATCTACAGACTTATGTATAACTTACTCTTTCTGTAGTGAGTACCTACCAATATTATTGGAAAAAATATACACACTGACAGGTTTTGCTGTATAACTAGAATATCTTTACAATTGCAAAAAGCTACATCTAAATACTTTTAAATTGTAACTGCATAGTAACATTCTGCATGATAATTTTTGTGAATACAATTGTGAATAAAATTTTGCTTATTTTGTGCATTTATTCCTAGGTACAATACGCTCCTGTCAGAAATCTCTAATACAACACAACAAGAAAAGATTAGCTCAAATATTACCATCTATACACAATGAAGGTACAGTACAAGTATGAATAAATACAGGGCCATAGCCAGCATTCCCTAATGGGGTTCACCTTTCAAAGAATTTCAAGAAGGAGAGGGGGTCATACTTGACAGCTAGTGCATGATATTTAACATTAATTTCTTATTGTAATACAACTGCATTTTGGTAAAAAGCTATAATTAAAACTATACTGTTTTAGTATTTGCCAAATTGCTGGTTCAATTTTAGTTATTTTTATCTACAATAAAGAATAAAATTAAGCTAGAAATTATGCAGCAAATAATATAATAAATGCAACACTGTGGCATGAGTCCCGGAGTTCTCTGACTGGAGCCATGGTTTAGACTTATCTACATAAATATTCAAAATGTGTTCCAATTATACTGCATCACCCTGTATTTTTCTTCCAAATATTAATATGGAATGATAATATTTACAGTGCATTTGTATTATTTTATCAGGCTTGTTACCAACCTTTACAACCCCCAACGATGTAGTGTTTGGTACCAACAAGACTAACAGGCCAAATTAGTTTAAGGGCAGGCAGCAACGTTGTAACATAGCACTTTAAGTTTAGCAAAATTTTTATTGTTTTACAGGTGAAAAGTTACAAATACGGCAATCCATCATGAACTCAACTCAGAAGCTAGAGAAGCCGCACGAACAGGACTATATGTTTATTAAAAACAAACAGAACATTGACGCTATATCAACTGATAGTGATGAATTAGAGAGTGATTGAAAAAAATAAATACCGGTACTAGTAGCAGTCCCAAAAATGTGTTAATTTTCATGGTTAGTGATGCCAGGTTGTTGGTTAATCATGTGAACTAACCAGACCTCAATATAATGCTCCACATTGAACAGATCATACGCCAAGTTCTATAATACACAGCGCCTCATGCCTGAGCTATGATACAGCCGAGCAACCTCGCAAAGTCACGTCTGTATCCCTCTTAATATCACATTTTTGTTGTTATAAGTCCCCTACTTTTTGTGGACGGTGTTTGTGTTCGGCGGACAGCAGTTCGTGTTCTGCGGTCGGTGTCTGTTACAAATGGCAGGTGGTGATATTATGCATGACATTGCATGTTTATACCTTGTTTTCTCCATGCTGTTATTCAAAATAATACATAAACATACATTACAATATATCATCATCGAGTATCACGTCTAGCCAGTAAGCTAAGCAAAAGATTGTTTCAACTTAAAATATTTTTTGCTCATATCATTTCTTATCATGTCTTTTTTCTAAAAAAAATCTTCAAAATGCATTTTATTTGAGGACATCTAGATATTTTATTATTTGGGAGAATTCGTACATTTTCCCAATTCTTGCATTTTGAATATTAAATAACTTAACTCACTGGCGGATCTTTTTGGAGATATTATATTTGAGATCATAAGGAATAAATTGGTAGGTCAATTGTGCACGTTGCTTGCAATTTTTTCACCCCATCAAGACTTGATTCAGCCAATACCTGATTACAATTGATGTAAAACATGCGTTACTTACCATTTGCATGAGCTGGACTAAAAGCTCTAAAATGTTAAAATTGGGGTATTTCTAATGACAAAATCAGTACTACATTGTTGTGGATGACTTCCATGCAGATTGAGGGTCTCTGAATAATACTAGTAAGGTGACTACATGGCTTGAAGTAAGATCATTGTCCCACGAATTCCCTAGGGTTATCGTGAAACCTTCTGTTCGCAATCTTCGACTACTACCAAGGTGTTTATATGGAGTAATTGAAACCTAGCCTTGCCCAAGTCGGTCTCTTTTACTTATTTTGATTTCTATTATGACAAATTCAAGATCAGATAAGTAAAAAATACCGACTTGGGCAAGGCTACTGAAACCTTGAGATTCAAGATGCCGTTCGCTCGATTTCTCCATATTTTGTGGAAATATCTATAAAATTGTAAATGTTGAAAATTTATTTACAATGCATATAAAATATAACTTGCGGAATGTAAGTTATGTATGCTTGTTTGCCATCGAGCTCGTGCTTCTGTGGATTCCCGGTGTGAAAGAAATGATGGTCCCCCAGGGATTATGGTCCCCTTTCTTAATGGCCCTTACTGGCCCTGATTGTGTATAAGATAATGAGGGAAAGAGTTGTATTTAGGTCACCATATAAATCAATGGAGAGTAGGACCATAATTTGATAGGACCTCCTACACTTTTACACCGGTGAACTGAAAGGGTACTGGGACTGGTCTTATCAATATGGTCCTAGTCTCCATTGATTTATATGGTGACCTAAATGCAACTCTTTCCCTCATTATCTTATACATAATCAGGGCCAGTAAGGGCCGTTAAGAAAGGGGACCATAATCCCTGGGGGACATCATCATTTCTTTCACACCGGCTTCTCAGTGAATCTTAGATGAGCTGTTTTACTCAGTAATAGGCGGAATGTTAAGTTCATCGGGAAAGGATCAATTGATATCGATGTATCGAATCGATGTTTTTTCTAGCAATTTTACCTCTGCATCTTATTCTAGCATCTTAAAGCGTGATCAGTGAACAAAGCTCTACCTTGTCGCAGGTGTGATAGGCTTTATCAAGTTTATAATGAAATTCAAGTCAGTTTATAGATGGCACTACTGTACAAACTCCAGCCAATCGGAAGTGGATATTAACGTCTCCTCTTTCTAGAAAAATGGAGTCTGATCGAGAAATATAACGAAGTAACACTAAAGAAATGTTACGATATCATGTATTTCGTAATATCAAACTTAAAGCAGACTAGCACAATCGAGTAAGCGACGATAATATTTATCGAAATGGCTGGTATGTATAGCCTTTGGTAAGTGAATGACGATTGAGACATGAAAGACTTGAAATGGATATTTCATCATCCTCTTTGGTTGGACATAAGTACGGGTACTAGAGGTACTAAAACAAAGATGGAGTGCACGTACGAAAGTACAGGCGAAAATAAAACTTTGAACATTAAAATGGAATATCGGGTCAGATCGATTCATTTCCAATCGCTATTCATCGTTATTTAGTTTATTAACACACTAAAATACAGACAACGGCACTTGAATAAACATCTGATACAAACATTCAGTGTTAGGCCTATAGAATCAATGTGTTAGTAAATAGCCCTATTATATTAGACCTAGCGATAAAAATAAATGTATAAAAATGAGAAAATACAGTTACCTAGATTTCGTTTATAATATTCGTATATTTATGATACATTATGATAGGCTTACCTTGTAGATATAGTCTACTTATTATGAGTTATTATATGATGTTATACACACTGAGTTATTTGAATATTTAATGACGATTAACCAGATTTGTCTACCCTTTACAGTTTACCAAAATAATTTGATTTCATGGATTTTGTTTCAGAAAGATATACCTTAAAAGTAGTTGGCTTAATTATTTGGCTCCTGGCCTTAGAGTACGGATTGGCAGCTATGATACAATGCCTCTTTTCTCAATAGAACTTTGAAAGTTGAAGTTGTATTTGAACAGTTATCAACAGGGTCAAGAGGGCTGAATAACAATCTCGATATCATCTTGTTTATCGTAACGTTTTTTTAACTGAACTACAGTAATGTTTACCTGTTCAAAGGAAGTCTAGTATTTTCCCGCTTTATAGGCATTCTAATTGAGTTTATTGAGGATCGGATATTGAGTTTAGTACAATACTCCAATGCATTCACGTAGGATTTTATGGGATATGATAAATTGTGGGTAATATCATTTCTCTATGTATTCTGGCTTTGGTCAAGTGAATTAAATGGTATGATTGCAATAGGCGGATTAATTGGCTGTGGATGAGTTTATTTTTTTTATGATTTATCTGTTTTCCGTAACTTATTGTTGTCAACTACTGTCATTATTTACACCTCTATTTACACATAATATGGGGAATATGAATCAAAATAACACCGTTGCTCATTATCAGTATTGAATATTTGTCATATTTTACCACCGATTTTATATTTGTTAACATGCTCTAAAATTTTAATTTTAATATTCTTCTGGTATTTTATCACAGAGTATCTGAGGAAGAATGAGCTCAGCGATTTATTTATATCCTCTCTAAATAGACCAGTTTAAACCATGTAAATCAACGTCTCCAGAGGGGCCTCAAAACTTGGACTCTCATTTATAAGTATTATACTTTATTTTCCAGACGAACGTAATGTCAATATGGATACAGCAAGTCAAGTGGATGATGGAATTGAAAGAGGCGAAGAACCAATGGAACAAGAAGATACAGCGCAACCAGCAGTAGAAAAATTACCACCATTTACGAAATTAAAGGCCCGTGGAAGAAAGCTTTTGCGATGGTAAACAATATTTTCCTACTTCAATAGTAAACAACATGCACTACTCTAATGGATAATATTCAGAGGAAACAAATTATCTACATAAAACATTAGATAACCATACTGCAGATCATCAATCAACGATATGATACCCATGGTGGCTACATTTACTTGGATACACATTGTGTCATTCGAAAAAAAATTAAAATCTTATAAATACCAATTTCATAGCTCTTGATCATGATAATGTTTTTATTTAAATAAATAATTTAATTGGTGGTTGTATTATGAGTCTTTAGTGACATATTTTTCCTTCGTTTTTATATATGTTTTATAGAAATTAAAAATTCATATCATATCATATTCATATGAGATACAGTCTGAAGAAGGAGTAAATAAAGCCTTGCGAATGGAGATTCAAATTAGAGGGGGAAAGATTTTCATTCCGTGACTTATTTGTTTCAGGATCCCACCAGTGAAGTTCTTTGGCATGGGTGAAGATGGCTACTATTCAATCCATATAGAACACGACTGCATGAAAAAGACTACAAGATTCATTGAAAAGAATATTCCAGGATATACGTTTCACTTTGTCCCATTTGGCCAAGATGAATCTATCCACTTATTGTTTTGTCCAGAACCAGGAAGTCCTATACATGGTACTCTCAAAACTTGTCCTACAGAATGTATTAAGCCACATGGTACTATTGGAGGCATTGTTGCATTGCTTGATTCAAATGGCAAAAAAGAACTATATGCTCTAACAGCCAATCACGTTATCGAATATTGCAAACCCTGTCAAGAATACATCTCATGGACAAAACAAGACCAAAGCGATAAGATAATGATAGGTAGGCCTACAGATGTATCTTTTAGTATACCATTGAAAATGGATGATGAAAAACATGTAGATCAGTCTATATGCTGGAAAAGTGATGACACAGATCAAGCACTCGCTGATATATCATCAACATTCGAAAAATATTGGGATGATGTAAAAGAGCAAGACCAAGAACAATATGACATTGCATGCATTAAGGTAGATGACCATTGTGATGACATCAAAAAAGAGTTTGCCCCTTGTGATAAATGTTGTTTGATTGAGTGTCAAGAAGACAAAGTAAAATTTTCTTCAACAGCAGAAAAACTAGAATCTGCAACTACCAGATCTAACAGATGTTGTGGGAAAATATTACGCACTGATGCAGGGGGTATCATTACTGTTGGGGATAAAACTGCATGGGTTGATAATATGACGGTAATATGTTCAGTTGATGACACAGATGATCAGTTCATACAGGAAGGAGACAGTGGCTCTATAATGGTGTGTGGGAACAAAGATGACGAGGAAGGTCATCGTCAAAATTGTTATATGGTATTTGCAGGTTTGAAAAATGCAAATAAAAAGTCCTGGAACTGTTCATCAGCATCTTTCGCCTTTTCACTGGATCGTGCAATCAAGAAACTACAGGAACAGCTCAAAGAGGGTCAACGGTTGCAATTGTCATGTTGTAAGCAGGCCAAAAATGTTAACATTGGAAGGCAGGATAGCCAAACTTCCTTTGACGTGAAAGAAGAAAAAAATGAGGAAAGCACTTGTGCCATTTCAAAATCGGGTACGAGGGGTATTAAAGTTTCCCCGAAAAATGACCTTAAGTCGATGTAAATAGGCAATAGTATGCCAAGTGTAAATATTATTTAGAACAAAAGGTTTTATAAAGTATACGTACATTGTATTTGCTATTTACATAATCATTCGCTATTAACACAATCGTTCTTGTTCATATAAATCATTTGATCACTTCCTGTCTCATGCATCATATAAAAGAACTGTCAGCTGAGCATTTTTGTTGAGATGCGTAGGTCAAATTGTTCATTATGATATAAAATTGGTTCCATTTCTAAATGATGCATTGTATGATTTGGGATCATCTGGGTCATTCAAGTCTACCAGGCCTAGTGTTGAGCCTGCAGCATCAAATCCTGCAGCATGGTGAATACCTGGAAAATACAGAATAAGACTTTAATCAAGTGCCATATGTTATAAATGCTAGCTTTATATAGTCAAATAGATGTGTTTTTACGTTTGATTAATTTGATGTACAACGCTTACAAAATGAATCTAAAATTATAATATACGAGTATATTTTGTCTGAAAATAAATTTTTGAATAAAACTATTCTTTACAATGTTTGTTTTGGAAAAATATGTAACAAAATGGTGGAAAAGATGATCAAACTATACGCTCATTCTTATTTACTTCCAATTTTTATATGATCTGACTTTCGCACTTCAGAATGCTCCAGTTCGCAGCGCTATTGTTCAAACCACAAGGGTTGTTGAATTTGTTCTTGATAAGTAATAATTGTATCCCTATAGACTAGCTTTATTACTACTATTACACAATAGACATCCATGATATTCAAATGATTAGTCCTCTAAAATTCTATTTTTCTGGAATATAAAAAGCAAAATATCTAAAATAATCTTGTGTTTTGACGGATCCAACTTGATCTCTTACCTGAATCTGAGCTTCCTCTTAGTGAATTCCTCGGCTCCATATACTGCTGTGGTATTGGAATGGTGGAATCTGTTGGTTTGCTTTGTTTTGTCTTCTTTGTGGTTTTAGCGGCTCCTTTTGGGCTAGTTGCTGTTAGTGCTAACACCTTCGGTAGAAACATCATACCGAATATCAATGACGTATTTACAGTGTTCCCTATACATATAGCCGGAGTTTCGTATTCTCCATCGGCTAGCATATATACAGGTATCCATGCTAGCATGATAACTATTGTTCCTAGGGATGTCACACAAATGTACATAGCTTCCTGTTGGAACTCGATCGACTTCCTAGCTTTGATGGCAAACGCGAGTGAGAGGACTACCAGAACGTATATATAACACAATGATAGCACTAAGGATAGTTTTGGATTGACACATCTCCAGATTGGTGTGTATAAAGGGTACTCCTCATCTTGTGTTTCATTAACGAGGTACCACTCTACCTCTGGAGGTTTCAGGATAAGCCATTCAACAACAAGGACCAACTCTAGGGCTATAAGAACACACGTGGCAACAATCTGGCTAGGTCCACTTATAAATTGAGGCTTGTTACTAGAATTCATCTTGTTTGAAAATCTGTTGATCCGGACTATTTTCACTAATAGGCTTGAGAAGATCATCGAGTAGAAGAAGCCGATTCCAAAGCGTTTCATTCCACACGTGATAGGAGAGGATGAGATCATCCATATGAAGTTCATTAAATATAGCAGCACTATACCTAAAAGTATTATGATACTTAGCGCTCCATTCGAACCAAGCACCACTGGATGGTTTTGTTTAAGCATAAACAGCATCATGGTGATGAAGGCTAACACAATTCCTAATATGGACAACGTGATGACGAGAAGTCCCCATATAGTCTCGTGAGATTCAAATTTGATTGGGACATTAGTGACATCTAGTGGTTGTTCCTTCCAGTTGCAATGTTTACAGACTCCAGGGCATTCAGAAGTGTGCATCTTACGTCTACCCTTAGAGTCATACATGCGTATAAGGCTTTCGTTGAAGCTGAAGATTCCACCACTCCAGTAACCAATCTGAAAGAATAAAAGATCAGTAATATTTACAATGGACGAATTTCAATACAAGGTGGGCCTAGAAATGTTACTTATACGGATTTCAATGTGATATATAAAGGGTAATAATTTCTTGGCCCAGCCTGCATGTTCAGAAATTCGTAATAAAGCAGATTAGACTTTTGATTATAATTTCTACTCCCTCCGTTGATTAACGCGTTGATGAGGTCGAATGAAAGCACATCTATTATTACCTGCTTCATTTGATCTGAGTTATCGGGCTGATAATTTAAAATCTTATACTCTCCGAGGCCATCTCCATTCCATGTAAACCTAAACCTCTTTCCATTGACGCTCTTGAAGGTCGCCCTGTGTATGTATTCATATGGCATGGCTGTATCGTTTGGCTGTATAGCACTGCAATGGGGAAGTTTCGTAGATCCACATTCCTCCTGGAGCATAGCTGTGATACCTTTAGCAAAGGCGAATACAGCGTTGATGGTATTGGCAACGTATTCATTCTGTTTGAAGTTACTATCTGTTAATGACTCCAGTCCGTTACAAGCCTGGTTGAATTTTCCCCTATGTCCGAGGTTACATTGGAAATGATGCTCCCAGAATTCAGTCAACCATGGATTGTTAGGGTCACTGTTTGGTTTGAGGTTCATGAAGAATTTATCAAAGTCTGGATCATATCCCCAATCAGGAACAACATTTATGGCTCCTCTGCTAACGGTCTCTAATCCAGCAGTTACTGTTTTAAAAACTGTTTCATCAAGCGTGGATATCCACACAAATCGTCCCAATATTTGTTTGCTGTTAACTGCATCTAGCAATAGACGGAACTGATGGGGTTCCAGGAAGACAATCACACCCCTTGCTCCTTCCGCTTTATTCAAAGCATCTACGTGTATTTGGTAGTCTTGGTTGGTGTCATCAACAACAGTAACTTTAGCAAGGCATATCCCTTCAAACTCCAATGATTTCTGCAGCCATTCTATGGCTATCATATTCTCCGTTGTGTTATGATATATTGTTGATACATATGTCCAACCTAGTTCCTTTATTACCTCAACTGTCGCTTCAACTATGGACCTATCTGATGGTATAGTTCTTAGGAACAATGGATGGCTAGCCCTGTTTGATAAATCATCGGACGTCGATGACGGGCTTATCTGTACCAGGTTGTATCCCTTCTGGTTGGCTTTGCTTAGGGAGGCTGATACGTCACTCCTAGTGTCCCCGAGGAATGCAAAGACGTATGTAAGAATGGGCAACTCAGGGGGCTTGTTCATGAGCAGTAGATTTCTATCAAACGCTTGGAACACTTGTCTGCCGTAGTCCGGGTTAGAGCAGGTATCAAAAGCCATCATCCCCAGGGAGATATTAGGCAGCAAATGAAGCTCGTTGTTTATCTTATCAATGGCATACTTGAACGCCATATACTGTTGGAACCCAACGTCGGACACGAAATCCCCGCATGGATTAGACGGCGACTCTCCTTTGGAATGGATACTGAAATACGCTGGAAGTGTCACCCTTTCGTAATGTATATCAAAGTCAATATCCATCAACTCCACGGAGGAACATCCACACGTGTCACGAGTGTTTTGACATTTTGATATGACCTCAGACATAGGAAATTCCAGTTGTTTTAGGTCGTACATCATGGCTTCGTCATCCTTTAAGCTGAGATACCCGTTATACCAGTATCCAATCTGAAGTACAAAAATATTGTTATGTATAGGATTAGAAAGTGCAAGGGCAACATTTGAACAACATTAACACGTCATGTAATTGCGTTTTCAATTTCAATGTTACGTGTTTTCATTGGGCTAATTATAATCTTTGTTAGTTGATTTGTTATCAGTGAGCTTTTAAACTGTAAACTTAACAAGGAATTTCTTTCTTTACATTCTTCATACTACTTAGCTCTACTTACCTTCTTATAATCAAAGATATCCGCACTTTTTGAAACAACCTTGTAATTGTATATATCATATCTTGGAACTCCATTTCCAAGAACATCGAACGCTACTGATAAACCTGTTGTAGAGTTGAACGTATTGTTTCTGATAAAGTCTCTTAGTTCAATGAGATGAGTTTGTGCCTCTGGGCAGAAGTTTTCAAATTCACAATATGTTTTAATTAAATTGTCCAAGCCTCTAGCGTATGCCATTACAGAGTCGACGACGTAAACAGCCTTTGTTGACAATGGTATGACCTTGTTTTCTAAGGTAAAACTAATTGAGCATGGGTTGCTATATTGTTTTGCTGAGTCATCAGAAATATAGCAGCGAAATATATGTTGCCAATATTCTTTGAACCATGGGTTTCTGAGGTTTGTCTCAGGTCGAAGTGTCCGAAAATGGTCCATTAATGCTGGGTATTCTGGGAGGTTGAAGTCCAACGTGATTGCTCCCGAAGCTATTTCTTTTACACCGTCGACAATATGTTTCTGTGTGCCCCAATAGTCTGCTGCAAGCCACACCAAATCGTTTCCAATACTCGTGATCTGTTTAGTTTCTAATATGGCACGAGTCATTGTATCTGTGGTGAACATAACAACTACTCGTGATTTGTTAAAATTCCCGGGGAAATAAAAATGAAGAATGTTACTCATAACGGTTTCGTTCTTTGCGAAGTATTCCTCCATCTTGATCTGCGTTGCGACACATATGCCTTCATTTGTGGCGATCCTTATAAACTCTCGCATGCCCGAGACTCCATAAGCATTATCTGAGAACACAGCATGGACGTAAGACCATCCAAAGTTCTTTATGATATCAACAAGTGCTTTAGCCTGGGATTTATCTGAACCAACAGTCCTCAGAAAATGCGGATATTTAATAATGTCATCCAGCCTTGAACTTGAAGAAGAAGGCGATATCTGTGTTACCTTATGGACTGAGAGTAACTCAGCTAACTGTAAAGAAGCGTCTGATGTCGGGGCACCAATCACACCCGATAGTTTTGACTCGTGGTTCATTGAAACAATATCATCAAATTCTTTGTTTATAATTGCTTTACTAAGTCTAACTGTCCTTTCTGGGCTTCTACACCCATCAAATATCACTGTTCCTAGTTTGATATTTGGCAAAATGTCTTGGTCATTATTGACTAAGTCTAAAGCATAGAGCATTGCTTCGGTGTCCTGAATTCCCTGTTCATCGAGCATTTCGCTACACTCTTCCCCTTTAGAAGAGATTTCATCCCCAACTGATCCCGACATGTGGATATCAAATATTCCTGCTAGAAGAACGTCTCCGTCTGATAGAATTCGCCTGAAAAAAAAACAAGTTTATTTTTATGGATATTGATCAATATGTAATGAGGAAACGCCACAAAGGGCTCCACTTGAAAACAATATTGGCTAATGCGATTCCTTGAAACTATATGGAGCATTTTAAACTAATAAAAACGTTAATTGCGAGCTATTTTCTTGCCACGTATAGAAATTGTTTCCTTGGTGGGATTTGTTATTTATTTTTTAAAAACACATTGAGAGTTGTATATGCCTGACGTAGCAAAACTGTGATACATATGTATAAACTGTCCATCCCATATATAAACAGTGTCAGAGATTGTTGCGTGTTTACAATCACCGTTGTCTCTTTTTAATCAAAGCAAATTAACCACAGACTGATATGTATTTAATCATGTAGCTGTTTTTACTGACATACATTACTATGATTACAGTGACCCTGATGGTCCATTCACATGCAATTAATCATTACTAGTTTTTGATTGGATTTGCCAAAGGGGTAGCTTCATCTACCTGTTGTCAAATTTACTATTGGAGCAGGTACACAGGCCTTTGCATTGTGATGGAGGTAGCATTGCCATCTCATTGCCATCTTGGTACATCCTTATGGTACTATTCAGCACTAATCCACGTGAAGGCGTCCAGGAGCCAATCTGTTATAAAGAAACCGAATCGGAACATTACATGTTAGCAAGTATGATACTAGCAAGCATAATCGTAAGCCAAACAGTGTTCAACTTCTTCTTTCTGAATATTCCACAGTCCTGAGTTTAGAAGATGCAATAAACCATGACAATAAAGTCTAAAAGTCTTAAAGACAAATTTCTGGACAAGAAGCTTTTGAAGTTAAATGATAAAGACGTTCAGATCTTTGAGTGATTTTACATCTACTCACAAAAGGAAAGACAACATTAAAAAAGTACAGCATGACACATTAAGCATACTAGACACAAGAACTAAAGCTCCAATACCCAATAGCAAGCTTATGTTCGATGCTGTCAAAAAGAGCGGCCACTCACCAATTTCACCTCATAAAGCTTTTCCGTAGTTTGGACATTTTTAATCCTGTACTGAACCTCTCTAAGATCACCCTTCTCATCAAATTTAATATTCTGCCCGCTTAGACCTACAAACTCCACTGTCTTCAAATATGCTAACAGTCTTTGTGGAGCTATATTTACAAAATCCTTGCATAATCCAGAGGCATTTGCTCCACAAATGTCAGTGTGTGCTTTCTTCAGCGCATGCGCATATGTGTAAACAGCCGTGACTGTTTGCGACACATACTGATGTTGGTGGTACTCCGCTGTGTGGTTTCTATGGTGAGATATGGTACAGCTAACATTTACCAAACAATCGTACTGTTGTTCCCAGTAGTCCTTAAACCACGGGTTAGTAATATGAACCCTGGGTCTCCGACCGACAAACTTGTAATAAAATTCCGTTAGTTCACCGGAATATTCTTCGATTGTCACTATCCCACTGATGGTTGATTTAATATCGTGGTAGCTAAATGAATCCTCGAAACCGAAAGGAGTTATCCATTGGAGTCTTGTTAATACACTAAGTGATTTGCTCTTCTGCTCCACCATTTTGAAAAGCTTGAACGTTGTCTCGGGGTTTGTTAACATAACTACCCCTGTTACACCTGAAATACAAATATATCGAATAAACTTCAATTTAAGTTCTGTTGTCATGACTATTTAACATGAAAATAAATGATCTGTATATTTTAAGAGGATTTTTATTTAATTAGATATAAGTAGAATACCGTCTGTAAAATGCTATACATTTGTTTAGTGACAACTGTATTCAAACGATTAGTTTTACAGTTTTACAATAAGTCTACATTTTTACATTTGAGAAAAAAATAAGAACTATAGAACTGTAGAATATAGTCACTGTAGTGTGTCAATTAGTTCCTACCTTGGTTGACTATGGTCGACAGTTCCTCAACAGCCTCCTCAATCTCATCATCGGTAAGATCATTAACCTCAACAGTCTTATGGATGCATATATCACGAGATCCCGCAGTTTTCATCAGCTGATCCATGACGTAACGAGAGTTGGAATCCATATCAACGACAACCGCAACACCTTGCCATTGAATGGCTGTGATAATGCTGATTATGACCTGAAAGGTAAACCAGCAATAAATGCAATCTGTAAACATTTGAAAGGACAAATGCCAAACGGGGAACGTTCAACAGGTTATTAGGAAACAAACGCCCAGTGACCTAGCCAGGAAGAAAAAGCGATGAGACGAAGAAATATATGTCCAAACCTTGCGTTTACCTGGCCATAGAAGAACACGATGATAACCCTTACGTGATGAGAATATTCACAATTGAATCAAAAAATGATGGTTTGAGATTAAAAATCAATAAAAGTTATACAATTGATTTACAAGTCGTCATTGTTAGAGGTATGTTTCTCAAACACCCTTGGCAAAAGCTGGCTAGGGGTCTAAGTTCATTAGTTCAGGTTTTGATGCGATACATCAGTTTTTCTGTGAATACGTAATTACTAATTGTACGTTTCTTTTCAATGCTTTTAAAAATACTCGTTCTTCCAAGGGAAAAATCAATACCCGGTGATTTCAGCGGGAAGTAGCGTTTCGTTCAGTGGATGAGCTGCGCGCGCACGCATAAATGTGATTATCAATATTATTTAGGGGAGGGATATTCAAGCTTATTTTCGTCATAGGCGCGACCCAGGGCTGTTGTCTTAAGGACATTTCGTTGAAAATTAGCCATTCGGCTGATAATTTGTAAGAGTTTGCTATCTTATAATGTATAACTGTTATTCAGACACATATTTTGACACGATCCTGTTGGAATTAAGCTTTGAACCGAGAGATATTCACGATTGATATGCACGTTTTTGATTGTGCCATTGCTTTTCCATTGCACAATCCATGTATTGATAGAAGTAACAATAATGCCGATTGTTTTACCTTCAATACATGGCGGATTAACTACATATCGGTCTATTAATTACCATTTTGTGCCCTAAATAGTTTTATATTTCCCGATCACGGCCTGGAGCCTATATGCTTGTGAATTGGTGGGGCTGGCAGGGCCACCAATCCCCTGGCCCCGCCCATCCTTTATTCTACTTCCCAGTTATTATAATTTATGCTGTAACATTCAGACTTTGCTGGAAAACAATAGGAATTATTTTTCTTGCCAATCAATCGTGAATCACAATCAAAATTTCAGAAAGGATCAATCAGGCAATCGTCCAAAATCCAAATCAAGTTATGGTATGAGGTTCCATATCCATCCGCCAAAAGGTATGACCCCTATATAGTCCATTTAAAAACTCGTGGTATTGTTCTAAATAACGCCATAGTTGGCTTCTAGGGTACCTAGTATGCCACTATTTGGTATCAAAATAAAGAGGAGGAGTTCAACTTTTATTTGAATTACGAAAATAGCGATGTAGGTCAAAAATAGTTCCGACATGAGCATGTTTACTACGCGTTTGCCCATCATATCAGAATTGAGGAAGTGGTAGCAAACGCGAGTCACAATAAATGGACGCTGATATCTCAAAAAGTAACCTGACTCCCTATAATTTGATGTAGATCAATCGAACCCCTATATGAACAGGTACATTTTGATATATAACACTATGGGGGGTAAGCGTTTTATAGTTGGTCACGAACGCCATATGTGCAAAGTATTGTTATGAATTTTCGAATTTGGTGTTGGATTACGGTACTCATACCTTATAACATTATATGATATTCAGCAAGAAGTCCGGTAGAAATATAGAATATCTATACATCAAAGCTGAAAGTTAAAAGCTAATCTGTCAATTTTCTGTCTGCAAAAGAACGTTTACATTTGACACAATAAAAGACCGAAGCTTTGAAATCTAGGATTCCCCAGGAAAATATGACGTCATACTAATTAGCATAAGGATTTCCCTAGTGGTCTGGGTCGAGCATCGTCCGAAAACACAATCCGATAAATACATGCTAATTTCTAAGGAGATGGGAAGTGTATGGCGTGTTTATCGATTTTGTTTAAAGATTTAATCAATTATCAAATTGTTTAAGTGGATAAAGTGGTCACACTTGCTTCAATTCATAGCGTAATCGACGGATAGAAACTGCACCGAATTCCCGATATCCTACCCCGTATTATGTAGGCTATAACCACAGTGACCTGCAGATGGCGCTATCACAAACAAGTACTGCACGAACCGATAAATTCCCGGGTATTGTAACGCCCTTGGTTCTTCCTTATTTGTTCAGAATTCAGCTATTGAATTCAAAAGTCCACACACGGGAATTTCGCGTCATAATTATTCCTCCGCTTGGTGCGCTGTTGTGCATAGCAACGTCCTATGCAACGTGTATAAACATCGCGCGGACGTATAAGTACAACCCGTCAGTTTTTCATGTTTGCAATGAAATTTTCTATTCAGATAGGTGTTTTAAACTATGATTTTCTTTCATAATATATATTGTTAAATAGGCATGATACATATCATCGTGTTTCTAAAGAATTGCTTATTTTAATCCTGTTTATTTCAAGTTGATAGGTTCAATATTAGTAAAGTTACGGCTTCACTATGGAGGGGCAATTTCTTCGTAAACTAAAAACCGCATCGTCAGCAAAGATTTGACGAAAACACAACATTTTTGCGCCGGTGGCATTTTTTCATTTATGGATGAATCTTTATCAAATTTGAAACACGTTTGAGCTAAATATACAAATTGTGTCTTGGCCGAGGCGGAATTTTAAAATTCAAATTACAATTAGAGAAAAATAGCTAACCAGTGTCAAGTTTTATCGCTGATTTTCGAAAAAAATATGATGTTATTCCTTATACAGTTGGAAGAAAACGAATTGTTTAAACTGCTCAGGATAAAAATATATTAATCCAGATACATGCAAGCTTTATATACAAATCATTACATACGTTAAAGGCCATCATCAACTACTAGAAAATCGTGTGTAAAGTTGGACAATGTTTGACCCGAATTGACCGGCAAAATGGCCGCGCGCTCGCAGCGCCTCTAGCGGAGGAATAATTATGACGCGAAATTCCCGGGTGTGGTCTCGATATTTACCTCGGATATATGGTCAAGTCTAGGTACCACACTTAGACTGTATGTACTCCCAGTCGCCTTGATTGAACGAGGGATATGACCTAACGCCACTTGTGCTACATTTGCGTCATTCAGAAGGTTACCAACTGCTTTCGTTTCATCACCATACATTGGTCCAATCACACCTACAGAAATCGGATATTTAAGTCAGAACGATACCAAAATGAAAAAATGATATATTTGGAAATCAATCAACGCTGCAATTTATATCTGTATCTACTTTAGTAAAATGACGTATCGCGATGATTCTAGGGGTTCGCAAGAGTAGAGTAACACAAAAATCATAACGTAATACACTTACCAGGAAATATTTTATCTGCGGGGCAAATATCGCCATCACTGTCAGTTAGGTTCTGCCTTGAGGCAAGATAGGACATCGCTCTTCGAAGAGCAACGTCTTTATTGCCACATGTATCAAATGCCTCAAGACCTGAAATTGAAAGACGACCAAATGATTCAAAGATATTATTTTCTTGTACTACTTTGAATATATTACTCGTTCAACTGCAAAAGCTTCTTTGATGTCGATGTTCCCTCACAACGTCACTCTCCCTCGAGTATCTCGCCGTGCTTTATTTCAGAAACAAATAAGTCAAACATCGTCTGGATATCTTCATTTGACCATCGATGTTGAAATTTTGTATGTCAGAAACCATAGTTATTTCTTTAACTTTAAGTTGTGTGATAACTTAATGACAGTTGTAATGTGATTCTTTATCTGGTGGGGAGGGGGGGGGGGGATTGTGGTGACTGGCATGGGATTGAGGGGGTTTAATCAATAATCAAGTCGTCAGAAAGTAATTCATTGCGCAAACTCAAATACCGCGAGTACATGGAACATACCGAATTTCACTCCTCTGATGAAGTTGGCGTCATTCAGTTTCTTCACGGCGAACATGGCAGCTTCCAGACGTTGAATAGAGCTTGGGTTGATCACCCCTGAGCACTCCGTGCCACCGATTCCCTTTTCGTGCATGTTGAACAGGGCCCCGATGATGACGTCACCAGGAACGCTAGTCTTTAGAGGTTGTTGGCAGGTCTGACTGTATGAGCTGGGAACGTGTACGACTAAGATGACGAGCAGTTGCAGGATTTGTCTGAAACTGATTTTACACCAAACATCGTTAAAATACTACAAGAAGTTGCACCCAATGTAACAATTAAATCAAAGAATTATAAGAATCAAAAGAGGATCATGGATGAACTCATTATTTCATAAGGCAACGTTTCTACGTATGCGCCTATATAACAGACATAGTTACCATTGTATGCTTTTCTCCATGATTCGTTTATGATAATATCTTATCCAAGAATTTGAATAGTTACGTTTCCGATGACATTGATGATCAAAGCTTGTGTGCCAATTATCATGACCAGCGTTGTGTTCATCTAATCCCGTTTTATTAATAATCTAGTGCTATATCTCATGTATCTGGTCAGATTAATGTCCATAAATTCCAATTCATCTCCAAGTGGTCCAATCGGTTTATATAAAAACAGAGTTATGAATTCTAATTTGCTTGTGAAATTGAAAATTGAACGTTTTAATTCAAACTTGGCTTCTGGGCATTTTATATAATGACAACGATACATCAAGCAATATTCACATAGTGAGTTAAAACCCAAACACTGTCATCATCATTTATTGGGTTTTAATTGATGTACACCTGCAGGCAAATTTGAAAATTGACTGCATTTTTGGAAAATCAAATGAACTTTTTAAATGTTATTTTCGAAGCTTGACGACCACATTCGGTCAACGAAGTATCCAAACAATAATCCCAATGCACGCGTCTCGATCGTACGTGATGTAATAAGTGCATGTTTGTTTCTTTCCAATTTGCGTCTTATTACACTGAACGAAACTCAAACTACCGCACCTGTTAATTCCTAATAGTTGTGAGATTTTCTGGTTATTTGTAAACTTTTTTGTTTTTATTTTCAAACACAGGGCTGATTGATACACTTTGCATCATTCTCAAAAATAACTAAGAATGAAATTTGGTTTGGTTTTAAATGCTAGTATACAGAGGACTTCCTACTCTACCAAATATTAATCATATTCTTGTGAAGTAAAGCAATGAAACACACCAGCAGTGCCGTAACACACCTGTCCCGTGTCAAGCGAAAAATCATGAAAACATGAAAGCATTTTATAGAAACATTCGCAAATGTTAAAACTTTATACTCATTAATTTCAATGACACAGTACTGGTTCATACAAACTTCTTTAAAAATAATTTATGTGAGTGTCCCATTTTGGCCCACCCTGTACTGGACGAAAATTCAAAAAATTTTAATCGAAAAATGGCCCTATAGCTAATTTATTTTCAAGTTTAATTGAAGATTTAGAGGTCAGGGTTTCTGTTCTTTATGATCTGCAAACAATAGTTTGAAAAATAATATTCCCTGCCCTACGCCTCTTGGATATCGCAAATATTTTTTACTTTTCATTTTTCATTTCAAGGCCTGGAATAAAAGATTATTTATTTAGTGTATGAAATTAATATTTATCAAAAGAGCCAAAGTATATCCCGGGAATTCAAAAAAGCACCGAAAGAAATTCCCGACGACGCTCACCTCAGCGGGAGATATATATATACCACCAGCTCACCTCAGATATCGATTGTATTCCCGCATGTTATTTACCTTACACTACTAAGTATGGGATAAGATTTTTTAATTTAGCCCTCGTATTCCTTGTCATGATACCGGAAGTTATCGTCTGCTTCCGGTACGTCAACAGGTCAGTGCACGTTGTTTAAAATTATCCTAAAACGTGAAGTTAACAAGTAAAAGTATATACATATATTGAGCCAATATTTACTTAATTATGTTGGTCTCTCTTGGCTGTGTATAGTCGGGTGTATAGTGAAAACTGGCGTTTCTAGGCCTACCACCGAAAAGAACTGACTGAATTGAGATTTGGCTCGGGATGCCAGTCGGGTCCTTGCTATGAAATGATTCTTAGGTATATTTCATAGCTCCCTTTCGATCCTTTTATTAGCATAAGTACTTTAACCACGCCCCATTCTCAACACATCGTACAAACGGAACTGAACGATGTGCTTTTGGCGCTTTTGTAATTAAGTACTCACTTATTTCAATGTTTTGACAGAATATAGGCCTTTCACCCTCATAAAAACATCGCCCATGCTATGCTATGCAGAGATACATGTATACGTACCTCTACTAGAGGGAGTCCTCTAGTATCGCTTCGTCTCAACATTTTTTCTGAGCACGATCTCTTCTCAAATCAGATAGAAAGCACGACATTTTCTTGAAAAATATTGTTATTTTTCACAAAATCCATCATATTTCCGACATCTTGCTGAGTTATAACTTATATCGTCATACAATAGTGACTTAATTAGTAATTACTAATAAAATTATTATACATCATCCAGAGTTCAGGCACATTATTTTCCAAAACAAATGGAAGAATTCGTAGAAATTAACTATAATAGAAAGTGAACGACGTGAATGTGTGTACGACGTACACATTAGGGAGTTTATTGCAATGATTTTCACAACCTAAACGCGAACAGAAAATATTCAAGCGATGCATTTTGTATGGGCGATTGGTCATACGTATAGGTTGGCGTTACGATTTTTTATGCAAGCTTAAACTCACTATTTTTGCTCATATGTCCTTCTAAGTTACAAAATATGTATTTGATAAGATTAATACGGATTTTCTATATTCAATGAAAATATGAATATGTTTTATTTTAGTAAGGCATGGTTAAAAACTATTTAAGAATAAACCATTGGACCATCCTGTACAAAAAATTAACATTGGTTTTTAGTGCGAAAATAATTATGACTCTTGGGGAATATTTTGTGTCATGATTTGGAGCTCTTGTCAAGATGGATGTCCATCTATCCCAATATATCGTCAAACCAAGATAATCATCAAAATTACAAAGCATCCTTGGTCTAAGGATATTTCACTTCTTACCAATAGCATCAAAGCCCGCTCTCGAAGGATGTCACCAAGTAATTTGTCAAGAGTTTAAACGACATCAACTCTCAATAATTACGTCCCGACGGCGTTCAAGATGATTAATCACTACTGTGACGGTCCACAGATGCATTTTTGATCGAGCTGAATGTAAAAATATTGGGTTTTCAGTCAGGGGGTGCGATTTTGGCAAAAACAAGAGATTTGTTGCATCAATTTTTGTAAAATTCAAAACAAATCTCTTGTTTATGCCAAAGTCGTACCCCTGACTGAAAACCCCATTTTTGCCGATTACCCCTCACCCTGACTGAAAGCTTGCTACTTTGGTATACATAACCATCCAATGGATGGGATCCTACCGCAGCTTGACCGATGCAGTGATTCGAATATACTTTTTCATGTCTTTAACCCTATGAAATCTTAAAACTTTTGGACGCTCCTCGAATTTTCATAGATTTTTGGACGAAGTAAAACTCTTAAAATGCGCATTATTGGAGTTACTCTCGAATATGCCCACTGGACGTTTATTTGAAAGAACTCCTTGGGCCTTTATTAAGAGGGGAACATTTTTCCAAGGTGATGGGTGATTATTAAAGCTAAGAGGGGAAAAGATAATCAATAAAAGCACTCAAACACATTTCAATGGCCTTGTTGAATGACCTGTACGTGGTGCAAGCCTTTCACATCGTACACTTTTCAACTAAAATTAATTTCTCTGAATTTTTCTATTTATTTTGGAAACTGAAGTGTCTGGGTGATGTGTAGTGATTTTATTAATAGTTAACTCACTATTACATTATGATTACATAGCTCAATGTTAATGATGGATTTTGTGAAAAATGACAATTATGTTCAAGAAATTGCCGTGCTATCTAGAAGATTTGAGAACTTCTAGATCATGTTCAGAAAAAATATTGAGACGTAGTGATACAAGAGGCATCTCTGCTTAGCATGGGTGATGTTTCTATGAGGAAGAAAGGCTCATATTCTGACAAAAAACGTTGGAATAAATGAGTAGTTGCAAACTTGGCCCCAAAAGCACGTCGTCCACTTCCGTTTGTATGATGTGTTGAGAATGGGGCGTGTTAACGTAGTTTGTCACCGCAATGGCCTGGACATACGATAAAGTTGACAGGTGCGTAGCCAGCTTTCAGTCAGGGGGGTGGTGCGATTGTGTCATAAACAAGCCAAAAAATAAGATTTATTTTGAATTTTACAAAAATTGATGCAACTTCCTTCAAAATTGAGCTAAAAGCTTCAAATAAAAAGCATTTTAAAGCTCTTTTATTTTTATTGGTTATGGGGGGGGGGGGGTGCGATTATCGCACCCCCTGGGTACGCCCATGGTTGACATTCGAATTCTGTCATTCTACTAAAGACATGCGTGTTGATATCAACAACATTTAATGTGTATCATTTTATTGCTACAACGGGCCGGGTAATGTGTTTAAACTATTGCTCACTTTTTGAACTACTTTGATGTTTTTTGGGGAAAAAGAAGGTTTTTGCGGCAAACATAAACTCTACATTAACTACATAACATCTAATCAATGTATCAGTATAATTTCGAAAGTTGTTTGGGATTTATTTTTTCAAAAAGGTTGACTTTCGAAAAAAGTTATTGGTCTCTTAATTTTTAAATATTTGAATTTCCCGCCATTTTAGCTGCAAAAAGTTCAAAATAAATGGCCTAAATAAGTTGAAAATAAGTGTTTATCATGCACACCTCTAATATTTCTGCCCCATTGGTTTCAATGAGAACTAAAGTTTTAAAGTATTTTTCTCTGGACCACTTTTCTGCGCTTCATATTCTTCAACCAATTTTCTTAAGTTTTCAACATAAAAGAGATTAGGATGTAATGCTATCCAGTGGTATAAATTATTGCTTGTATGTGACAACAAAAAATTATTTGAAATAAGTTCACAATTTGCTAACATACGATAAGACAACATAAGCTGAAGTGGTTTAAAAATATGGGGCCTTTACGACTGGTCGTAAAATATAAAAGTTTATTGCGTACGTAGAGCTAACCCTGACCCGGGAAACCAATCCCATTTGTGCTTTATCTAAACTTGAAAGCGTTATTTTTTCATAACACTTAAAGTCCATTTCCTGATTTCACTGTTCTCACACTGGAATAGCCTGACTACGGTAAAGTCAGATACCGTTGTCACAAATGGCGGACATAACCGTCGCTTCAATTAGATTTTCATGAACTGTATGTTTAATAGAGCACCTAGACTAAATTCCTTTGGAACAACAAGCAATCAAAGTGTCTTAATACTCATTGTACAGTTAATAATGTTCTACCATCGAAATAAAGTCTTTAATTTTACCGACCAAAATGAGATACGGGACAACGGACACTGTAATTACCATATGCCGTTGTCTTTCTAAATTACCCAAATTCAGATTCCGTTGTCATTGACGATATCGAAGACGCTATATTGTGGCGATTCATGACCCAATCTGATAGAAAATGGGATTTCATATGATACATTATCACAAGAGCTCAATGCATGCACATAATTAGCGATGATAAAATCCCATAAAATGAGGACCAAGTGATT